CCAAAGGTTGAAGTCGGCTTGGCAGCACCAGCATTTTCAAAGACAGCAGACAGTTCAAAAGTTCACTAATCACTCACCACACAACCAAGAATGTTTTATCAACTCAAAATCCACAAAGATCAATAAAATAATATCAAAGATCAAACAATATTTTTAATCATTCAAAATAAAATGAATGAGAAAAGTAATCCTTCGAATCTAATTCGCACTGTCACTTTAGTCCGTATCTAAACACACACTAAACACTTCACAAAATCACTTGCACTGAGTCCCGCACTTTGTATTTTCAATGTTCACAGGAGGCGCTTGTCTTTTGCGCTCACTAGGACCCCGATGTTAACGAATTTTAACTACGCGACGCGCGGCCGACCGTTCCACGCGCGGGTCGCGGAACGACTGACTCCCCACTCGAAAATGGCAGGGCTTTGGAGGTAGCGCTCGAGTGGGGGGCCCCCCGGCGATACTCCCCGCATGCGCACAGAGCACCCCGCATGCGCACAGAACACCCTGCATGCGCACAGAAGACCGCTCGAGTGGGGGTCGCCAGGCGATACTCCCTGCATACGCACGCACACCGTCCATGCGTACAGAACACCGCGGGCAGTCTCAGTTTGACGAGCTACGATAATTGCGAAAATTCTTAACCTAATAAATAATTCTCTCTTAAAAAAAACAGTGCAATCACGTAAAATCCAATAGTCAGTGAAAAATAATTGATTGAAGAGAATTTAACGTGTGGATTTTGATCTTGACCATCAAAAACACTTCGATTGGATTTCTGAAACGGGAATGGGAGTATCAGATACATCGAATTACGTTCTGTTTTCTACTCCCGTCAGCTCGAGTGCCAGTTCGTCGGCGAAAACTGCTGCATCCGCTGTAAGTCGCTGTTATTTTTTAATAAAAAATAAGAGGAATCAATTTATTCATTGTTATTGCCTGAGTTTTGGAGACTGGGTAATGCTTCTATAGTTTATTCTATTTTTTCTTTAAACTTTGAGGTCATGTAGATACCACACATCCCATAAACCAAGGCCATATTTTCCTTTTTTTCCTGCTATTTAAAATGACCATTTTTTAAATAGTCCCACCAGTGCTGAACAGCTGCAGAGTGGGGATGACATGGAGATGAGGGGAAGGTGATAGTGACCGCCGCGCTGTCTCGTGCCGCCTGAGAGAACTTGTCCCATCTTGGATGGAAAAACCCTAGAACAAAGCCTAGCCGCGGGAATTTCGAATTAACTAATTGAGCCAACGCGATCTCTGGAATTATAATCCAAGGAGAATATTTATATCTATGTACTAACTGTTTCAGAATTGATTTGAACAAGTAATCAAACAGACAATTAAACTCATCTCTTTTATTGTTTACAAATGACAGAAGATAGTGCACGGAGTTTGAAGTTAGTATTAAATTTATAAAAATCAGCGGATGAAGATAAAATACCTCAACCTGGAGGGATCCGTCTAGTAAAAATGGGGCCATAGGGACCCTATGTAGTAACTGGCGATGATATATATATACTTTCGTTTATTCGCTGCTCCAGTCGCTCGTCACCCTCGAAATCGACCGGATTGCCTTTTCCTCGACGACGAGTCTCCGGGTATATTCGCATTAATTAATTCGCTTATCAACAATAATGGCGACCAAATACCAGGTCTGCATCATTGGCTCTGGAAACTGGTGAGTTTTAATAAGACGAGTCCTCGGGTTTTGTCTTGGAGTGGAAATGCCAGGTGGTGAAAAATTTCCAGGAATTGTTCTAGGGGTGAATTAACTGCGGCTTTGGGGTGTCATGTGGTACACTTCCGGGGGAAATTTTAGGTTTTTGTCTTCACGTGGGTCAACATGTCCCTGACCTTTCCACTTTAATCCCTCGTCCGAAAAATAAAACGTCAGAAATCGATTATTTTTTATTTCATTCAATTTACTTTTTTACGAATTAACTTGACTTTCACATCCATAGAGAAAATAAATAGTTACTTTCTCCTATTTCTAGTGGACGTTTACTGAAATTTTATAATTTTATGGAAATTTTTGGTAAAAAACTCGATTTTTTGCAATCGTTATAATTAAAATTGTTAAAATTGTCTAGAACCAGTGAAATTGTTTAAATACGCATTTGTTTTGAATAGAATTGTTATAAATGATTATTTTTATTCCTGTTGATTTTTTTATATTTGGGCAAGGACCGCAGTATTTAAATGGAATTCCAATTAAAATCCAGTGAATTCCTCTTGAAATGAAAATTCAACTGAGTTTCTCAGAGAAAGCCTCAGGTCATTAATTTCTTCCACGAGGACTGCGGAAATGTCTAGGGTTTCTCCATCGCCGAATTACTGAGCAATTAATAATTCATCATCTTAGGAAAACTCGTTCCACAGGCTATTATGTAATGATCCGGTTTTATTTTTAAAGTCGACAACGTAAAGTTGAAAGAAGTTATAAATTTAGCTGATGTTCCGAATATTATTGCCACATAATGCAGTTTCCACCCCAGGGGCTTCAGGAAAACAATGGGAAAAAATTGGCGAACAAAAACAACAAAAGGACTCAAAAAATAATCCCAGGAAAATTCCAGTGCTGACACTCCAATTTTTATCCATTTTACCAGAAAAAATCCATCAAAATCATTCACAAAAAAAACCCAAAATTTCCATTCAAGCAACTGAAATCGTTCCCCTTTTCTACTGCTGTCCTTGACCCTTTCTTATAAAATTTTTCAAGATGAAAAAAATGATAAACTGATTTTTTCTCGCAGGGGCTCAGCCATAGCGAAAATCATCGGTGCAAATGCCAAAAATCTGGAGAATTTCGAGGACCGAGTGACGATGTATGTCTACGAGGAGATGATAGAAGGGAAAAAACTCACGGAAATCATCAACGAGAGCCACGAGAACGTCAAGTATCTACCAGGGCATAAAATTCCGGAGAACGTCGTGAGTAAGACTTTGAAGCCAAAAAAAATTTCAGCCCTTCATTATTTGAGCGCAAGTTGACCTTGACTTCTACTCGCGACGTCTACAGTAATTTGTCATCGATTTTTCTCACCCTCCTACACTCCGTCTATTTACAAACAGAATAAACAGCGCAAAATCCATGACGATCGTTGTTTTATCTCGAAAAAAACACAAATCAGTCGTAAAATAAAATATTATAGCTGATTTGTAGCGTATTCCGAGAAAAATGGATAATTACAATTGTTTATGCCAATTTTGTGACAAATATGTTGGAGGGATTGTTTTTTTTTAGTGAGAAAAAATCGATCAAAAATCCCAGAGATTTTTGGAAATATATTGCAAATTAATAACTAAAATAATCGGTTGCGCTCATTTTGACAGTATTTTTTTCAAAATAATTAAGTGTAGCAGTTGTACGAAAACTCCTCATATTTATAGTGATAGTTCTGCCCAACTGATAACACGAGTGAGTAGATAAGGGGAAAAAATATGTTGTTGAATTGATTATGTAATCAGAAATAGTACGTTTGATTTAGATGCAACGAAAACGTTGTAATTACAATTCCTTCTCTTTTTAATTGGTAATTACTTCCTTTGAGTACTAATTTAATTAATTATAATTTTCCCCTTTGGACCGTGAATGGCGTGATGACTTCCCATAACTCTCACAAATAATTCCATGACAATCACATAAAATTTCAGGTTGCAGTCCCTGACGTTGTGGAAGCAGCAGCTAATGCTGATATCCTAGTCTTCGTCGTTCCCCATCAATTCATTCGCCGGATATGCAGCACATTGCTGGGAAAAATAAAACCAACAGCTGTTGGTTTATCTCTCATTAAGGTAATTTGTTAATTCAACAAAATCCACAATGACCAGCAATTATTTCTACCAACCAAATCTGTCTTAACGAATTCGCCTGAAATGAAATGAGAGTTACAAAATACTTGAAATACATTATCCCATGAATTTCTTGTCTCCTCAGGGTTTCGATAAAAAAGATGGTGGTGGCATTGAATTGATCTCCCACATAATAGCTGCGGAGCTCAATTTACCCATGGCTGTCCTCATGGGGGCCAATTTGGCATCTGAAGTCGCTGATGAGATGTTCTGTGAAACAACAATAGGTAAATTCATGAATTCCCTCTCAATTCAATTTTCCCTCTCGATCAAACGCGGAATGATAAACTTAATCTATAAATCAATATTCTTCAAACAGGAAAAAAGAAGCATAAAAATCGTTCTGATCGCGTTTAAAAAAAATAACTTCTCCGAATTTCCTCTTCGAGAAATACCCCCGATAAAAATATTTGCACATTAAATAAAGAACAGAAACAATAATAACATATCTATTCCTCTTGATTTTAATTGAACTTTAACTCTATTGTTTTAATTAAATTGAGATAAATTAGTTCAGTGGCAGGGGGATCTATTTTTAATTTTATCAAAAAGCTGGTCGTTATTTTTCGTCCAGTCATCGGGTGCCACGTCCAAAGTGTAGATTACTCGAATTAATACTTTGAACGTTTCAGGCTGCAAGGACAAGGCCGTTGGTACGGTACTGCGAGATATGATTCAGACATCATTTTTCCGAGTCGTTGTCGTTGATGACGTGGATTCGGTCGAGTGCTGCGGAGCCCTGAAGGTAATTTATCCATCATCTTCTTAAATTGCTGTGACCGATGGGGACTCGATGCATATCACTAGCCAAGTGGAAAAATAATATGAGTCGATTTTCAGGCTCATTAAACACCGACTTATCTAAAAAGCTTTATTTCTACTCTTGAAGTTTATCATAAAACACTCATCATTATTATTTATACGAGTAAACTGAAGATGATGTCATTAATGAAGATTGTGAATGATCCTGTAATTGAGACGATTAATTTTAGTGTATTTTCATTATTTAGAATATTGTAGCATGTGGGGCTGGCTTTGTTGATGGTCTTGATCTAGGAGACAACACCAAAGCAGCTGTTATTCGACTTGGGCTTATGGAGATGATTAAATTCGTCGATGTGTTCTTCCCTGGGGGAAAGCTGGGTACTTTCTTCGAGAGCTGTGGCGTCGCTGATTTAATCACCACGTGCTACGGCGGAAGAAACAGAAAAGTTTCTGAAGCTTTTGTTAGGACGGGAAAGGTAAACTATTTCTACGATTGTTCATGAGCAATTAATTATCACAATAAACAAATCCGTACGACGAAATAATTTTGCACAGACAATCGAGGAGCTGGAGAAGGAGATGCTGAATGGTCAGAAGCTCCAGGGACCTTTCACAGCGGAGGAAGTCAACTATATGCTCAAAATAAAGAGCATGGAGGGCAGATTTCCATTATTCACAGCGATTCACAGAATCTGCGTTGGAGAACTCAAGCCAAGTGATCTCATCGACTGCATTCGCAGCCATCCCGAACACATGTAAGCTCAATAAATTGAAAACTGGGGTCGATCTGGTGGAGGAAGGGGATTTATACCCGCAAAAAAATCTCAAACTGCTACTGGAAAGGAAGGAATGCTTCTTTTACTTTCTGCTTGCCTCTAATTCTCGTCGTACTGCATCAACAATTTTGTTGTTTTTAATTTTTTCAACTTAAATCTAAGTATTGTTTCTCCACTGGAAGTTGTTACTGTAAATATGTACGTATGGTTGTAGATTATGTATATTAGCGAGACAATTCTGGATGGAAATTTTTTTTGGTTGAGTTTTGGTGAGTGGACGAGGAAAAATTGAAGAAAGCTTTCTTTTTAGAATTGACAGGAAATATTTAATAATAGTCTAGATTTTTTCTAGACAGATTTTTAGTCAACTCAACTCTTTCAGATACTCAATTGTGGAAAGCTTTTTTCCCCAGTTGTAGAAATTTAGATAAATTCTACTTCGTTGGGAATCTAATCGGTGAGACGAGAGTCAAGAATTGTTAATGATCTGTTATCGATTGACGAATGTATTGGAGATAAATATACGAGTATGTTACGAAGATCCATCAATGAAATCGTCTAGTGAAATTGCTCTCGTGCACGTCTTTCCTGCTTGCTCTAATCATTCCTCATGCCGATTTATTCATATTTTTTTATCGCATTTCATTCATCCTTAGGTATGGCGACCAGAATCTCCCACCCCAGTGCCACCTCTGAAGACACGAAGAGGAGATTTGTTGAGGATCGATCCAGAGAAGATATATTTTTGTTATAACATATCAATACTAAAACTCCAAAGATAATAGTATTTTTAATGAAATTATTCCAGAACACGATAATACGTGGATTGATGCAGGAAATAACAAAAAGAGAATTTATACTGAAACACATGTGTTCATTCAATATAAAAAAAAAAACAAGTACTAATTTTAATTAAGGCATAACAATACATAACATAAATAATTGAAATTGCAATGAAATTATGAAAGACATGAAAATTGTCTTGATATTTTATTAATTGTTATTGATTAACAATTGGGCTCGCCTGCAATAAATTTTACTTGTCAATAATAATGAAAATTGATTTAAAAAAATCTAATTTCTGAATAAAATCACTGAAAAAATTGAATACCGTCCGAATTAATGTCTACTGAACCCGAAATTCACTAAATCTTTTCGAATTAGTCTCTTCAATCAAATATTCACGACCTACTTGTCATCATTCATGACATAATATAATATTTGGATAGACATTAAAAAAAAGGAGAGTACCTTCAGCCCCTAAAAATACAAAGGGCCTTGTCAATGAACCCTGAGGCATGCCGGCACGATCTAATATGCCAATGTCACAACATCATCACATGTGTGGACATTTTTAATTACTATAGGCTCGTTAAATATACCTGTCCCGCCCACCGGTGGCTGAGGCATAATTTTTCCTTGGAGATGTTCCAAGACTTGCGCATGAAGACTAGAAAGAACAAAATCCGCTCGACAAATCGCTCCTGAGGTCAATGGTGAACCTGAAGTGAGCCAGACATCAATCGGTAGTGCAAGAAGAGGAAGAAATTGTCTGCAGTCGAGGAAGAAATCACTTTCAGCAATTCAAAAAAATTCTCTAACACCTCCCGAAAATCCCTTCTTCACAATTATCCAAGGACTTTCGTGTTCGCCAGTTGTTAACTCCAAACATGAGTAAAAAGAGAGTCTGCATCGTTGGAAGTGGAAACTGGTAAATAAGAAACTCATTAAATCGCTAATGAATGCATGAGACGTGTCTCGGGGTAACAAATCACATCGTCCTGTCGCCATTCAATGTTCTCACATAAACGGTGGCTTCAAGGTGATCTTACCACTCAAGGAGATACCGAAACATCATCATCTCTTGATCACGCTATTTACTAGATAGTAAAACGTATAATTAATCTGCAATTACCCGTCTAAATTCAGTAGTGAAGGGATATGTGTCAAAACGCGGATTTAACGTTCTTCTTTTCGATCTATCTCGGAAACTATCGATCAAAGACAGGAACGTCACAAAAGTTTTTTTGTAGCTAATTAAATTCCGGATGGAAAAGGTATTTTAATATTTTCTGCTAGAATCAGTAATTTTGGAGATATGTCGATAGTTAACTCAACGAAAATTACTCTCAACTTCATTTGAATCATCAGTGCATCGAGTCCTGAGAGTTTACGGTAACGAGAAATAATGAGGAATTGTTGTTCAGGGGCTCGGCGATTGCCAAAATTGTTGGGGCCAACACTGCCAAGCACAATGACAAATTCGAAGAAAAGGTCACGATGTACGTTTACGAGGAGATGATCAATGGGAAAAAACTCACGGAGATTATCAATGAACAGCACGAAAATGTTAAATATCTCCCAGGGCACAAATTACCAGCAAATGTCGTAAGTACAACAACAAAATTGAGAAAACTCCAATTAAAAAAGATAAAAATGAGTCGAATACATTTTTTATTTACCCCCGATTTACCAAAAATAATCGGATAATCTCATCAAGTTTTTAATTAAGAACAGACGTTCATTCATATTTTCTCCTAACGCCAATAATTTATTAAAAAATCGATATTAATAAATCGAATAGATCTATTCATAAAAAACTTCTTCTTTTCTTCATCTTCTTTATTTAATGATTGATTAATTTTGCAGATCGCAAAAAATAGAGAGATAAATTGAGAGAGAATTTTGTTGAAATAGGAATAAAACGAATTTTTATTCAGAATTTTTAATGGAACTTCTGGGAAAATGGGATGAGAGGGGTGAATCCAAACACCTGATGAGAAATAAAATTTTTTTTATTCAGCTCACGCAATACATTGGTTTTTTATCGAGTAACAAAAAGTGTGCGATAATTATGGAGTGCAAACGTGCAAGATAATTTGTGATTAGTTTCCTCGGTGTCGGTGGGAGAGATAAATATTTGATCCCGATGTCCTCGTTAATAGCCTGACATGTGGATGATGATAACGGTGTGTTTTTGGATTAATTAGTAATCGGTTGTTGTGCGGACGTAGATTTTTCCTGACGGCATGGCGACTTTATCGACACCACCGGGGAACAGGGCAGCGAGGTCCTCGTCTTTGACAGTTGGCAGAATCATTACTTTATCGCCGGGCTGAAAAATCGGAGGATTAACGGTTTATCGAAGCTTTTGGAAATTATTTTTCGAATTTCGAGACTTACCACCCAATTTGCTGGTGTCGCAATTTGGGGCTTGCGATCTACCAGTTGCAAGGAGTCAATTACACGTAGAATTTCACTGTAATCAACAACAAGATAATTTTAAGACTGAAAATCGAATTCTACGGAATTCAGGGATAAATTAACAGAGTTGCAGAATTTGTTTATTTCATTTAATTCATTGGGACTACAAAATTAATTGGAATTTACTCGCAATTGGATTTTCATTTTATTCTTCTCAAACTAAATTCATGTAATTATGTAATTAATTTATTACATAATTTATTCTCACACTGACTTGATATTTTGAAATCGAACATTGAAATTATTAATGGTATTTAAATCTGGGACGATAAAAAAAATCGAGTGGTGGGGCTAATTTGAGATTTGGATTATTATTATTGAGACTTACTCGACATTACGACCAGTTGACGTGGGGTACTGCATACTGAGACGAAGACGATGGTCAGGGCTGACCACATAAAGGGCTCGAACGGTGATCGCATGTTCAGGATCGTCCTTCGATTGCTCGTCGATCATATCGAGTTTCACTGCCAGCGAGCGATCGTCATCGGCGACGATGGGGTACGGAAAGGCCCCGGGGATGTCCTGGCAGTAGTTCTTGATGTCCTGCACCCCAAAAAGTTCATAATAATCTCATGAATCTGATTCAAATTTACCAGTCCTCTCATCTTATTATAATCAATTTATCTCGAGATCTAACGATCACTCGTGGAAACAGTAGAGGACTTTATCACGGGTGATTAAATTTTTTACAAAAAAGTTCTTTTGACATTTCCTCTCAAAATCAATACACTTCGAGATAAATCTATATTTTGACCATCAAATTTCAGTTTTTGAATTTCATCGCTGAATTGGAATTTCATCTTGAAAAATTGGGAAAAATTGGGAAAAATTGGGAAAAATATATCTCCATCTAATCTGCAGATCCCCCGAATCGCCAGGGAATCCATAAAAATCTCTGCAATGCAGCTCATTTAATTGATACTCGATAATTAGTAATAGATGTTGTTATTTTGATGACTCACATTGACCCAGTCGACGTGATCCTTGAGCTTGTCGACCGAATGTGCCAGGAGTTTAACATTCCTCTTTTGAAACTCGGGCTGATGGACAGCAATGCGACCAAGCTCAGTAGTGCAGACCGGTGTAAAATCTGCTGGGTGCGAAAATATAACTACCCACCTGTTGAATAAAAATTCGTTATCCAATCGAATGGCAATGCCAGTACAGAGTGTCGATGTGCATCAGTGAATTTAAAATGAGAGTGAATGTCAGACGAATTGGCAAGAGGCCGATGCGGTATTGGCCCAGTTTAGTCGAGGACAATTTTAATGGACTTTTGCGCAATTTATGCACTTCCCAGACATGATTCCATCACTAGGTCCATTCATGGAGTCCAAGTGGATAATCTACCGTAATAATTTCCCATCCCCCGAGCATCTACAAATTTTTCGAATATTTACACAAACTCAAAAAAACCCAAATCAATTCCTTTGAATGTGAAGAAAACCTCTGCCCATCTGGATAATCATGAATAAATAATAATAATGGATAAATTTCAATCCCACAACGAAATTATAATTATACAATTTATTTCTATTTTTAGAATTTCAAAATCTTCAGGAGTTTAATTATGGATTTGAATATAAATCTGTAATTTGTCACTCCCAAAAAAATTTCGGTCCTTGGTATTGCTGATTACTGAAGTAATTGACAATTATTTGAATTAGAAATATTTATTTGAAATTGCATTGGAATTACTCACGAGTTTCCTTGCCACTCGTAAAAGTCGATGGGGCCCTGAGTGGTCTCAGCCTGAAAATTAGGAACGATTGAATTCAGTCTCATTTTTCTGATGAATCTTTACTGTCTCTTGACAGTGCGAATGTCTTCACTATGCGAATGCCCAACCCAAGATAGACTGTTACTAAGCGGTTGGTTCCAGCTATTTAAGGGAGAACGAGTGTCAGTTGTGTGCGTTCTGATGAAACATGCAGGCTGGAATTGTAATTCCCCCTCTTTGGTAGATAAGTCCCCGAGTGACGGAATTACATTTTAATCACCGAAAATCTGTCTCGAAAATATTCATTATGACATAATTGCTATCGGAATTTCATCGAACTCATCATCTTTTTCAATTTTTCAAATTGAATTTTGTCTGGCGCAGTTCAATATTGAATTTATTTTTATTTAATTACTTCAATTACTTTGATTTCTTTAATTACTTTACTTACTTTAATTACTTTAATTACTTTAATTCCTTTAATGGCTTAAATGATTTTAAATAGTTAAATCCTTTTCATTTCATTATTTAACCATTGCAATAAATTAAAAAGAAACTTATAAAATCTGAGATAAAGATATAGTTATAGTTATAGTTTTTTCACGGGAAAATGCGTCGGAAAAAACGTCGATGGAAAATCTGGAGGATAGAATTACGTGTAATTGATTATTTATTCAGTTAATTTAATGCAATCCTCTCACGTCTGTCGAATTGACACGGAAGCGCGTTCGAGATGCCTTGACCTTGTGGAGATTGAAGACTAGCCAAATGCCGTGACTTCTGCAATTGCTGATGACAGAATCTCTCTCAATCGACCATTCGTTTTCCCAGGTGGCCGTTCCCGATGTCGTGGAGGCAGCCAAGGAGGCGGACATTCTCATCTTCGTGATTCCCCATCAGTTCATCAGGGGATTGGCCGCTGCGATGCTTGGGAAAATTAAACCCGATGCCGTGGGGCTTTCTTTGATCAAAGTAAAAACCCCTCGAGTTAAAATTCATGAAAAAGAGTGAAAATTCTCAAAAGAAAATCTACAAAGAAATTCTTTTTCTCGCAATTTTTATTTGAACATATTTGTGTTTTCCCAGGGCTTCGACAACTCAGATCCAAAGAACATTCAGCTGATCTCGAAAGTTGTCACAGAACACTTGAAAATCCCCTGTTATGTTCTGATGGGAGCAAATCTCGCTAACGAAGTAGCAGAAGAAAAATTCTGTGAAACGACTATCGGTAATTACTCCACCTGTTCTTAATGAAAGGAATTCTATTAAATTTAGCATTGAAATATTTTATTTGTCTTTTATATGGTGCATTAGTGACGACTGATTGAGCTGACGAGAAATGTTTTCTCTTATCTCAGATCCGTGGAAATTGATTAGAGTTTTATTTACTCTTAATTATTTTCAGGCTGCAAAGATAAGCGACTGGCACCTCTTCTCAGAGATATGATTCAAACACAAAATTTTAGAGTTGTGGTGGTGGACGATCTGGAGGCAGTGGAAGTCTGCGGAGCTCTCAAGGTATTTGCCCTAAGCTCATAGAAATAATTACTCTAATTGCGATCATTATTACTAATTGCATTGATTATAATTTTAGAATATTGTGGCATGTGCTGCTGGCTTCGTGGATGGTCTCTCCCTGGGGGACAACACGAAAGCAGCTGTAATCAGGTTGGGGCTCATGGAAATGATTAAATTCGTTGACACATTCTACGGGGGATCGAAGCTGTCGACCTTCTTCGAAAGCTGTGGAGTAGCTGATCTCATCACCACTTGCTACGGTGGAAGGAATCGCCGAGTTTGCGAGCAATTCGTAAAAACAGGAAAGGTGAGACTCCATTATCCAATAATTTTGCAAGTTTTTGAGCAATATCTCTGAATCTAAGAGAGATAACAAAATATTTGTAGAATCTTTTTTTACAGCTTTCATTCCACTTTTGAACAAAGTCCTACAAAAAAATTCGTTATCTCTGATAGACTCCAGGATATTCTTCGAAAACTCGTTGTTCGTTACTGGATTAATTTGAATGAGTAATTAATTTGGAGAAATTATTTCCAGACTATCAAGGAGCTTGAGGATGAACTCCTGGGGGGTCAGAAGCTCCAGGGTCCAGCGACTGCTGAGGAAGTGAATGGAATGCTGAAGTCCAAGAATTTAACTGATAAATTTCCCCTGTTCACAGCTGTTCACCGCATCTGCAGTAAAGAGCTCAAAGGATCAGATCTGATTGATCAAATTCGCAATCACCCTGAGCACCAGTCAGTACATTTGCACTTTGATATCAAGATAGTTTGGTGGTTTTTGAATCTACCAAAATTATGATATCTCGAAGTAGAACGAATAAATGCAAAAAAGTATTTCATCGAAATAATTTTTTTTTCCACTCGATCATGAATTTGAATCGTCCCGTAGATACATGTTCAACTAAACCACCAAATTACTCGATTGAGAGGCAGCTTTTTGACTAATAATTCAGTAATTACTGTAGCTGCAGTTATTAATAACTGTAATTATTGATGATTATTATACTAATGTTTTATTCACCGGGAACAGTTTTGCGCCGAAAAACCTGTATGTGTTCTAACCCCCTTGAGGAATCTCCATTAATCCCATAATTGAATTCCAAAATTAATTAGCATAGGACCTTGCATGGCCATTAGTGCAACTGAGGTAAGAAGAGATGTTTCAGGAATGATATACAAATGCATACGGATTTTTCTTTAATTTCAGAGCTAACTTGGCGGCAGCTTGAGAATCCAAATAATCGAATCAATTAAATCCCACTGCTCAGAACTATCTAAAACCACTAGGTAGAGATAATTAAATAGCGAAGAGCAAAAATCTAACAACTCGGTTTAGTTAATAGTAATCTCGAGAAATCTCTCAGAGTCTGATAAAGATAGCTAAATTTCTGCAAGAACTTTTTTTTGGAGTGGACTGAGATTTGCACAGATCTTTCCAGGAATCTCGCTATCTCTTTGAAATGTAAACTCGACTGAGCAGCAATCAACTTGCTTTTCATCTCTTCGGCTATATGGATTTTAGGAGGAATTATGCAATATTTCCACTGCAAACCAATAGTTGTGGAGGTAAAATGAAAAATTGAGAATAATTTCAAATTGGAGAGATTGAAAAAAAATTTAAATTCGAGGTACTTCGCTACACAATTGTAAATAGGTAAATAAAAGAAGAGAAATAAGAGGAACAATTGTACATAATGATAAATAAATAAGGATTATTGCTATTAGAGATCGTTCTATTTTATTTTATGTGTTTACTCTAAGAATAAAGTAATTTACTAAGTGCGCAATCATGTCTCTATTTTCGTCCTTCCACATGGGCTTCCTGGGTTGGGCAAAGGAGTTCCTGGAAGTGGGAAATTATCGATTAAATGTTCTTCCCGAATTTTCAACTCGTATGTGCCGGGCTTCTTCTCCATTGCTTGAACTACTGTCGTCCGGATCTCGTGGTCCACGTCTTGAGCCAATTTATTCAGCTAGAAACAAAAATAATGGTAAAGAAATAATATCAGAGGAAAGTGTCATGATTTTTAAGCCAAAGCAAATAAAATAAAATTAACTAATTGACCCTTTCAATTGAATAAATAACCAATTTATCAATAAAATAGAATATTTGTTCATTTATGTAAATTTTTGTAATTTCAATAATTCATTGACTCAATCGAATTGTTTCCAGTGATTTTATATTTTTTGGCTAGATCATTTTTGAATCATATTTTTTACCTCGACTATAGTTTCCTGATTTGTGACATTTCTGTATTTCCGGTACTCCTCATTGATTCTCTGTCTAGTCACTGAAAATTAAAAAAATGATATGTACTAAACCAGGAAAATTAATCAGTACGTTTTGACCTGAGAAGGGAAAAATATTCACAAGATTGAAAAAATGATTACGAGTGAAATTGAATTGTCTACGAGTACTTGTGCGATTAATGACTGACTGAATAAATCCTCTTACGATGCAAGGCTTTCTGATCGCCCTCGAACGTCGACAATCTCGTCCTGTGAAGTTTCTTGAATACTTTGAGTACCTGAAACCAAATGAAATTCGAATATTTCTCTCCAGAAACTTATAAATACTCAAAAATACAGATGACTAAGACGCAGTTGACACAGACCCAAAAAAAAAAATAAATTAACATTGTTGAATGCTCATTACCTCCCTCCGAAGTTCTACACTCATTTCTCTATTATTTTAAAAATTATCTGCAATGTTTAATGCATCCTTTAAATAATTTCTCAGAAAACTGGGAGTCCCGAGCAAAAACAGAACCTCAAAGTATCGCGCGTGCGCAGGTAAAGAGAACGGGAATTTAGAAGTCAAACCCCACATTTGCCAATATCCTTCAGTCTATCCTCTTTCAAGGCCGTAATGCCCTCGACGTCGCCGATATAAGGTTTAAAAATCGTCTTTCCTCCCTCTCCATTAATTTTTTCATCGTGAGATCTTCCTGAAGTCAATCAGAATGTGTAATAAATCCTTGACACCACGTGAGAATACTTCAGGGAAGTATAACCTACCTCAACAATCGTAGAAGCAGAATGGAACCTAGAGGGAAGAAAAGGGTCGAGGATAGACACCTGAAAAAATGAGCGAGGTGTGCCCCAACTGTGGAAAACAGACATCATCACCTCGATGTCGATTAATAACAGACAGCTGTGGTCATGAAAAGTGTCGAATGTGTCTGTTGTACGAAGAAGAGGGCTGCAAAACCTGCAGTGATTTCCAGAGAGTCCTCTCGACGTCTTCGTCAGGTGAATTCTATAACCATTTGAAAAATTGTTAATACTCCATGAAACATTGATTTAACAGCATTTTATTATTGCCTTAATTTCCCAGGAATGATCTGAATCTTTCTTCCAGGTGCAGACGTCCAGAATCCCCAGGACACCCTTAAAAATCCAAATCACCCCTCCTCTCCAGTACCCCGACCTTCTGCACCTCCTGGTGGAGCCCCTACCCCCCCTCCAAAAGTGGAAAAATCAAAACCTCCGGACAGAAACCACATAATAACCCTCCCCGGTCACCCAGAGCGCTACAAGTGCACGTTGTGCCTAAAAATCTTCCGTAACAAAAAGGGCAAGTGCTACCACGACGTGTGTCGTACCGGAATATCCCCTTATCACTGTCCCCTCTGTGATAAGACATTCGTCAAAAAATCCCACTTTGAGTACCACGAGAGGGTGCACTCTGGCTACAAGCCATTCTCCTGTGTCATCTGCTCCAAGGCCTTTCCTCAGAAGAACAAGTTGAATCGTCACATGCAGTCGCACGATCCCGAGAAAAAATACCTCTGCTCCGTCTGCGGCAAGAGATACAACAAGAAAGACGACCTGACGACCCACAGTACAGTGCATTCAGGTGCTAAACCCCATATTTGTCCCACATGTGGTAAATCATTCAGAATTCGAACGAGTTTAAATCGCCACCTGAGGATTCACTCTTCAGAACGGCCTTTCACCTGCGACGAATGTGGAAAAAGTTTCAAGGACAAATCCTTGCTGGTGAGACACAAGAGAACACATGGAAAGGAGAGACCGTACTCGTGTGCCCACTGCCCCAAAGTCTTCCTGTCCAAGAGCGAGCTGAGAAGACACTTATCCAGTCACTCAGACGTCAAACCATTTGCCTGTAAGTTCTGCCAGACTGTTTTCAGGAGGAAGGATAATTTAATCCGACACATTCGTCATCATCACATGGAAGGGAGTGGAGCAGGGGATGGGACGACTTCAGTGGCTCCTCTGAATCACCAAAATCCAACGGCTGGAAATCCTCATCCACATTCCGTAAATCCATTGAATCAACTGAATCAAGAGAAGGGGGATCCTGAGAAAAAAAACAAGTCTAAGGATAAGAATGTCATCCTGAAGAAGGGAAACTCGACTAAAACGAAGAAAGGAAAATCTGCAGACAGCCAGATCGCTCCTCAGCACTCCACTAGCCAAATAAATTCCAGGCTAGACTCCAGAGGAGTCGCCAGTGTTATTCGTGCCCCTGGAGAGCTCAGCAATGCTGTACCTGTCATCAATGGCCCCATTAGGAGACAATCCGAACGACCAAACAAAACTGTTCTCACTTATACTCAGCCCATACCAATTGCTGAGGCTGTTGTTATCAATCAGAGGATCGAGGAGAAACTTTATCTCCAGAACTCAGGAAACAACTGCTTCTACAGGGAACGATCTGGTAGAGAGGGAATTTCGGTGGCTAGTCTGCCACCTCTTGGTCAAAATTCGGCGATCAGGGCTCTGCCTGGGGCCCGGAGAATGTCCGGGGACTCGAGTTTTTCACCTCCCAGGAGCGGAAGTCTCATCGAGCTTAAGACACCCGCGGTCGGAGAGGACGAGGGTAAGGCGAAGTGTATGATTGGGGAAGACGAGGATGTGGATGTTGAGATTTTGGACATGGAGGCGAGCAATTGGGCCTCGGCTATTAAGAAGAATCTCGGGTTCGAGGGAGCCAAGAAGAGCCCGGAGACACACTGGAGGAAGAGAACTGCTGGGAATCATAAGTCACAGCATAATTGACGATTCCACATTGTTTTAAGCTCTTCGAGCCTTTGAAGATTTATTTGTTCAATTTTTTTTTTGCAAGAATTCAAATGACAATGACGAATGAAGTTCAAGAATCGCTAGAGGATCGAAGATTTCTTCTTAATTATATTTAATTTTAAATTGTGGAGTAATACTAGTGGATACTTGAAATTGTGATATGATAAATTTTATTATTTTTGTATTGTGTGAACTCGGTGACTATTTGAAATTGTATAAAATGTAAATGATATTGGAATTGTTATGGAATTAAATGACAGGTAGGGATCAATTATTTATTATCTTAGGAGGATATTGGAATTGATGATCGGATGGTATTAACACCATGTTTTTAAAAAAATCAAATACATTCACGTGGTTTACTTAAAATATTTAATCTACTTGTTATTTAGGGCCTTATCTAGTCCATTTATAATAAAAATTGAATTTTACAATCAAAAGGATAAACTGCCTGATGTCACACCCTGGACATCAGGGGTATATTCGCAGCAATAAAAACATTATTTCTAATTTTTTAAACATCCACGTGGAAAAACTAATAAAGGCTTTTTCTTAAAATAATATAATTGATATTCACAAGACATGAGATTCGAAGGGAAAGTGACTAGTGTAATGCTTTGAACTGTCACAGAATCGTTAAATTAGCAAATGATGAACTTAGAATTGAAAAAGTAACTTTGTCCTTCGGGGATTAGTCTAGAAATTCGATTAGAACAATTGCTATCGGTTATTATCATTAATTACTTCGGTTTGGCTTTTGTCGTGTGCCAGGTCAATCGATCCTCGTAGTATCTGATGACTATCTGCGGGCACATTACGTTGGCTTCCTTTGCTGAAACTAAATCTGTCTCCTCTGAGCCCTGCCTGGACAGAACCAAAATGCCAATCCAAATTTCAGACAAAATCCCAAAAAATACTCTTCCAATAATTCAATTATAATAAGTAATTACTGATTGCTATTGATAGAAAAATAATATTCGCAATTGAATTTCTTGTTGCAAAAACATGACCTGTAAACATTGATTTTATTTTAGATCATTACCATTTCATGAGAAACATGAGCTCTCCACTGGAGTCAGTTGCTCCAATGATTTTCTCGGGCTGGAATCCCTTCTTGAAGCCTTTGGGCTTGTCCTCATCCTTCATAATTTTCTTAGAACTCATCTCCTGATGAAAACACACGAAGGAATCAACGGAATGTCAAAATAAATGACAACTAAGAGTCGCGTACATAAACTCACGATTATCTTCAAGGTTAGTTGGACTCCAAGATGTCAGTGTAAGAATCCTCGATTAAAATCTCCTTTCAGAATCCTATTGTCATCACGAAGACACGAAATTCAGTTTAATGACCTGAAGACGATTCACTGAAGAACGCGAGATCATAATTTACTGACAGCAATCATTTATGGCACTTGTTTATGTTTAGAAACGCCATGTTTGATTGTTTGGTACAATTTCGGAGCGATTTTGACTTCATTTTGAATTTTCCTTCCTTCCCGAATTCATTCGATGTTTTGACTGGGGCAGGCGGGATGAATGGGCCCAAATCATAGCTGATTGGAGCTGCCATTTCGGGCGAAACTGGCGGGACTACTCAAAAGACCAATTATAACAATGTGACATTTCCATAATTTAATTGTTAATTACAATAATAATACTTTTAAAAGCGAGAAAAATTCCATCAAGAATTGACGTCATAATAATTTATAACTGGCAATTGAACAGTTGTTGTTATTCTTTGGTTCGCTGTTTGAATTGCCCGCTGGAGTAGCACTTCCGGTTTTGACAGAAAATGGCAGATTGACAATGATGGCGATGATGGTAATCTCTTCGTAGAGAATATCTAACGAGGGGTTCACGAGGGCGAGTCAACGGACTGCCAATCGATCGTCACTCGTTTTCGGAGCAGTTGCGCTTGGGTATTCGTAGAAACTCCTGTGTTTGGATTTTTTTCCCGTCTCCAACGTTTTTTGGAGACAATTTGAGGATTAAGGATGGTAAAAATGGAGCACGAGGTGAGTTGCGACGATGAAATATATTGAAACAACTCATTTTACGATTTCATTAAGAAAAAAAGTATAAGCCTTGTCGATCAGCTCGCGGCGTGTGTCATATAAAAATTATTGTTTAAAATAGCGCAATCAACCTCTTGTATAACCCCTTGTATAGCTGTTACTTTTTGCGATTTAGTTATCATTTATAATTAATTTAGGATTTTTTTCTTTTGAGATAATCTGGGTATTTGTGTTTTTGGATTCACGGAGACAAATGCGTAAACATTTTATGTTTATCGTCTTCAGGGGAGGGTGGTTTTCAGTTTTTGTTGTCCAAGTCTTGAATATTGTTTCTATTCGATTGTTGCATCATATTGGGACTGTAACATTGCAAATTTCTATTTTTGGAGATCGAGAAACCGGTAATGCGCCGAGAAAAATGGCGACGTTTCAATTATTCTAAGGGTCTGGTTGACGCTTTGTGTTTTGTTTGTTGATTTTTTTTGTTGATCGGGTGAATTTTCGGAGTTTTGGATTTCAACGTGATTTTTGGGGGTTTACTCAAAATTTTGGAGGGAGAATCGGAAAATTTACTGAGGCGTACCCAAGCCGCGCCATTTTGAACATCAATTGCTCTCTCCATCATAACAGACGATTTCTGTTGAAATTCCGACGATTTCGTAATCTGTTTTTGCGCAATAACCTAGGATCTCCGAACGGTGGAAAAATTTCGTAGACATCAATAGAAATTTCGCTATCCCTTATATTTTCACGTATTTTACAGAAATTACGAATAAAATATAAGATATGAAGATATTTTGTGTAAAAATGAACAGTGAGATATGAATTTTGTTTAATGTTTGCCCTTAGGATGGTAAAAATGAACCTGAGCATGTCCGCAAGCTCTTCATCGGCGGTCTCGACTACAGAACCACCGATGACTCCCTCAAGAAGCATTTTGAGCAGTGGGGCGAGATCGTGGACGTTGTGGTAATGAAGGACCCGAAGACAAAACGCTCCAGAGGTTTTGGTTTCATCACTTACTCCAGGGCCCACATGGTGGACGATGCCCAGAATGCTAGGCCCCACCGTGTGGATGGAAGAGTTGTTGAACCCAAGAGGGCAGTCCCTCGTCAGGAAATCGGCCGACCTGAGGCCGGTGCCACTGTCAAAAAACTCTTCGTCGGTGGCCTCAAGGACGACCACGAGGAGGAGGACCTCAGACAGTACTTCCAGAGTTATGGAAGTATTAACTCTATCTCAATCGTTACTGACAAGGAAACTGGCAAGAAACGTGGCTTTGGTTTCGTCGAATTCGATGATTACGATCCTGTTGATAAAATCTGCCTGCAAAGGAATCACCAGATCCGGGGAAAACATGTCGATGTTAAAAAGGTGAATATTAATAATGATATATCCAAATTATATAATATATTTTTTATTTATCATTTGTTCATTTTGGAGATTAATTAATTGATAATTAGGAAAAATTAGTAATTTGATTTATTCATTTTCTATTTTTTTCACTGAATTGTAATGACACAATTGTAATGATTTTAAAATGGAAAATTTTTCAAGAATTCTTGTAGAATCGAGTGATCTCTGATTTTAGGCATTGAGCAGAGCAGAAATGGCATCAGCCACCGGTGGCGGTGGCGGAGGTGGTGGTGGAGGTGCTGGTAACCGCGGGGGGCAATCCGGGGGGAGGGGTCCCAGGGGTGGCAATCAGGGGGGCAATCAGGGAGGAAATTGGGGAGGTAGGGGAGGCGGTGGTGGTGGTGGGGGCGATTGGAATAACGGTGGTAGTCAGGGGGGTTACGGAGGGGGTAATCAGGGGGGATGGGGTGGAAATGGACCCTGGGAGAATCAAAATCAAGGCAAGTCATCAGGCGAAATAGGTGAACACTATGAATTATTTTTTTAAATCGACTTATTATTTCAATAGCAAAATTATAAATCAAGATTATTGGAATTTCACTTTTATCAAATTTCGATTTATCTCAATAACTGTTGATTTTAGAGGGAAACATTGTCAAAGCTTTTTTGGGGAAATTTAATTGGCTATAAAAAAAGGTCTTGGAGGTTTTCACTTCTCACTTTTAGTGAGATGAGAAAAACGTTGAATTCACTTTATCTCAGTTTATAATTTTGTTATTGATTTTACTCGCTTTTTACTGTTCGATTTCAATCATCTTTTTGACTCGCAGGGGGAGGCTGGGGTGGCCAGGGGGGCCAGGGTGGTTACAATTCCGGGGGCAACTGGAGCAATGACAACTTTGGCAGTGGATATCAGCAGGGATATGGCGGTGGACCAGTCAGAAACAACTTCAATTCGGGAGGAAGGCCAGCACCCTACGGTACTAGTATGGGTCCTAGTGGCCGGCAATCTGGAGATGCGAGATGGATGCCACAATTCGGTGGACAAGGTTGCTCTTAACTCATTCAACAGAATTGTCTTTGGATGTACAACGAACGCTCATCGTTCAATCCCAGATCCCACTAAAGAAGTGGACAATTTTGACTGAATTTTTTACTAATTCCTCTGAAAAAAAAAAACTGAATTCACTAACTTCAGCTAATTCTCACATCACAAAGTTTCATTGAAAAAAAAAAACTAGAGAATTCCCTGTAGAATTATGATCTTTCTCTAAAACATTTCAAATCGAACTCGTAATTACATTTTTCCTCTTTTCCCCTCAGAAAAGCAAGTAATCACTTGTTTTTCGTTTTCCTTTGATACGTCTTCCTTGAATTAGTCATATATTGTGAGAGCCCCTTTGTCCACTTAATCGATGTAGCAACTGTACCGATTCACTTTGTTAATCATCGACACGAAAAAATCAGTCCTCTTGAAGAAATCTTCATTATGCAGTTAAATTCATGATATTTCATTTATCATTTCAGGCCCAATGGGCGGAAACTCTGGTGGAGGTGGTGGCGGTGGCTACGGTGGTGGCAACCAGGGTGGCTATGGCGGTGGCAATATGGGGGGTGGAAACATGGGTGGAGGTGGTGGCGGTGGCCGAAGATACTAAACCCAGAATGAACCAGGAACTCTCTCTCGTACGGTGAGTATTTCCACTAGTCTCTAATCAATCTCTAATTTTCCAGCCTAATTGAAAATAAAAACATATTCAACGACTTTTAACCGGATTAGAGTCTGAATTTCCCTAGTCAGAGCAAAATTATTCTCTCCACCCCCCAGGCAACAAAGGCTCAATCACGAGCTCAATTATTTATTTCATCAATTAGATTAACACAGGATGTAGAACGTTAGTTTATCACGTGAGATTTAATCACAGGTGCAGGCCCATGATTTTTTTCATTGATCCGATGAGTTGAGAATGGCCGAATGCCAGAAAAAAAAATTGATAATTGTTAGTTTAATTTAAGGTGGAATGAGCGTAACGTCAACTAACGTGATTTTGTCAATTTTAAACCTCAGGTGATCCCCTACTACTTGTCTTCTAGTCCGCACAGTAAACAACTGTGCTGTGTTAGTATGAAGGCGGCAGGCAGGGTCTAGAAAGACAGGACAATGGCAGGACAATCAGGAGGTACAGGAGAAAGTAATGAGAGTGAAAAAATCGAAAGATCAAAGTGAGGGAATAGGTGAATTAAGGATATCCATTTAAGTATTGACGTAGGTTTGAGGGGTTTTATGTTCACACGAGAGAGTTTTAATTACTTTCAATAGTTTCCCTTTTCAGTCCGTGCTGTTTTGCTTTTTTTTTTATTGAGGGTTTCATCACGGGTTCAGAACAGGTCTGGGTTTTATCATCACAATACATTCTGGGACGAACCATTCGCTGTGAGAGTTTAACGTGTCGATTAATATTTAATACCAATTGTTCGGGAGATTATGGCACTTTTTTCCAATCATTGAGGTGGAGATAGAAGATAGAACATTTGACAGCATTTCATTGTCGTGGATGTGTTTAGGTTAATACCCAATTAATGTTTAAGTTGTATAATGTCTTAAGAGGTAGTTTGAATAAATGGAGAATTGAAACAACATTACCAGAACCTTTTTCCAGTTTTTAAAGTCTCCTTTTTGGGGAGGAGGATTTGTTGTGAGCGTGCTGTCAAAATACGAGGATTTATTTGGATATTGTGTATGTAGTCTGTGGTAGGTTTATGTAATTGAAGGGAACACGTGTGATCAAATTTAATTATTAAAGAATCGCGATATTTTATTGAAACTCTATTTTTTATTGGAGTTTTATTGATATTTCTATATATTCTATCCTCAAAAAATTGCGCAGTACGTGTTTCGACGGGATATTTATTCATAGAAAAACATTTACATTTTTTTATAAAAATTCGTGATGGTCATGAATTAGAAACAAAATTTTCCTGGATTTCAATTTCAGATAACAAAAAAAAAATGCAGTAAAAAAACCTTCAAAATTTGCACCCAAGAATTTTTATGGTTAAAAATAAATTAAAAAATTTTTTCCCATTAGATTTCTTTTAATAAAATGATACAGCAATTTTTTTAATATACTTTTGATAAAATCCCAATAAATTCCTATCAAGTTTCAATGAAAAGTCAGTGGGATTTTTAAAAGAAAATTATTTTTCTTATTAATTTTTTTCACACGTGGTTAATTTTCTGGTGAAAATCTGTAGCAGGTAGTTTTGACAAAAGAGGAGTTTTGTAGTTGAGGATTTTGAGGATTCTCTGGTATTTCGACGAGCTCTGGCGATAGGGCAGGCTTGATTATTTGTAAGCACAGTACTGGAAATAATTTGTATATAAAATCATAATAATCATAAAGGATGACATATTATCACGATTGTATTTGAATTTATTCATTGTTTGGGTGGGATTATGGATAGATCATATGTATTCATGAGAAAAGCAAATTACTACTCGAGAAGCGCTACTTCGATTTTTGAAACTTTGAATTTAAAAGAAAATACTGTAGAACTGTTTTTATTTAACCCGTTAAAAGAATTTTTAATAATTCAGTAGGAAAAGTGTAAAACAATTCAAATCAACTTCCTTTTCGAGAAATATCTCTTGATCTACGGGAGACAGCGAAATTTTCGTTATTGTCGTTTTTGTAGTTCTCAATGAGCCCTACAAAGAAGGTCATGACAAAAATTTTGATATCAACGCTCAATTCAGAGATAATAATCGAAAACGATAGTGAGAATAAATTGTAAGTGTTTTCATTAATTCTCTACTGAATTCTGGAATGACTTTTATTTTACTGGTTATCCCTCGACTAAATCCACTGAATTAGCACGAGATTAGACGATTCTGAGGTATTTAACAACCCAAGGAGGAAGAAAATAGTCAAGAAATAGGCGAGGATAAGAGGAGAATAAGAGACAGGGCAGATAGAGCAAGTGGAAGGATTTCTAGTTCTAGCCCAAGGAATATCACTAGAACTTTTGCCTAGGCCTCTATCGCTTACCCCACGTGTAGAAACTTGTACGCAGGTAGGAGGTAATTAGATCAATTAAATGTACGAAGATGAAGAAAAAATCTTCGAGAGAATTAATGCATGAGAAGCTTTAGTGTTTTATTTATTATTCTGTTGATTTCTCTCTGGTCCCCCAGACCAGGCACGTTTTCGTTTTTTTTTTTTCGTTAATTTCTGTCTCGAGGACACGATTTATCGATTATGGAATTTTGCTAGGAGTTTGAGATAATTTTTTGGGGGATTTGAATCCATTATATTAGAATCAGGAAAAATTAGAAAGGCCTCAGAACAGGACAGATCATTGCCACTCATTCGTTGAAATTCTTTTCATTTATCTTTCTTGTCAATTTTTTTTCATCAGATGTTCACACAGAGGACAAAAATTTCTTTACGTTGATAAAAAGATTTGGGCATCCGAAAGAATTCTTTTCTGCCTCAATAAATTTATTTTTGTAACGTAAAGAATTTTTTATTTCACCATCAAGAAACTTTTTCTCTATGTGTACGTTTTTTTTCTATATTAATGTGTTGTTCTTTCGTTTTTCATTAATTTTCTGGTTTACCGTGTTGGCCTTCGACACTCCGACGAGCACGAGGTCGATTCTACCTGCAAAATGACTCTCGACGTGGCTTATAACACCAGAGGTAAGTCCAAGTGCATATCGGACATTTTTCATTCTCACTACCTGTATCAAATGAAAAACAAATAATGTGCAAGATTATTTATAGAATACAACAGTCGAGCTTCGACACTTGCGCTGATTAATAAATAAATTTCTTTCAGTAATCAAATGTGATTTATTCATTCCTTGGAACCTTTTATTCCACTCATTGATCCCTAATGCGATTTAATAAATGTGTAATTGAGATTAAAAAATTGTCTTTGGCTGGGAGATGGGAAGTTATTGGATGATTTATACTGGGGATACAGCGAGGGGGGGATTTTCAGAGGTTTCTGAGCTGTTGCTGCTGGCACTGCTGCTCGGGGGGGCCTCACTCCTCGTCTCCGTGGGGTCAGCACGATAAGGAATGCACGTGTGGGGTCCCACAAGACCCCTGCCACTGTCTTTGTAGATACACAAGCCACAGAAGGAGCTGTTGTACACTGGGAAATTCACAAGACCATTCGATACTGCGAAATTTCTAAAACCAAAAAAATTGTTGGTCATCAGATTTTTTCATTTCATTTTTCCATTCCTTATTCTCTCTCCGGTCCATCAATCTTCTCTGACGATAGTTATTACCATTCAATATAATTTAATGAAACTTTATTAATTGACAATTCTATTGGAGCTGCGGTAGAAAATAAAATTTATCAGGAAGAAATGTGTGATTAAATAATTTAATTGATGTTGAAGACTAATTATTCTGAGCAAAAGTGAAAAAGCGAAATTATGCGTTTTTATTTGGTCGTGTACATTCATGTTTTCTTGATAAATGAACTCATTGCAGGTCTCAAGGGCTCTCTTTTCTCTCTGATTGTCGATTCGCGTGTTCTACAATGATCTCTTCTATGATTCACCTCTTTAGCAGCTATTAGAGGCTTTCTTCCAATCCCCACAGATTCTTAACCGGGGTAAATAAAAGGGATGATTCAATTACAGCACAGAGTAAACCCTAATCGTTTTATCGTGGAGTGGATGGAGCTGAGGCATTAGAGTGGAAAACATGTGTTAGTTCTCGTGGATTATGCCCTCCCTCCATAGGAAGTCATTATCCTGTCGTTTTGTGAATTCGAGAAGACATTGATTGCGTGCGAATGCTTGTTGAATTATTGTAATGAGTAATTAATTGACCAAATAATCAATTAATAATGAATATGAACAAATAGTTTAGCAAAAAATATAAGAACAAATTAATTTTTATTCTCTACCTTTTTATTTAGTATTTTTTCTGGGCTTTTTATATAAAAAATGTAAAAAACCGGTATTGGCGCCAGAATTTTTCGAGAAAAATTGATTGACTGATTTTTTTTTCATCTCTGAATTTGAAGTGAAGTCCTTGAGGACTGAATTCACTAACAATACCGCTGGCCACGCGTGTAATCCCACTTGAGGCTATTTATCGTGGTATCGCGTACTCCCCAATTCATCTCAACAGTATCCTACGGCGGTTTATACACCTGATACAAATAACGGGGGACACTTGTCGAGATGGTAAACTTCTGGATAAATGCATTCCGTGTTATTGCACACGATTTGACGTGAGAGGGAAAATGGGAGAATCAGCTAGGGGACTGAATACAATTGATTTCCAGCAGGCGATTCTCACGGTGGGATTCTTGTTAGTAATGTGTTGTCTTTTGCTTTTCGAAATAGTTGGGGCTAGTATGGAGCCAGAAAATCGACCGCCAATCCCTCCACACCAAATTACAATCAACTATAATAATTTTCTGGAAAAAAAAAATTTTTTTCTCTGAGAAAAATTTGTTCCGATATTTTTAAATAAATTATTGTCTACAAGATTTTAATCTCATTCGCATCTCATTTGAGTTTATTCGATTATTTATAAAATTGGGAGGTAGTCAAGAAATTTTTTGAGAATATCTGGTGCGACAGTGGTAAAAGGGCGTAAAGTGACGGGTGAAAATTATTTTTTGATTTAAAAAATCACCTGTACTGTTGGTCCAACTGGGCCTTCTCGATTCGTTTGTCTTTGGCCCTTCGATTTTGAAACCAGATTTTGATCTGGGTCTCTGTCAGCCGAAGGGATGAGGCCAGCTCGAATCTTCGTCCTCTGGAGATGTATTCACCCCTGTGATACTCGAATTCCAGTCTTGCTGTTTGCTCTCCAGAGAATGTCGTACGCTGTCGTCTCGGCTTTCCCTCTTTTCTCCTCCTCCTCGCCACTAATCAACATCAAACATAAATCGATCAATTAATATATTTAACTATTTTTTATTAAACCCCATTGATTTTTTTCTTTTAAATTAAAAAAAATGAAAAGCGACAGTTTCATCATCTCACAATAGAAATCCAGAAAAAAAATTGAAAAATTATGGAATTGCAGTAAAAAAAATTGCGTGTGAGCAAATAAATGAGATATTCAATAAAAGGAAATAAAAGGAAATAAAAGGAAATAAAAGGAAAGAAATGGAAATAAAAGGAAAGAGAAGGAAATGAAAAGAAATAAATGAAATAAAAGAAACGAAATTTATTATGTATTATTCTTCTACTTCTGTGATCTTAATGATGAAATTCATATTTAATTGAATCACCCGAACAGACACGATGGAAATACTAATTTTATTTGAATTGAAGTATCGAGATCAATTGAATCTCCCCGACAAGCATTTATATGACATTTAAAATACGTTAAAACGAGTGGAATATGTGGGTTTGTGCAAAATCCTTTCATTGTACCATGAAAACTGTAATCCGATCAAATTCGACGGACAGTCGACCCAACGGGCGTGCAGAGGGACTTGTCCATCGAAACGAGAATCGGTGTGACGAATATCATGAGAGGGAAAAATTTACAGAACCTCCAGTTGGAGATCCACTCAACCGTGCATTTTGTATTTTCACATTACAACAAACACTTGTTGTATTTCTTTTTTCAATTTTCTTTGTGAATTTATAGTTCATTCGGTGGATGAAATAATTCGAATGAAATACTGGAGAGCTGGTACAGGGTGGGGTAACTAGTGATTAATTAAAATTTATCAAGAATTTGTTGGGGGATGCACGTGTTGCCGTGTTATATTTTTCTCACAGCATTCTATCTTCTCAGTATCACCTGGATTCGATCACCAGGGGGTGGAGAACTCGGAATCTCACCCTCGATTGAGCCATCACCCTCAGGGTAATTCGATGAGAATGGGAATCATCTGGTGGTACCACGACTGATGGGTTTATTAAGATTGAGGGGAGAGCATCGGCTTAATTACTTTTTCCAAAATCGAATTTTCGCCGATGAGTTTGTTATTTTTTGGTTCCCCTTTCGTATTTTACCTCTCAATATTTTCCCAAAATCGATCGGTTTATTTATATCCATTTATTTATCGTTTCAATTATAATTTTTTGGTAATAGTGGAAAAATCACTGGAGCTCATTAATTTAATTTAATTTATTTAGAATTCAATAATAGTTTTCGATTTTTCGAGTGGCGATTGATTCTTTTCATTTTAATCAATGAAAATTCGGATGGAATTGAAGGAATAATGAAAAATGGAGGATGGATGTGGAATAGAATGGGAAATGGGAAAATTGGAAAATATGATTTGCGGATTGATGAGATTTGGTGGAAGCCAATTCAAGTCTTGGGCAATAAGCAATCAACCCGAAACCCCTGCTTACGATTTTTCAATAAAAAAATGATAGAGATTGATTCAGTTTACATCCTGTGTCAATGTTGGTACGCATCAGGGGACAATTAGTATCCGATTACGCATTTCACGTTGGGTTGTAACGAGATTACCCGAAGCCTCGTGCCCATGTGCCACAACTTCCGGCTATCGTTTTGCCCCGCATCCTAATTATCCGGGTTCCAAGGGATTTTTTATTTTTATACGCGGCGATTGAGTTACTCGTCCTGATTTCTTTTTCATTTCAATACTAATAAACAAATCTGATGATTAAGCAGAAAAATAGAATTTTATTACAAATTTATTTATTATAATTCAATTGATTCCTTTTTACTGACTATTCTATTGTTATTTCATGTCTATTTAATTTATTTATTATTATTGTTTCATTTCATTTATTATTTCATTAGAAATTACTAGAAAAAATAGACAAGTGATTAATCAGGATTAATGATAATTTATAATTATTGGGGAAGCAGTGAAAATTTATTAATTTTTGAAATAAAAAATGAGAGGAACACTGAAATTGCAATTGGCAAACGCGATTCCCACATGATATATACATATATATAAATGTAAAATACATATTCAAAATATATGTCCCATATATTTAAGATATAATTCCAACAAAAAAAAAATATTTCAGTTATAATTTTTGGAGAATATGTTTCCACGCGGTTTTTTGAAAAATTGTAGAAAATGTGTGATAAAAAAAGGGGAGAATAGTTTTAAAATTTTCTATAAGGGGTGAAAAAAAGTGATAATGAAACAAGCAGTTAATTTCCCGTCTAATCGTTCCAAATATCTGGTAAAATCTCTCACTGTTGCATTATGAGGAGCTTAACAATAGCACTGACTGTGATGAGGATGCCGGGAGGGTTTTGCTGTATGAGTTTCAAGTGGATACGGTAAAATGGAGGCTGAGGGTGGGTAAAGAGGGTGGAGTGAGGGATGGTTTGTGATTTCAACATTGAGATGCGGCCAACTGTAGCCCCGTAATCTCATCACAATATCGCCGTGAGGTGGCGAGGCGGGATAAACCCACCAACACTTCCGCGACTCGCATCTCTAACCGACCGTACTTAACATTTATTTAGTAACAATGAGGGGGGAGGACTTCAATAAACATACTAGGGGCGGGGGAATTTCACCCAAAAATCATACCATTTTCACAACTCGATGTCTTCATTGATCAGTTTACTCCGCGCCAAAAAATTCATTCTCCTCAACTTTTCAAAAAAACAATTTTTCTATTTCATTTTTATTATTATTACTATTATCATTATATATTTTTATTTTAGGACCAATTGAGAAGTGATTAACAAAGGCTAAAGAATTTTTTTTTAATAATTCCAGGACAAAAGCAAATGAATGTACCAAATATTTTGTTTAATAATAACAACAATAATAATAATCATAATAATAATAATGTTAGGGCGACTAGAATGAATATCCTAAGGTAAATAAAAAAAAATTTTTTAAATTCCCCGATTTTTACAACTCGCTTCGTGATTGGTTCGTTCAGCCCGAAAAAATGGCGTCTCCGTCGTTTTTGAAAATTATTGGGAGCGATCAAGGACAATTCTAGGACAGCCACAGGGAATGTTTCAACTATTTATTTTCAATAATAATAATAATAATTACACAATTTTCAGGAATGACTGCCTTACAAATGGCGTGTCGTTGGCCCCCGGAAATTATTAGGAAATGGGCAATTAATCGATTGATCAGGATTCCCACTATTATATACTTGCTTCCGAAGCGGTGGATTTGCAGCGGAAGTGGATAAATAATTTGGAGACTAGAAAAATTTTCTGTTCAGTATGAAAATGATGAGTTAATAGGCGAATATTATTTGAGCGTCTCGATTTGAGGGACTGAATTTGATATTTCAGGGGATTCCCTGGGAAAATAATCTGAAAGCGCTTGTGGATAAGTCCAGAGGCTTGACCGTCTCGAGTTCGATTTAACCGTGAGGATAAGGAGATTTCCAGAACTTCCGGAATATTCGGATATTTCAACAGTTTATCCGGATTTTTTAGGTTTTTCTCAGAAATTTTCCACAAATTTTTTGCCGATTTATCAGCAGTCCTACATCTGATCCTCAATATGTACAGAACGGAATAAAAAAAAACTCATGTCTCATTTTAACCGTGTGATCCAACTCTTTAAATTGTAATTTGACACGTCCAAATCGCACGATTAGTACCGGAGACATATAAAGAATAAAAAATAATTTTAAAAACGAAACAGTGAAAAATCTCGCGATACGTCGCGGAGAACGTGTGAAAAATTAAAAAATTAAACGAAATAATCCAACACTTCCTCCCGATTTTTCCTTTTATTTATTTATAAATTTTTGGGTCGAGTTGAGATCGATTAGTCAACAAAAATCGATCGTCTGTTCGATATCTCCAAATCCGCCGAAGAAATAAAAACCGAAAAATCAAAAAAAAAATTATAATCCTTAATTTCAATCATAAATTTCAATTTAATAAAAAAAACACTAATTTACAAATAAAATAAATGATATTTTGAAGAAAAATGATTTTAATTCATAAAAATTATTGAAAAATCGTAAAAAATTTTTTATAATTTCGAAAAAATGGAAAGGAATGAATGAAAAGGGTAGAGTTGAAAAATCTTACGAAATGCAGCGGAGAATCCGTGAAAGTGTTCGACCCCCGGATGCCCGGTGATTCCATGTAGATGAGGTGGCAGAGGTAGCGGATGCCCAGTGTGGGCCATATGAAGAGGATGTCCCCCACTTCCAGGAAAAAATCCATGAGGTAAAAAAGGGAGGATATCAGCCCTCTGAATATTGTTGACATCCTCCCGCTCCTTCTCGTCATCCTCAACGCTCTTCTCCGGTGTCTCATCCCTCCGCCTCTCCACCGATAGGTCCTCAGGGCTCTTATCATCAACACCAATTCCCTTCCCCACCTTCTGCACCTCCTCCTTGGTCTCCAGATGTCCATAGAGCCTAGCAAAAAATCGCCTCGGTGACGATGGACGATTGCCCCTCGTCGTCGACATCTCCGGACTATTTATTTCCCTCGCAAGGTCTTTTCACAACTGATTCAATTCCAACCTCTCGACTTCTCACATTCTCTAGGTATATCGTTTCTTCCAGCACGTCATCAAATTCCACGTTTCGCACTCGTTAAGAATTCTCTTTTTTGCACTCGGAATAAAATTTAATCATATCGCGTGTCAAGTCATTAAAATTCGTTAATCATCACTTATTTTTATTTGAATTCCCGTGGATTTTACTTGTCAATTTATTATTAACCGTCTTCAAGGGCTTTTAGTTTATTTGTTATACGATTTTTGGGGAATTTGAGATGCGGTGCGCGCGAAAGGTCGACGGGCATCTGAATCAGGATGGATCGACGCCTGTTCGCTCACCTCGTGGCTACCACCAAAACCACACCAGGGAGGGGGTTTCCATGTCCACCCACCCCTACCTACACTATTTTACAGATTATATTTTTCACATTCCATATTTTACCGTTCGTTTGAAATCCATCGGATTAATAAAAAATTCTCAATGATTACGCGAAAACAAATTTCCCCGATTTTTATCCGAGATTCAATTCACTCTCCATTTATATTTTTTACACTCTTTAGTCTTTATTGTTTTTTGTTTATGTAAAACTCATCACCCTCGGATTAATTGGAAAATCATTTTTTATATTTTATTTTATATTTATATTTTGATAATTGAAATGATTTTGGATTTTATTTATTTAATTTGTTATTTTTCTTGAAAATCCGCGGAAATTGTTGCCTGCGTTATTATTGTTATTATTATGATTATTATTATTATTTTAACATTATCATGGATTTTCAGTGCAGTATGCCCTTCATAATTGATAATTAAAATATTCAAGAGATTAATTGATTTTTTTAATAAAAAATCCTTCAAACAATTCGTGTCACCTTTTCGTAAAAAGTGTAACATTTTTTATTAATTCGAAATTTCGAGTACAATTGCTCACTAGTGTAGCATAATTCTTATCAATTTCATCTCGACTCGGAATTTCTCGGAAAAATGAAACTGAATTTTCAAATGGTTTTTGAAGTGCCTTTAATGAATTATTAAATTTTTGAATTACTTTAATGAATTATTAAATGAAAATTCATCACATCTCCCCCAGAACAATTTCCCTAATGACAATATTTGGTATTGAGAAGGGATTATTGATAAAAATTTGAATGTGGGGGCGGTTTTTAATATTCGGGGCGAGCTCACGGTTATCTGAACCGAAAGCAATCCCCGGCCACTCATTTCCTTGACCTAGGGGCTACTCTTCAAGTATAATAAAAGAAGTCTTCCTCCTCCCCCAAAAATAGCAGATACACACAATCAACGGACTAGTAAAAATTCATCAAAATCCAAGAGAAATTTCCATCCACCCGAGTAATTTCCAGAAATTACCTGAAAATTTTTCGATGAAAAAAATAATCTATCGAGCAAAACCCCGACGTCTCTCCCGTAAATGGCAGAATCATTATTTTTCCCAGTCAATTATAATAATTATTATTGAATGAGTGTTATTGAATAATGGGAGGATACATAGAGGATATATATACTATATATTATATAGAATTATATCAACACATTTTGGAAACAACGGGTCTGAATAAATCCACGTGAGAAGACGAAGAGGAAACAGTTGTCGGGAATATTTTCAGAGGCGCATGTCTGCTCTCCACAGCATCCCAATTGGCTCCCGCTAATTATATCGTTTTCCCGATACACAACGATTGGGTATTAATACCTGGAGAACCACCCACTTCGGCGAGCAACATTTAGCCCCCTCATTGACAAAAATCGCGGTAATCCCAAGAATTATCCACTCCTTCCCCCATTTTCCTCCATGAAAATCCGATTTACGAGTGAAAATCTTCACTCATCAATCATTAATTAATTTATTAATCATTAATTGATAATGATGCGATCGCAGATGGAAATTCATTGATAACAAATAATTGATAATTTGATGAAATTGAATTTAAAAATGGAAAATTCTTTTCGTCGATTTTCCTCCGTGAAAATCCGATTTACGAGTGAAAATCTACACTCATCAATCATTAATTAATTTATTAATCATTAATTGATAATGATGCGATCGCAGATGGAAATTCATTGATAACAAACAATTGATAATTTGATGAAATTGAATTTAAAAATGGAAAATTCATTTCGTTGATTTTCCTCCGTGAAAATCCGATTTACGAGTGAAAATCTACACTCATCAATCATTAATTAATTTATTAATCATTAATTGATAATGATAGAGATGGAAATTCATTGATAATAAACAATTGATAATTTGATGAAATTGAATTTAAAAATGGAAAATTCATTTCGTTGATTTTCCTCCGTGAAAATCCGATTTACGACTGAAAATCTACATTCATCAATTTGATTACTCGCATTTAATTTAATCACCCCACTCAATTAATTAATCAATCAGTTGATGAGAAACAATTGATGATTTGTTGTAAAATAAAATGAAGAATTCATTTCGGAGATTTTCCTCCACGAAAATCCGATTGACGAGTGAAAATCCACATTCACCAATTTAATTGCTCCCATTCAATTTAATTACGTCACTCGATTAATGAATCAATTAATTAATTAATCACGAATTAATAATAACGGCAGTTGGAAATTAATTGATAAAAAACAATTGACGCTTTATTGAAATTTAAAAAAAATGGAGAATTCATTTCGTTGATGAAAAACTAGAGGATCAACCTGGAGGTTTGAGATGAGTATGGAGGACGAGCGATTGCTGGTCGTCGAGGATGTCGAGAACCCCTCGAAGAAGAGGTGGGTGGCTCTGGGGCTTTTTTGTGCCCTGAATTGCACTCAGTGCTACGTCTGGAACACCTGGGGACCAATTGCTGAGACTGCCATGGAGGCTTTTCCATCCTGGAGGAAGAGTTCTGTCGCTCTTCTCTCCGACTGGGGGTCCATCACCTATTTGACGTGTTGTCTGCCCACATGCTGGATTTTAAATTCATCGCGTGAGTAAAATTCAATAACAACACGAATATCCCATAAATTATTGTCAGCATTCATTCAAATTAACGTATTAGATAATTGATCTAGGTTTTGTCACTCCTATTCGGCTGGCAGCGGTTTTGTCTACTCTCGCGACGTTCTCCAGGTGCATCTCCTCCCAGGAGATGATCTTCACGATGTGGGCGCGATTTTTGAATTTAAATCGGGGGAATTTCTTCGGAATTGCATTTTAATATCTTTTTTTTCTCGTAGAACTGCTCATTTGGCTGCTGTTCTCGATGGTTTGGCAGGTGTCATCATCGGACCGTCAACTGCTCTCATGTCAGCTGTTTATTTTCCCACTGGTGAGAGGACCACTGCCACTGGAATATCCTCCGCGTTCAACCAATTCGGGATGGCTCTATCCTATCTGCTGGGTCCAGCTGTTGTTAAAAATGGAGATTTTTATTTCAATTCCACAAGCCGAGGTGACAATCTCCGGGTGCAGATCATGTCTCTTATGAGGATCGGTATTTATTATTACTATTTATTATTTATTTAGTCTGACCAGAATTTTTCGAACACTTTAAGAATTTCTATAGGGATTTTCTCTCAACTTGGATTTTCAAATTAACTCATCGATTTTAATTCATTCGAATGCACTGAATAATTATAAGATTCTTCTAATTAATTATTTCAATCCTCTCAAATCTGCAATAATAAATATGCAAATTATGATTTTTTTGTTATCTAATCAACCGAAAATAATTTTTTTTATTCCAAAAATAATAATAAATAATAAAAATAGCAATAACAAAGATGATAATAAAAATGGAAAAAAAAAATTCAAATAAAAAACAAAAGATTCCCAAATATTAATAATGATAATAATAAAGGGATTATTTTTTTAAATATCCAGAATTTGTCGCACAATTGCTCGTGTTATTGGGAATCCTGAGCTTTTTCCCGGGTGGAAAGAAAAACTCGGGGGGTAATGCAGAGACACCGAGACTAGGTGTTTTCGAGTCCCTGAATCGTCTCATCAAGTGAGTAATTAATGATCCCTCAATTGCAGAGGATCGGCGATGGAATGATCATTGATCGGACAATGATTGTCCCAGAGCGATGATCATGCGGCTTGAAAGAACATTTAACGATAAAAATTGGCAAGTCCCTTTGGCGCAGAGGATAGCGCGTTGGACTTCTAATCCAAAGGTCGTGGGTTCGATCCCCACAAGGGATGGCTATTTTTTTCCTCGTTTTATCGGTTTACAATTATTAGACAATATAATTAACGCTAATGAATATTAATTAGGAGTACGACCTTGAAATTCTAATGCCTTTCTTTGCATCTCTCAATTATCATTATCAATTAAATATTAATAATTTACATTCTTTTTTTTTACTTCAATTTTTCTGGATTGTAATTGATTGTAATAATAAAAATAATTATAATTATTAATATTATTGATATAATTTAGTAATTATTAGTTATAATTGATTGATGACTGATTGATAATAATCGTTAGATCAATAGGAAATGATTTATGAAAAAAATGATTGTATGAAGCAAAAATATAAATAATAATGGAAATGAAAATAAAAATGATGAAATTTTAGACAGCAGAGCATGTGGTTTCTGTGTCTTGCAGCAGCTCTCAGTCAAGGAGGCACTGGACCCTGGCTGGCGATGATCACCATTGCCTTTGGCAATATTATATCTCAAGTACTCAATCAAATCCACTGAATAATTACATTTTACGCCTCAGGATTATCTCCAGGCATCGAATTAATTCATCTCCCAGATGAATCGAAAATCGAATCATTTGTTGTGGAATTTAGTTTTTTAATTTGTTGGTGAAATATTTAATTGAAGAATTTATTGAAATTGGGGTAGAGCGAAGCGGATAATCTGGCTTTCTGGACAGTAATCAGCAGTAGCATCCTCAGCCTGTTGATCTCCTGGGTGATGGACGTATTCCAAGGACATCTCAAATTGGCGATTTATACTCTCCTCTTGACGTCCTCTGCCATGTTCCTCTGGGTGATCCTCCTGGACTACAAGATCCTAGTCTTTCACAAGAACGAATTGTATGCAGCTGTTGTCCTTGGAATTTCCCTGAGCTGGTCTTCGCCTGCTCTTTTCCTGGAACTCGCATCGGAAATCGCTTATCCTGTCTCGGAAGCCATCGTCGGGGGGTACATGATATTTCTGTCGAATATCGTCGGCAGTTTGTTCTATCTCTCTTATTTTGTCCCCGGAGTTGGTGAGTGTAACAAAGCCACAATAAATAACCACACCATTTATTTATAATCATTCGCTGATTTTTTCGAAATGGCAAAAATAGTCCGAACAGAATTTCCACTGCAATAATTACTCAATAATTACTCAATAATTACTCAATAATTTTATTAGTATTATTTGTTTAAATTTAAATTTAAATAATATAATTTTTCCCACTTGACTACCAAATTATTTATTAATAACAAAATTCATTGGATAGGTGACAGGTGGTCGAGCTGCATAGTTCTTGGGAATTTGACATTATCAACGATTTTAGTTGGATACGTAAAAGACGAGTACAATCGATCGAAATCCGAATGAATTCGCAGAAATAAAATTTCAAGAGAATAATAAATAAAAATTCTTCCACTCGCACTTTTTCTTTATCATTTTTTCCATTCAAAACTGGAGAAATCAACTTTGAGGCGACATCTGGACCCTTTGGAGAGCATTCCCCTGATGTTTTGGGGATCGCACATGGCACCGGTTAACCTCACTTCCATCATCACCAAGTGCATCCTGAATAGACTGAGAAATCCATTCCGAAAAATGAGTATTTTCATTCAGAGCTTCGATCCAATTACCGGATGTGCAATCTGGGAGGAAAAGGATCCGGATTACGATTACCATCAAGAAGTCGCTAGGTCAGCATTTGCTGATATGCTCCACGATCACGAGAGAGTAAGTTCCCTCGATCATCAAATGTGACTAAATAATTCTCAAGCATTTACCTGTCAGCTAATTAATCCTCCAGGAAAAAAAAAGTTTTCATTTCTGGATCTCATTACCCATTTCTATTACTGAATTTCATAAACAAATCCTTTCAATTATTTACCAATGAAATTTATCGAGTATCGAGAATTCGTGGGAATTTATTGATAATTAATAACTATTCGCAAAAAAAAAAACAGTACATTAATTATTAAATTTTATAACTAGATTTCTGAGAATAAACTTTTTACTTGTGCAATAATTAAAACCAAGGCCTGAATCTTCTATTTAATTTTAATTAACATTTACATTAAAAATTCTCTACAATTCTGAATTCCGTATCAATCGAAGAAATTCCCAAATGCAGAATCAAAAATACTACGACGCGCTAAAGATCGCGATCGAGAAAAAGCACAATATGGGTGAAAAAGCGCACGTCCTGGACATAGGCACAGGCACAGGTCTGCTCTCGATGATGGCAGCAAGATGTGGTGCAGATTCGATAACAGCCTGCGAGGCATTCAAACCGATGGCGAAGTGCGCCCTGGAAATAATAAAGCACAACGGTTTCGCCTCCCAGATAATTCTAATAAAAAAACGTTCAACCGAGATGACAGTGGGTGCCGACGGGGACATGAAGCATCGAGCCAATATCCTGGTGACAGAGGTCTTCGATACTGAGCTGATAGGTGAGGGTGCACTGCAGACGTTCAGGCACGCCCAGGAGCACCTCCTGGAGAAAGACAGCATCGTCATCCCAACGAGGGGAACAGTATACGTACAGATTGTGGAGAGTCACCTAGTGGACTCTTGGCATAAACTCTTACCTCTGCGGGACCCAGAGACATCGAAAATCCTGTTGTCTCCACCAGGAGGTGTCCAGACATGTCCAGGATCACTCGCAGTTCACGATCTCCAGCTGTCGCAGATCCCAAGGGACTCCTTCACCAAATTGTCACCTGTCCTACCTCTCTTTCACTTTGACTGGACTGGCAAGACTCCTCTCGTTTTCAACGAAACCAAGGAACTGGTGTTTAGGGCGAACTCCAGGGGAAGGCCCTCTGGAGTCTTTATGTGGTGGAATATCGTCATGGATATCAATGAGGAGATCTTACTCAGTTGTTCACCTGTGTGGGAGCATCCAGACACCTTGGGAGGTAATTTTATGCTCGTAGACATGAAAAATTTTATTTTTCACGAATGAATCCTTGAGAATGATAAATTATAAAATAATTATGAAATTATTTTATTGTTTAATTCTCAAAGTTTGGGAATTAACTTTGCCATTTGCCTGAAGGTGCAGAGGAAATTCCCTGGAGAGACCACTGGATGCAGGCGGTGTATTACCTCCCAGGGGAAGTCGAGATCGAGGAAAATGAGGAGGTGAGGTTAATTGGGTGCCACGACGAATACTCCTTCTGGTTTAAACTGCTCCAGGGGGAGAGTAACGGAGTTCGGGAGGTGAAACCACCAGCTTGTGAGTGCTCAGTGCACCTGGCGTACCCCAGGTCGAGGTTGGGGCAAATGAATAACGAGAAGAGGAGTGAAAAATACCTGAAGGTCATGAAGAGGTGTATAACACCACAGACGAGGTGTTTTTGCTTCTCTGATGGCTCTCTCCTGGGTCTGGCTGCTGCCACCCTGGGAGCCAGGGAGGTGGTGATTCTCGAGACCAATCACCTGTCGAGAAGAGCCCTCGACGGCTTCGTGGAGGCTAATGACCTCAGTGGAAGGGTCAGAATCTTCCAGGATATCCAGCAGCTCCCCAAGGCAGTCAGGGGGGATCTCGTTTTTGGAGAACCTTATTACGTCAATTCGATATTTCCCTGGGACAACCTGAGGTTTTGGTATCTGGGTTCACACTGGGCTCCTGGGGTCAGGATCCTCCCTGGAGGAGCCACCATCAGAGGAGTCCCAGTAGAGTTCAAGGATCTCCACAAGATCAGGGCACCTCTCGGAGTCTGCGAAGGATTTGATCTGGGGATTTTTGATGATCTGGTTATGGTGAGGATTTTTGTTTTCACTGAGAGAATTCCCTTTTCCACGAAAACTCACGGAACATCCTTTTCAGGCCGCCAGTGAAATTAGTGATAATCCTGTGGAGGTTCATCCCCTCTGGGAATATCCTGGAAAAGCCCTGAGTTCTCCATTCGATCTGGCACACTTCGATTTTAATGAACGATTTGATGAGAACCATGAGCAGAATTTCAGAGGAACTGTGCCTATCGCTCAGTGAGATAATTGATAATTCAGTAATATTATTTTTTGGAAATATTAATACAGTAATTTAAATTAATTGTAGATGTGGATCGTGCAATGGAATAGCTCTTTGGATAGACTGGCATTTGGACCCTGAAACGACAGTTTCCACAGGTCCGACGACTGAAATAACACCAGGTGAGAGAATATCCTGGGACGTAAACACACGACAGGCTGTTTTTCTCCTGAGGAAAATCGAAGCCGTGACTAGTAGTCACGTCCTCACGTGGTCCCTCAAATATCAATTAAAAAAAGACAGGAATTTTGTGTTCAGTTTCACCCTGGAACCCCAGTGAATTCTCATCACGACAAGACAAAAATATATTTAAGGACAATGTACATGAATCGTCAGATAATTAAAGTAATTTTCACGAAGACAATTGTGGATTCATGCGTAATTGTTTGGCCAGTCGTTTACCAATTAGTTTAGGATACGTCTTCTGTTTAATCAGGAATTCTTTGCTTTGATGGGTGACAGCACCGTTGTCCAACTGAAACCTGTAATTATTATTTATATTATATTTAAATTAGTGAAAACTCGATTATATCTTTGGAAGTTTATTTTCATTTTTGAATTAAACTGACTTGCATAGGTATCTCAGGGGGCCACACATTGCATCTTTCAGCCACTCCTTGCCCTCTAGAATTGAAAGGGATAGAGCTCCACTCTCTAGGGTGGAAAGACACCCCTCAGTGGGTTGAGTTCTTATCACGTACTCACTGGCTGGTACTCCCACCAATTTGCAGGCCCTCAGTTCATGCAGGGCTGGGCTGCAGTGGTAAATAGCCTGAAACAAAACTACTGCATTTCCAAATAAAAAATAATTAATAACAATTGAAGAAAATACTGACTTTTGCTTGGGGCCAGGTGCCATCCAGCAGCACCAGATTGTAAGGACTCTGTCCATCAACCCCAACCCTCGGTAATTCTGCAATATCAACAGCATCAGCTGTTGGATACAGGAGAATCGTGTTCTCGTCGTTGAGAATTTCGACGAGTCCCTCGTGCTTCGTCCCTGGAAATTTTTTCCCTCGGAATGTCAGGCACTTGTCTGGCTCCAGAGAGAGGGAGAGCATCGGTGCTGTTCGGAGACATCTCTTGACCTCTGCAGGATGCTGGAGGATTATTATCCTGGATTCAGCATTGAGGGGAGAACTTGGCAGCCCTGGGCACCAGCACACACCCACTGGCCTCCTGAATTCATTATTTACTCACATGTTTTGGTGTTTTTGTGGTGAAGAGAACATTGAATACGTCTTCCAGAAGGAATTTAACGTCACCTGCATTGAAGACACCGGTTTCTCATCTCCGGGGGATCAGCTGGAATACCTGACAGTTCCTCCCATGCCATCGAGTCCTCCATTGCCGGATTATCCTGGGGTGTTTATTTGAATAAACTTTAGGGGTTGATCAACACGCTCTCGAGGGTCGGGAATGAAGGCTGGTAAGATCGGGATCTGTGCGACCCAGTGTTGCCCAATCAATTGGACAAATATAACGCGTGTGATTTTAAACTTTCAATTTAAGGTTAATACATCATCATAAATCTAATAAACAAATGTTTGTTTTAACAGAATTGAAAGACGTAGTTAAGATTCCACCGTGGAAATTCAAGAGAAAATTCAATGATGCCATCGCCGATGAATTGAATCGTAAACTTGCGAATAAGGTAATTAATTTATTAATTCATTCTCTTCTTGCTGCTTTCGAGAAAGGTTAGAGGAACAACATTCATCTGGCAATTTTAATTGTTTACTGGCTGAATGAATCAGTAATTTCTTAGAGACCCAATTGAATTTGGAGTACTATTTGCTTAATTCACTTTAATTCACTTTGTTATTTTCATGGTAATCTATCACGGACTGGTTAATTAATTTTTATAATTTTATCTTATTTATTCCAGGTGTATTTGAACGTAGGATTATGTATAGCACTTCACGACATTTTAAAAATAGAGGAATCCTTTATTTTCCCTGGTGATGGCTCATCTCATACTAAAGTATCCTTTAGGTTTATTGTCTTCAGACCATTTATGGAAGAAATACTCATTGGGAAAATAAGAAGCTGCAGCCCAGACGGGGTACACGGTAATGCACCTTCAATATTCCACAATTATCCCTGAGAATAATTGAATAATTGCATTTTCCAAATAAAAAAAATGATTCATTTGAAATGAAGGAATGAGGCTTGAAATGAAATTTATTCCCATTTTTCATTCAAAATTGACCATTTTTCAGTTTTTTATTGAGAATTTTCAAAAAAATTGTCATCAATGTTTGCAGTTACCCTCGGGTTTTTCGAGGACATCATAATCCCTCCCCACAAGTTGCAGTATCCCTCAAGGTTCGATGAAACAGAGCAGGCCTGGGTTTGGGAATACGACACTGGAGATGGGCAAAGACATGACCTTTTCATGGATGCAAGTGAGTGAAATTCCTAGTCCTAAATTTTACAATTTCCTGATCCCTACAATTCAAGTACTTGTTTTTCCTTCAAGACGAAATTATCAGATTTCGAGTTGTTAAGGAGGAATTCGTTGAGATTCTGCCTTCAGCGCCCACAGGAGCTGGAGAAACTCCAGAGACTTCAGAAAACAAGACTATCTCACCTTACACTTTAGGGGTAATTTTATAAAACAGAGATTTGAATTTGAATCATCTATTCATTATTTTACTCCTGTGATTAATTTGAATTATCTCGTGTTCAGGCAGCCATCGATGAAGCTGGCTTGGGTCTGATCTCCTGGTGGGAGAATAGCTGAAATTGAATGCACAAAAAATGTTTCGATAAAAATGAGAAAATAAAAAAAAGGTGATGACAATTAAATAAATATCAGTTATCGACAACTTTCGTTTTATTCGCCCTAGCCCATAGGGCCACAAAACACTGTGAGTTCATTAAATATTATTAAATATGTGATGTGGTAATCTTTATTTCTGCCTTTTGATTAAATGTGTCGCATTGTTATTTGTACAATATATACAAACACCTCTGTCGAGCTCACAGAGCATACGAGGATAATACGCAACAACTTTTATTACTCATATTGTTTGTAGTTCTCATGAATTATTATCCAGTTATGTAAAAATTTTATCTCGTTTGAACTATGTGATATCTAAATGTCGATTTCATCATCTTGTCATTAATTTCTTTCACTTTCCAAATTTTTTCTGACAAATTGTCCACTCGCATGCGTTTTTTGTACTCAAAAACACCCCAAATCAGACGAATATTCGTATTTCTAACTAATGATAATTAGTTAACATTTATCGATTGATTCTCCACGTCATTGACAAATCCCTCATAATTTCCGCAATTTTCATTCTCTTCGAAAAACCATTGGCGAGACATTTCCTTAGAATTTTCCCAATCGCCTCGACAAAATCATAATCGAACAGAATATGTCATTAAAACACTTACTATTCCAATAAATTCCCTCCACTGGACAAAACATCAAAATTACATTTAAAAACTTACGAATATTTCACGATTACCCACGAAAAAAAATCCCCTCGAATTATGAAAAATTAGTCTCATTGAATTGAATTCGAATTTACGTATTGTCGGGTGACATTGAACATAAGGATCTAAGTACTAAATTCCCCCGATGATTCAGCCACTTCTTGGAATGTTTTCACACACTCGCACACGTCTTTTAATTTGAATTCACCCCTAGAACTTGACTAGCATCCAAAACTATCGTAAGATTATTCCTTTAAAGTGTCTCCAACTCTTCAACGAGCAAAGCAGACATCTGAAGCCGCCGAAACGTTCAACCACTAAATACATGATAATTAAAAAATGAAGAGAGATACACAATATAAATTTATCACAGTCCTAACTGGCGTGCCTTGTGTCTCACAATGTGGATTTTCATAATTCATTAAATATTAATCCTCTCCCTAATGCCTTGATTATTACATAATCCCGTAATTTCGTCACTAAATGGAAGTGCAGTTGACTTTAATAATCATTCGTATATTTTTCGTGTATACCTAGGGACAGCAAAGAATAAATCTCACAATCGTGCAAATGAAAAGTTTTTTTCATTCCATTTAATGGCGAAATGCTGCAGTTCTGTGTTTTGGATTTGATAATAAGAGTGAGGGAAAAACTTTGAGGAAAAACTATTTCACAAATAAAGCCAACCGACCCATTTTCACGATGGTCGAGAGGCTTCAGGGTATTTCATAAAGTTTCTACGCCAAGGGTTCTCCGCGAATATCAACGAGTGCACTCTACGGAGCGTTAACAATGCTGTCCTCTTTCACTACCACTATTTTTTACCTATGTCCTCTTCATTTATTTATGATAAAGCAATTTAACTCCCCAGAATTCCAAAATATTCACCACAAAATGCAACCGATGAACTCTTGGACGTAGACAACTCAATAGGTATTTAACAGTTTCATCGTATAAAGTGGGACAGCGTGTATTAAAAATTGCCTAGTTACTAAAAATCGAATCACCATTTTTATTTAACAAGTGTATCCCGGCTGAATAATATCTTTCGTCAGTTATCGAAACTTAAAGTTAAACGAACGATGCATTTGGCTTAGAATTGATTTTCTCCTATTTTATTGAAAATTCTTCCTGAGCATTTTTCAATTTTTAATTCTCTTACTCAATTATCAGACAGCGTGGCAAGTGCTCACGCAGGTAGTCGAATAGTTCACGTGATGTGCCTGGACAATTTGTTAATTCGAGCTCTTGGAGATGACGGAGTTGGATGAGACTGGAGAGGCCACTGCTTGTGAGTAATGGACAGCCTGGAATATTTTTTACAAATTCCCTTGTTAATTGTTTAATTGACAACAATTATGTTTTTTCACGTCAATCTCATGATTCGTAATTTTCCAGAAAAATTGAAAGAAAATGTGAAGTTTGAATCCTTAAGAAATTTGTAGTTTTTGTAGTTCTCCATTATATTTGTTATAATTAGAATAAAGCCAAATAAAAATTCAATAATTAACTTGAATGACTTTAAAATTTCGTATTTTTTTGTATTCTTTATTAAATTAATTGGGGAAATTCTTGATATTCTCACCCGCAACTGAGAGAACGAGTAATGCTCTCATGCCGCATAAGTGCTGAAGTCCAAAGTCTCTCAATTGTGAGCACCACCTCAGGAACAATGCATTCAGAGAGCTCATGGTCGATATGTACCCAACTCCTATATCCGTCACATGGACACACCTTTGAAAAATGGTAAATTCCAGTATTGACGAATTGCCAGAGTAGTAAACTCTAGTCTCGAAAGGGCAAATGTATGAGAAAAGGAAACGTCGAAAGCATTCAACGTCAGCACTCGAGCTGATTTTATGGCAGAGTTTCAAATGGCAAAGAATCCACGATGCAGTCTAGACATTTTTGGGTGAATTTCTAGGCTTGTGCAATCACTGATAAAAGACAAAAATCTGTTTCCAAGAATCCGCCTTAAACTCTCTTTTCTGCACTAACAAAAAATTTGCAATAAAATGTATTCTGATATTCAGTAGAATAATTTTTTACTGGAAAAAATGTTAATAGATAAAAATTAGGAGAGATTGATTACGAATTTTTTACGGTTTGCAACGAAAACCGGCACTTGACACCGGAAAATGCGGTGCGACCGGTTAAATTAATCTGCCTGTGCTAATTCTGCGTCATAAGGATTTATCGTCACCCACTGACACGCAGATTCCACAAATATGCCAAAACTTTAAATGTGAGATGAAGACCGCAATATTTTACAACGTCGGACTCTCGGAACCAGCCAAATGCTTGGATTTAACGCGACGGGCTATTACATTTGACGGGAATTTCACAATAAAAGTTGATGGCACTTGATGGAGTCAAGCGATAACTCACTTTTTCCCCACTGCTCCCTCAATATCTTTAAATAACAGCATTGCGACACTTTCATCAAGGAGTTATCGATATCTTCTCATTTTTCAATTTTTCGGAAAATTTTTCCCTTCAATTTTTCCAATCAACAAATTTGTCAGAAATGCATAAGAAAATTTGAAAAATGGGAAGACCCTAATAACTAACTCCACTTCATCCTCAGAAAATGAACAATAAATCTATAATCCTCAAAGCTCCAGACAATTACCTGTCAAGTATAAGTTCCTCCAATTGATTGAGATCGCACGCGATATTCTCCAGTGCAGAATCCGTGATTCTGGAGCACCAGCTCAAATCAAGTGATCGCAGTCTCGGTAAATTCTCAGCAATTAATTCCACCCCGTCGTCAGTAACTTTACTGCACCCCGACAGCGACAGAACAGTCAAATTAGGTAGAGAATGAACTGCAAACGAAATAACTCAACATTAAATATTTGAAGATTATGAGAATATAGAATCAATTGAATCTTTTCCGTATAAATAAATGTCAGGCCATTGTCCCCAGCTCTTAGAACCTGAGACGAAGGCGCTGACGTATGTAAAATCAGCTAAATAAAGCCCTCTAAATTTGTCCCATCAATCTTCACTTGGCGAGAGAATAAAAATGATAGGGAGAAAATAAAAGCAGAAGGAGGAAAGGACTCACCTATATTGACGACACCGTGATTAGTCAATTCCCAGCAGGACTGGAGTCTCAGGATGCTCAGGGAGCTGCTCTGTTTGGCACTGAAGTAACCCAGTGCTGCGTCGGTGACGTGATAGGCTTGAAGGGAAAATTCGTATAGACTCGGTAGCAATTGGGCTACAGCACCCACAGCCTCGTCAGCTACGTTTATACAGTCTGATAGAGATAGTGAGACTATTCGAGGGGTCAAACAGGCCCACAGACCTGCCTCCGTTATTTCATTGCATCCTGCCAGCTCTAATTCGAATAATGCCTGCAATCCAGAGATTCAAAACAATATTCCCCTATCAGAAGAATAAATAATGCCAAAAGTCCACCACAAAATTCAACATAATAGGAACAATTGTTGATTTGTTTAATTTACATATTTAATTCATTTTTATAAAGCCATTGCGAATTCAAAAAAAATCATGGGTTTTCAATTTTTTCCCTGAATTCTGATAATTTCTTGTTAATTCAATGATTTGCAAACAAGAATTCCTAAAATATATTATTTATATGAATATACATTTATTATTCATTTATTTATTTCGTTTAAAAACGAATAATAAATTCTGAACTTTTTATCAAGACGTCCGTTTAAAAATTCAATTTTTTAATAGGCAATTTTTTTATGAAAATCGGTAACGTATGAAAACCATGAGACTAAAAAATACATTTTTATTTTGTTTATCGGCTTGAAAGCTGCAGGAATTTTATCAGTTACCTGTAAATGATCGAGAAGTGCCTCGAGTCCTCTATCAGTGACGGAACAGCATCGAAGTGATAACGAATGCACGTGCCTCTGTGCCATGGGAAAGCTGTGGGTTAATTCGGGTATATCCTCATCGGCTGCCCCGAGTAACACCAGAGAATGAAAGCCACGTCTGACTAATGAAGCATAGAGCTTTGTTCTTGATCCAGAAGGCATCGCCCTGACCTCCCTGCACCTCACCACAGGCACCAGACCAGACCAGAATCGCGGTCGCGCATATAAAACGTCTCGCCACCGAGTGCAAACCTGAGGATAGAATTTTAATCATTGAGGAAAAAATATTCTCTTTGAACTATCCCCCATAATTCAACATCAAAAGACTCGAATGATTTTAGAAAAAAGTCCTCTTCAAGCTGAAAAATTATTTCAAAGTCACAGCCCCAGGGTATTCCATTCACTTTTCAGTAGAACGCGAAAAAAAAAAATTCTGTTCTCAAATTTTTTTATGGAATTGCAGTGGAAATTCAAGGGAGACTGCTTTTTCTTTTTGACTTTTTTATTCTCTGGAATATCCAAACGGTTTCGAAACTGGAATTCATTATTTTCCCGGAATGAAATGACTGTTAAAAATCGTAATTGACTAATTATTTTTTTGGGTCAATCGCAGAGTAGATTTGTCAGGTAAATGAGAGAATGTCGAAATTGGGGTGAAAAATGGGTGTGAACTGATATATGGTACCTGAGCGAGTACTCGTCTCTCGGTGGCGTTGAAATAGAGGAAAAATCGGCTCAAGAAATGATCATCGAGTATGAGTTGCTCCCAGGATGTTGGGGGAAGGTATCCACCAGTGCCTCCACTGGCAAGAGGTACGTGTTTCGAGCGATTTCTCGATATTCTCCCCCTGACAGCGCTATTGTTACACAGACCCTTGTTGTTAGCAATATTAACTGGATTATTAACGGGCAAGGGGGCACTTCTGCTTGGCTTCTCTGGTGTCATGTTGGAGTTGTTGGTACTTGCAAGATTGGTATATGCAACACCACCACCACCACCACCCCCGCAGAACACGTTTGTCACGCGTTCCATTACGCTGGCTTTACCACCCCCTGCAATTACACAAGCCTCAGTTGATTAATTGTGAATAATAAAGGGAGAAAGTTCTTTTTTTTTTAACTTTCTCCTCTCACTCGTGCACCCGGAAAAATCGATACCGCGCCTGGATTTTTTTTCTTTTTATTTTTCTTATGCACATTTTTTGCGTTTTGTTGTCAGAACACTCGGAATATCTGCAAATTTGTTCAGCACTTCAGCGATAAAATTCACCGGGTATTATCGCCACGATTTGTTGTGGGAATTCCATTTTTTTTTTCATGGGAAATTTCGCTTCATCGTGAATTATTCAGTTTATTCATTAATTCAGATCGCTGGAAATGCGGGAGTCATAAATTTACACATTAATTCCGGATCTTGAAGGACATTTTTATGTGTGGAAAATATTTCCTTTTATCCAGTGAGAATTACTGGGAAATTATTATAATTATTATTTTATTGTGGATATTCTTTTTTTTTAAGATATATTTTTGGAAAGATATTGTTAATTTTTGTGTATCGACACCTGTGGAATAATTTGTTTAAATTTTCAGGATTTTTGTTACTTATAGATCAGGGAATTTGTGGAGTTCAAGGAAATTTCTATTTTCAGGCGCATATGTTAAATTATGCAATTGAAAATCATGGAATTTTACACAACTTGCGCTCTGAGATCCCAATCTATTAAAAATTCAATTCAATGCTGTCTCATTTCACAATCAATTTAAGAATCTCGGTTCAGGAAAATAGAACACCAATTCCTCTTGAATTTTTGAGATAAATGCAATGACGAACATTATCGCGAATAGAATTTAAAATAACATAATTGAAAATTCAGATATGGCGGTTGTGTATAAATATAAAAAATGAACAATTAATTTCATTCTGGCAATCATTTATTTATTTATTCGAAACAAAACAATATCTTTCCCCACAATTTTGGAAAACATTATACAAATTTGTATCACTAATTAAAAAAGTGTTCTGTGATTTTTCCAGGAGATGATAATCATCAATTTTTATTAATGTGTCAATTTTTCAATTTCTCCGAGACTTGAGTGAAACACAAATTATTCTTGAAAATGAAGAAAAATATTTTGTCTGTACGAAAATATTTTTTCCACTTTCCCTTTTGCTTAATTGAATATATGAAAAGTGTCGAGATCATGCGAATGGTGACGTGTACATATCAAAAACTGATTAGACAATTAATCGTGTGATTACACTGAGGTAAAGCCTGTGCGTTTGTGAAAATAAAATAAATAAGCTTGGTAGTCCTGACTCAGGCTCGTTCCAACAATTGCAACAAACAGATGCTGATGGACATTTCCCATTGCTCTGGACGGATTGAGAAGTGAATGAAATTATGCAACCGATGATTAATCCCAACGAAAGGGGATTTCGTAGGAACCCTGGCAAAGTTCCAGGGAGAGAAAGAGTTTGCATCACTCGAACAAGCATTGGTACACGCCTTGCTTCATGGAACGAGATAGAATCAGATAATTAATTTGAAAAGCCATTTGTATTGCCAATATCTTCCCATTCTTTATGTTTGTTCTGTTAACTTCTGGAAAATTAACGATTGGATAATTGACGTTTATCAAAAATATTCCGTTTTTTCATTTTATCATTATTCTATGACTCACGAATTTTTATTTGTATTTATTTTTATTCTTGAAAGAATTTTGTCTATTTTTCTAGAGTTTACTATATGGATGATATGGTAAAGATATATATCCAGAAATATATGGCAATTATATCTGGATATATGTCGTGTACATTTCCGCGAGAAATCCTTCATCCCAGATATATTTTGGATATATCTCCGCAGATATATTTCAGTTATAATTCTAGTAAAAAACTATATTTCCGTTATGATTTCTGGATTATATCTTATTTTATGTGAGAAAAATTCTGCCTGAGTGACGAAATTTCGTGATGTATTAAATAATAATAAAACTTGAAAACAATATATTTTCTCATTTCAATTATATCAATTATATATATAATATATTATATACGTATATATATTATAAACGTTTCCTCAGCATTTGCAAATGACTTGAAAAATTAGAAGATATCGACAATATAACTTCTAAAGAAACATAGAAATTAGCAACTCAAATTTCGCTACAAAATTGTTTATTTTTTCTTCCCAAATATTGAATCCCCCCTACCATTATAATCAATACATCCTCCGTATTCCCATTATCATAAATATTCTCATTATTATTATATTTCGTGATCAACTATTTTTCGAAAAATTTTCTCAATCCATCGAATTAAAATATAGAATTTCCTCTCAATTTGAGTTGTTAAATTCTAAGACGCCTTCGAGGATTAGTTGCAATATAAATAAATAATTAAAAACAACCCCTAAATCCCCAAAAATCAGTTGACACATACTTAAAAACCCCTCAAGGTTGCCAAAATAATTCACTCAAAAAGTGTTGGCGTTATCGATTCCGTTGCAGTTCGAATAGCGTTGTCACTCTAATCGACGACAATTACTTGAAAATAAGTAAACTATTAAATGATAATTAAAATAAGAAGGGACTAGCTCGTTGATCCCAGTAGCTGCACATACATTTCTCAGTACACAAATACGCTGCATGGAAAAAGAAAGAATGGAGAAAATATTTACTACATAAGAAATCAATTAGCTAGACAAAATAAAAAATATAAAAAACTGAAGAAATCATTCCACTAGTTCATAAAATCTTCTCTACCGCACTGAGTATAAATTTTTACTGAATTTTCCGGGAAATCTGGATAGATCTCCGAGAATTTCCATCAGCTTCCCTTCATTTTCCCCGGATAATTGATCCGGAATTCGTAAAGAAATTCGCAAGGGATTGACTCGAGAAATCCTTAGAAGTTGGAAAGGGCTTTTTATAAATTTCCGAGGAAATTAAGGGAATTCAGTGAAAAATTTAGAACAATGCCTTCTTGTTGAGATGTTGGATAAAAAAATGGATAAGGGTCATACCATGATGCTTTGATGCTCGAAGACCCAATCCGTTGATCCTCTTCGTCAACTCGGCACTCGCCCTCTCAACAACCCCCTGAGCCGATATCGACGACATTTTACTTCACTTCAATTACAACAACCCCTAAACCGAGTGGTTCCACTTATAAAAAAAAGAAAAACTGTTTATCCTCTTTAGTCAAGAAAAGCGTGAGATACCCCTTGCGCAGTGATTTCTCCGCATATTGGAGCAGACGATTCACTCAACTTCAACAATAATTCAATAAAAATTTCCAATGTTTAATTAACAATGGAAATAACCAAAACAATAGCAATGCAACTGATTGATTCAAAAATTCTCTCGTATCGGGCGCTATTTTAAAATCCAAGCAATTAATTCCAGTTTTAATTGTTCAGTTGTTCACGTGTTGTTTAAAAAATAGGGGTAGTTGGGAAAATGTTGATAAGTCGGTATGAAAAGGGAAATAAGACACTTTAGTGGCAATTGTTGAGGGGAAGGGTAAATCAATACTGCCGGAGTGGCCGCAAGAACGACACAAGGGGGTGGTAGTTTATTTACTCTCGATGAAACTACACAAATTGATTTGACTCGTGATCTCGATGATTTTGGTGGACTTGAAAATTTTTCTCGGGAATTATTGACGGGTTTCGGGGATTGGAATTTCCCGGGGGAGCGATGTTGCAGTTGCTTCCGGGATTTTCCAATGGAAAACTATACAACGCGGCACTTTTGAGCTTCGCCACGGGAAAAACCGCGTCGGGGGTGGTTTGTCTCAAACTGAATCGATACTCAATGTACCCGGTGCATATCCAAAGCCCCACCACTTGCATCAACCTCTGGTACAGCGCACGCGCTTGTACTCCAGTCTTTACCGCTTACTTTGAGTTTTTTGGAATTATTTGTGATAATTAATCAACAAATTGCATTCAACATAATTTCTATTTTGGATTTAATTCCCCAAAAATATTAAATTGAGTATTTCATCAATAATGGAAATTAAAAAATAATCGGATACTCCTGATAATAAATAAAAATTAAAAGACACAGATTGATGTTATTTAAAAATTGAAGATATCTCCATAGAGGAAAAAATAACGCGTTGTTGGGGAATTTTTTGAATAAAATTATTGAAAAATTTAATTTGCAGGTGCAATGACCCTAGAGTTAATTGTAATAAATTTCCACATCATGCGGTACGTCTGTTTCTTAATTTTCTTTATTTCTGCAACATGTGTTTTATCTTGTTTCATTTTTACATTATCGTGTCGATGTACTTTTTGTTTTTATTAAGATATTTAAAAAGAATCAACGAGTTTAGACGATCTTGAGACCACTCATGGAATTCTCCAAGGCCTGAAACAAGAAGATCAGAAAAATTGTCAATTGACCTCGAAATAATTGATAAACGTCTAATCACAGAATTCAGACTTTTTGTGACAGGATATTAATTTATTTAATTATCAGCGGATAATTTGCTAGATTGCCACAATAAAATATTTTATAGTCTTCATGAAATTTCATATGTTCTCAAGGAAAATTATTTAATCACCTTTAAATCCCAAACAACGAGTTGACCATCGAGTCCACTGGTGCTGAATTCACTATTCGACACTCTTCTCACGCAATTAATCGTATTCTGGTGAATACTAGCGAGTGCCCTATCATTATTTTCAGTTCTCGCTTGTCGATCCAGCGACTGGAATTTCCTCATCGCTGAAATTCCAGCCTCTTCTTTCTTCTGCGAATTATCCAACTTCGATACGAAGTGTAATTGACCGTTTGCGTCGAGTGAGTACAACATCGGCATGCAACTGTGACCCTGCAGTACAATAATAATCATTCAAACAAATAATCCATTAACAACAAGAATTCGATTCAGCTAATAGATAAATTTGCAAGGAATCATCTAAGAGAACCACCAAAATTTTTATAAAGACTTTTCTCGTACCGGGAATGAAAAGTACGAACGAGGTCTTTACAGAAAATTTTCTCGCGTAGAATCGGAGAAATTATTCAAAGAATGGGAAAGTGGGGAACAGGTGGAGTTCAGGTTAATCGGAATTATTGGGTCTTTATGTTGCACTTACAGCAGCAATTATCGAATTGGGCCCAACCCAAACGCAACTTAAAAAGGGTAAGTGTTCGGTATAAAGTCTCATAACAGCATTTCCCTTGGTGGCGTCAGCGACGCAAATCGAGGAATTGTGTGCGACCCAGCAGATTTTGTTCCCACATGGGCTAAATACAACCGAGTGGACCCAACCACCTGAAAAAAATTGAAATAATCGTGCAATAAGATTTCTAAAAAATCTCATACTCTATTAAATCCCACCCAACTTAATAGATCATAGGACAATTACCTCCATTGGTGGAATTTGGAAATTCAGCCAACAAAGTACCCAGGGTGGACGTGGCTCCCCAAGGCCCAGAGCCAGGTGCGTCCTCCATATCTTTAACGTAAGCACCAAAAACTCGAACTTTATAGTCCGAAGAACCTGCCACCAGCACTTTATTATCAGGATGCCAATCAATGGCTGTTACAGTGGATCTGATTGGTCTTTTGATGTGCTTGGACAACCACCAGTTGTTCTCTGACACGAAGTAACTGACTGAGATCATCCTGTCACCCGAGCCCACAGCAAATTTGTTCTCTGTGAGAAAAATATATTTCATGTCAAATTTTCCCTTTTCAAAGATTACAATTATAAAATATAGAATTATATGAATAACAATTGTTTTCTTTTTATCATTCCCCAAATAATAATTAAGCCTGAGAGGGAGTGGGATGTTGAAGAAATGAATAATAAATACCTAGTGGTGACCATTTGACGCACACAGCAGCTCTAGTCATCCTCAGGACGACCCACGCAGGGATCCACTTGCCCTTGTCATCCTGATTCCAGACATAAGCATTTTTATCAGCCCCACAGGTAACAATCCTATTAGTCTTGGGTGCCCAATCGAGGCACATGACATTCATATCATGAGCCTCAAGTACCTCCGTCTGTTTCCACCCAGCACTCGATCTTTTGTACACATGCACCTGATTGCTATTCGGACAAACAGCAACTTCTGCAAAAATTTGACAAAACAATCACAAAAACCTCAGGACAATTCACCAGAGCAAATTCTCAATAATAAAATCCAAACCTGTCCTGTCCTTGTTCCACGCATGACAGGTGATAATATCAAGCCCAAAATTATGCACTTCAGTCATAATTCCTGAGGTATAAACTTAAAATTCAAGGAAGCAATCGTCACAGATGAAATGAATTCGAGTAAGTGACTCTTGATGAATCAGCAGGAGAAAAAAGGCAGGAAATCTCTTGGGTGCGGTCTAATGTGCTCCAAAAACTGATGAACCTTAAATATATTCCTGGAACAACTGGAAATTCGTGGACTCTGGTCAGTCTACACGAATTATCCAGCCGAGTAAGACAATCTCCTTATCAATCCACTGTTTTTTTTTCGTTTTTTCAGTTTTGAGGCCTGGATGACAGTTTTTCGAGGAAAATCTCGACTACGAGGGGTTAGGAATACACGGGGCCCCCAAGTGACAATCGAGATGGTTTTTTTTTTTCACTTCTCAAACTGCAATCCTGAGAATTGGTAGCACTGAATTCTGCGGAGAAATACCCGAAAGTCACTGCACCAGTCAAAGAGGATTCGCTTTTACCCTCTTCTATGTCGCTGACGACATGACATTTGTCAGGTCCTCCTTGTAAAATCATTTTTCATGCTGTTTTTCTTTGTTTTTAATTGCGTGATTCAGAGGAGTGAGTGCTTGACCCATTGATTATTGGGAATTTGGGGCTTTGGAGGATTTTTTTACTGGTGTTATTGAGGACTGGCCGGCTTGACAACTAGATTCGGGGGAACGTCTGGAAGAGTTGGGAGCTGTGATCTGTTGTATTTTGTTTTGTCAAAAGGGGAGACAGGGGATTTTAATAGGTCGTCGAGATGAGACATGGTTATGTTCTGCAGGGTGCACACATCTAACGACAATGGCACTGTCCCCGTCGGAGGTGAGTCAGTTTTTTTTACATTTTTATCAGGTGTCATATGTGATTTTTATGGTTTTTTCGTTGACGCCATTGGCTCCAGCTTTTCGATGAATACCATCTTTTTTTGTTTTGATGCGTCAGAACTCTTTGCTTTGTCGGTTTTTTATTATTAGTTTCGTTATCAAATTCTGCTCAATGGATTATGGAAATTCAAATTCAATTTTTGGAGCGTCTTTCAAGTTATTTCCAGAGGAGGCTCCAGGACGATCTCGGATTATTTCTCCAGGCTGACGTAGGCATTAGTCATCTAAAGATTTTTTTAATAACTGTTGGTACCTAGGAGAATTTGGAATTTTTCATGAAAATTAAATAGAAAAGTGGTAGAAAAGGCTCCTTCGAGAATATCTGGAAAACCGAGGGTAATAGTGAAAATTTCGTTAAAATCTTTTTCGGAGATCTCAGTTAGATCTCTAAAAAAGGTCCTGACGACGATGTCGTTATCTCCCCTGCTTTATGAAATATTTTCGACGATCTGTTGGACTCTTTAATTCTATCCATCCTCTTCTGGTGAATAAAATTTTTCGTTCTTGTTTCAATTTATTTGTGATGATCATGAAGGATTTATTTTCACTCCATTCAGCGCCGACTCCAAAAGGAGTTGATGGCCCTCATACGTGAGCCGCCTGAGGGTGTCCAGGTTGATGAGGACTTGGTCGGACAGAACTTGACACAATGGATCGTTCACATGGAAGGGGCCAAGGGCACACTCTACGAGGGAGAGAGATTTCAATTACAATTCAAATTCAGCTCCAAGTATCCGTTCGATTCACCAGAAGTGACGTTCATCGGTGGTAACATTCCCATTCATCCTCACGTATATAGTAATGGTCACATATGTCTATCGATATTGACTGACGATTGGTCACCAGCACTCTCAGTGCAGAGTGTGTGTCTCAGCATCGTCTCCATGCTGAGCTCGTGCAAGGAAAAGGTAATTTCATTATTTCAAGTTGATTTTTTCTGCATTATAAATCAATTGCCGATGAAATTAAAAAATTTTCTCGTTTAAATATCTATCCAACTATCAAATTAAAAACTATGGAAAAAATATAACGCTGGAAATATGATTAATTATTATCATTAATTAGTATTATTAATTATTTATTATTTTTATTTATTTTAATTATTATTATCATTAGTAGTAATTAATTTTCTGCAGATATTGTGTTTAATTTGATGATTATGTTATCTTGCAGAAGAGACCTCCTGATAATTCGTTCTACGTTAAAACTTGTAATAAAAATCCAAAGAAGACAAAATGGTGGTATCACGGTGAGTGTAAATCTCAGAAATATATGGAATACTCTTCCACTAATTCTGTAATTGTATCTCAAATAAATGAGAATATCGGACGGTTAATAAAAATTTTTTATTTTAATTTTGGTTCTAAAAGCAAATAAGCAATAAACTGACAATTTTCCTCATGCGCTGTACGTTTCGTAGTCATAAAACGAAGAAGAGCGTTAAAATGTCAATTCATTAATATCAAATATTAACACGTTTTTTTGTATTTACAGATGATAGTGTTTAAATCAGGGTAGACGTGCCGCAGTGAACACCCATAAAAATTCTTCAATTGCACACAATTCCGAATGATATCGAGATAAAACATTGAATTAGTTAATTTTTCCTTTTCTTTGTGTGCATATTACAACTTATATCATCGCCGTAGAGAGTTAAGTAAAAAAATTGAGCGGATGGCTGAAGGGCTGAACTATTAAAACCACTAATCGAACTACTAAGAGAAATTATAATAGTGAACGAAAAGAACTTCAGAATTATAAGCAAAGTTGTGAAGAATTACGAATTTTAATTGATTGGGAAGGGATTTGTGAGAATTCTATGACAAGAGCTGAGCAAAGACAAATCGAGAGGCTAATGGACGTTTGCCAATATTACGCGAATTATATTAAACGGCTGAATCAGATCTCTCGTCATTAGATAACAAATTATTAAAAATGGGGAGTAAACATAGTAATGAACCGTTTTTTTTTTCAGTTCATTTATGACTCTCGAGTCGAAATATACTGCACAATGCGATTTAGAGACAGATATGAAAAAAAAATTTAAAAATCGATTAATGTTGCAATTACATGTTCACTGGCTGATGAGCTGAAAAATAAAGTAACTGAAATATTTTATATGGAGTTTTCTCATTTATACAGGTGGTGCATTTTGTGGATTTTTAAAAATATAAATTGTACCTAGTCCAATTAATTGACATTTTCAGCTAGTAAAAGTGAAAAATCAAGGGAAATTCAATGGAATTCTCTTTTTAGAAGTAAAAAAATCAAATTTCTCGGTCTCACGGGACTTGCCAACCAGTTGCCTAGCAACCGCGTTGATTTTAAATCTCCACGATGAAAAAATCGTGATGGAAGAACAGGAGACTGAGAGTTTAAAATATGGAATTATTAATTACAAACTACTGGAGGAATTGGCGATTCAACAGGCACCGAAGGGCGAGGCTGGGCGACTATTCCGTGAGGATGGGGTTAAATTGGAAGAAGTCAAAGAACTGAGAATTGAATTTTTGAGTAAGTACTCCATTCAATCCCCGGTAATCCCTCGCAATAATAAGAAATAATCAAATTTATTCTTTCATACTAAAACATCTGTCTTGTTAAAAATGATAAAATACTTTAGGCCATTTTTACGAAAAGAATTATTATTCATACTATTTACTCTCCATTTCAATTTTTGTATGAATGAATGACGTAAGGATACATTTCGGATAAATTTATCTCCATGCAGATATTATTAGTCTGGAGCATTTGTGGCCGATGAAAAGCATCAGGAAACTGACATTATCTCACAATTGCATTGAGAGGATCGAGAAATTGGAGGATCTCGTCGAATTACGAGAGCTTGATCTCTCATTTAATCGAATCAGTCTTATGGAAGGGCTGAGTCATCTGATTAATCTAGAAATTTTAATATTATCCGGAAACGATATTCAGAATATCGAGGGCATCGATGGTCTTGATAATTTGAAAATCCTCAGCTTGGCGAATAATAAAATTAACAGTTGGGATCACGTAAATGTTTTTATAATAATTAAATAAATTTACGTTGAATAAATAATTTCCGGTTTGTAGTATTCCCTGAATTTTTAGGTGATGTACCTGAGGAAATTCAAAGAACTCCGTAGTTTAAATATTCAAGGGAACCCTTGCATGTATCAGAAAGGTTTTATAGATTATATTATCGCTTTCGTCCCTCAACTCGTTTATTTCTCGTACCGAATGATTACGGGAGAGCAGAGGAATAAATCCCGCGAGATTCACCGGTGAGATTTTTTATTCTGGATTCGTTCTGCTTTTTTACTTGAAATTATTGACAATTTATAGACTCTCTGTTGCAAAAACTGAGGAAAGTGAAACCAATCTTCACCGTTCGCAAAGCAAGACCAAAGCGGTGGAAGATAAAAAAGCAAAAGACTTCGAGGCATTTGTTGAGAATTTCGATGCAAATGAATTCTTGAATTTTTTGTGCGAAAAAGATAAAGGTATACTGAAAAAATTTCAATATCTTCATACTTTGTATCAAAAAAATTGTTGTTTATTTATTTATTCATTGTAAATTGCGCGGCTCTGAATTCAAGATCACTTTCTTGAAAATTTTATTTCTAGAGAATTCCATTCTGAAGAAAGTTCATTTGATCGCTGAAAAGAGTTATGAGAAATATTCGACAAAAATCAATGAGATATCCCGAGAAATCTACAGATTCGGGAATAATAAAAAAGCTGAGAGATCGAAAGAACTTGCGATATTCCGAAAAACTATTGAGGATGAACAGAACTCAGTGAAATTTACTGCCAGAAGGTGATTTTTTTTGTTTCTAATTATTTTGTACAATTATCACATAATAAGTGATTTACCATTTCCTCTTGAGATGGAATTTGAGGAATTAATTTGCGGTTATTTAGTATTTAATGCTCTGGCTAATATAAATTAATGAATTCGCATTAAAAAAATGGAATCGATTAATGCCAGACTGATGGATGAGATAGAAGAACGCCGGAATGAAATTCTAGAGGATTTAAAAAAGAAATCGAGCATTAACGACGCGAATGATGCCGATTGCGAATCCTCTGGGAAAGTCCCAGAAGATTCTCTGAGTATTGACTTGAGAGAAACGCAGAAAATTGCGGAGGAATTCAACAAATTCATGTCATCAAAGTGGACGAAATTGATGTACAACGAGATTGTCCTCCACGAGCAGATGGAAGATGTTCTAGAATCCTTCAAAAATAACATGTCCAAGGCAATTACGGAATTCACTGATTTCATGAAGGAGGCATTCTCCCAAATAAAAAACACTGAGGATGATTACTGCAAAAATATTAATAGCATCATTAATTCGTACGTCGCGAACATGAATTCAGATGAGGCCGTTATTCCCGAGGGTTTCAGGGAAATCTTGGAAAATTCCGAGTCTCTGAATGAAAATTTAGTATCTTCTCACGAATTGCGTCTAAATCTCATCGCTTCTAAGGAGCAGACAATGATCAAACGCATAGAATCATGGCTCGAGGATTTGATCGATGAACTGGAGTCGTAAGTTCAGGGTTTAACAAAATATTATAGGTCAATTTGCCACTTAATCTAGTTTTTACGAAAGAGATACCGCTTTTTTTTATTAAGTCTATTTTGCATATGTCATCTCACTCTGTAAAAATGCTCATAAAAAAATTTATGATATCTCTTCTAGATTAGGAGATGAGTCGATATTAATAAGAAATTTGATTTTTTTTTCAAGGCACGAGAATAGTCGACATCGTTCCAGGATCCTAGAGATTTCTCACTTTATTCAGTTCCAAAGAGAATCCTTAGAAGATGTCTTCGATATGAATATTAATATCGATAAAAATATAGAAGCTGACGTCGCAGCAGCTCTGGACGATTAATATCATCCAGAATCTCTGCGTTGAAAGGGAAAAATCACCATGAGTTCTATTGATCTGCGATTTTATTCGTACCTATTTTGAAAAAATTCCGAAAAATAACAATAGAATGTAATATAATAATAACAACTGTATATGAAAGTACGAAAATATTTCATGTCTGAAGGTATAACGAAGAAATTTCCATCACCACTGATTATGAATGAATCCATAATCACAAGCTATTTAGACTTCTTCTTGAGGGCTTGGAGGTATAGGTCTAAACTAGTTTGAACGTTTGGAGCTTGGACTGTAGCAATGAACTGTTCTGTATCTTCTGCTCGAGTCTTCTTCAATTTCTCTATTACAGAAGCGCGGAAAATAGCTTTCGTTGCTGCCACTGCAGATAGAGGAATTTTTTCGTAATAGGCAATGTACTGTTCAGCCTTGGCAATGGCATCTTCTTTACTGCTTGCTAATTCATCAACAAGACCGCATTCCAGTGCCTTCTCCGGGGTGAACAGCTCCCCTCTATATTTTAAATTTGAGAGAACAATCATTAATTAATCTATGTCAAGTGACAAATAAAAAATTGCATCACATCTTATGCAGATATTTTGTAGTAAATTCCTGGAATAAATTTTGGAATTGTTTCTTTTTTCGAATTTTACCTCAATAGGGCCAATTCTGCACGTCTCGCCCCGATGGCTGCGATGTACGGCTCTTGGAACCAGAAAGGCGCAATAATTCCAAGTTTCGTTTCATTCAAACCTATCGTGTGTTTACCGGTCACGAAAATTCGATATTCGCAGCTGATGGCTAGAAGACAACCTCCAGCAGGACTTGCTCCCTAAGAAATCAATAATCCTTCTGATTAATCAATTAATCCTCCTCCATAAATTCGCCACACAAATTTCGCAGTAATTCTCCCAAAAATGGCAGATAAAAATAAAAATTCTTTTGTTCTCAAATTTACAGCAAACAAAGCATAATTCGTTTTGTTAATTTGTACCGAATTTTTTGAAGAATAAAACATATTCTCACGAATAATATCTCATTACATTGATAGCAGCTACTGCAGGCAATCCTAAACCATGCAATATCAGCCAGGTATCTTGCAAGGTCGTCCAGAACTCAGTGCACCTCTTTAGGTCTGGCTTGTACATTTCCAGGATATCAAGACCACCTGAGAACACCGTTGGCAGGGATGACGTGAGGATGAGGCCTTTGCTCCCATTCTTCTGGACTTCTACAAGTGATTCCTTCAAAGCAGTCAACAACTCCAGGTTCAAACCATTTACAGGCGGTCGATTCAGCGACACCGTAGTTACACCTACTCCCCAAACAAGAACAATTGAAATTTAATCGTTAATTCGTGAATTACATTATTAATTAATTTCTTCACCCGTCTTCTCATTTTGAGTGACATCCACCAATTTGTTGTTGGTTGAATACAATCTTGATAATATTCTCCGATCCACCAGCTTCACTGCTCTATGCACCAGGGGAATAGTCATTATCTATTGTTTAAATAAAAATATATCGTTTTTATGTGTGATTCGTCGGTGAATTATTCTTCAAAATAAAATATCGTGATCAATCAATGGATTCCGCAAGTGTTCGTCGCGTAGATGATAATAAAAATACGAAAACGAAATGTTAACTTTTTCGTTCGGCTTCAGAGGCTGATCTCACGACGACTTTAGATCTCCGAATAAAAATAGTATTAATGAAAAAATGACAGATAAATTCGTCAATGTAATTGCGAGTCCAAAGTTCATTCTTAATGTGTATCGATTATCATCTAATTTTGCAAAATCACTCGAAAAAATGATTTCAGAGTATGAACAATAAAAAATCACATGCGGGTGTAATAAATACCAATTGAATTTCACATTATAACACAGAATGTCTTCATATATATGATTGAGATATAATTTTAGAATTACATTGACATTTTCAGGCATGAATGAAAACAGAGAAGAGAAATGCGACTTATGATTTGTCGTTGTGGAAAACGAGAAATTTGAAGAAATATGAAAAAATCGAAAGGTCTCAATTGAATATAACAATGATATCAATCCCACCTGATTAGTTGGTCCTCTGACTCCAACAATAAAGTAAACAGATCAAACAGATGCACCTTCGGAGAAAAACAGGATTTTTGCGCACGCGCAGTGAACTTCTCGAGAAAAAGCGATGAGAGCGACGCATCATGCATAAAGCAATATAAGGATGTCTATATACATATAATCGGGGTCGATGAGTCGTCGTCGCATTGTCGTGGTCGGCTGTCGTCGGCTCTGGAATGAATTGAATAACAAACGGCATTAGTGTCCCTGTAATGTGCAATAAATTCGAGGTCCACACCATTGATTCGTCATCTTGACTCACAAGTGCAGTCACTTCCTCTAATTCAAAGTCGCCCGATTCAAGGGCAAAGTGTATGTGTGTGGATTTTGTAATTACAACATGGCTGACGTACCCCAAACTCAAGTTACCCCAGAGTTTTCTCACTCATTTTGGTTTATCCTGTGTCATTTCATCGTAAAGTGTCACCCCTCTGGCTCGATCAAGGGAGAAATGTCGTGAATCAGTCTGGACTCTAAATATTTCGGTGATTGGATAATTGAAGAGCAATCATGTCAACGAGATCTCAACTCACCAAGGATTTAAATGGTATCAATTTGCATTTTAATTACCACCAGTCCAGGGGTTACGATGGGGAATGGGGATTCTTACAATTTATGAGTGTTTTTGGGGATTTTTTTTTCTGTAGAATCTGTGAAGGCTCTTCTGGGAAAACACGTCAAGATTTTACTTAAGAACGTCGTCAAACTTGAGACCAAGCCTGACAAGCAGGAAAATCGGGTTCTGGTGAGTTTTTGAATTTTTTTCAAGTTCCATTTTGATTTTTCGTCGGGAAATTACTTGATTATTTTTTTCTCATTTCAGGTGTTTTCACCATGCCGCCTGTTTTTATTGACTGCCAAAGTTCCTACACGTGTAAGTTGTTTGTTTATTAGTTAGGCAATTCTAGTAGTTCTTAGAAACGCGATGTTGATTAGTTCTGAAGAGATAAGAACTTTGAACACATAAATGTAGATTGATTGAGGAAAATTATTGAAAATATCTGAGTGGATCGTCATAAATTCCATTGAAGCCTAATTATTTACACTTTTATAGTTCTAATTTCGCAATGCAGCTTAATCCATCGAGGAATTTCCTACAGAAAATATTTAACAAACTGTAAAATTAATCTCGTTTTGCTACTCAGTTTCTGCTTGAAAAAAAAACAAAAGCCGTAAAGCAGAATTGATAATAAATTAAAAAAAATGGATTTAAAACCCCTGGGGAGCCGAAAAGAAAATCTTAAACCGGGAAATATTCGGACTATTTCAGATCGATTGTCACTTCCACTACCTAGAGATAACCTCAATAGAATCCCGTCGTCCAAACCAGCTATGCCTAACCGCAGGCGATCGCACATACAATTTCACAACGACCGGTACCCTAGGTACAACCGATACAACCGAGATAGACGCAATGATAGAAGCCCTCCACACAGCAATTCGTAACATCTTCCCGACAGTTCCCCTAAACTACGTAATCCGCAAGATCGACGTGATCCCAGCAAGTAGACTGCAAAGTATTCGAGGCTCTGAATTAGCCCGAAGTACAGAGGCAACAAGAACGACAGGTCCCTGCGGTGGTTTTTCCACACAATATGCGTGCATGTGCGACCTGCACAGCGTACAATATCGAGATGAGGTTGCCTGGGACGTGGACACAATCTACCTCTCCCACGACACACGCGAGTTAAATCTCCGTGACTTTGATCATCTGGAGCAAAAGGACCTAGTGCCCATAATCTCAGCCCTAGAGTACAACACGTGGTTCACAAAATTTCGAGCATCACACATGAAACTCTCCCACGAGTGTCTGGAGCGTTTGCTCCACGTGGTGAGAAGATCCCTATCAATCCAAGAAATATATCTCGACAATTTAGGAATAAAATGGGACTTTGCGCACAAGCTGTCATTAGCCTTGATAGCAAACAGCAACACAGTCCTCCACACGATAGATCTCTCCAACAATATAATAGAGGATAAGGGTGCAATAAGTCTCTGTGGCATAATAGCTAAATTGACTCAGGGTAGCCACTTGGGTGGAGGCAGTGCAATCGGTAATCATCCCAAGGGCATGCAGAAGCTCAATCTCTCACGATGTGCTCTGACATCGAAAGGGATTGCCCAGATTGCCCATGCACTCAGCCTCAACCGTAGTATGCCGACAAGTCTTCGATCCCTCAATCTATCCGAGAACACTATAAAAGATGACATCAATAATCTCTGTAATTACCTCGCCCAACCGAATAGTCTAACTCATCTCGATCTTGCTGGCACTGATACAACACTCGAGTGCCTATTTGGTGCATTATTACGTGGCTGTGCTACTAATCTAGTCCACCTTAACGTCGCTAGAAACTCATTCACAAGCAAGAAAACCAAAGAGATACCTCCTAGTTTTAAACAATTCTTCACAGCAACACTTTCACTCAAATATCTTAACATTTCATACTGCAAATTGCCACTCGAAGCACTCAAGCATCTCCTCCTAGGTCTTGCTTGCAACGAGAGTACAGTAGGTCTTGAGCTTGATATGAGTGGTAATAATCTGGGATCCATGGGTGCCCATGTTCTCGAGAGTTGTATTCACGGTGTACGGTGTATTGCATCATTGGATATTTCTGATAGCAATATGGACGTTGATCTGGCTCAAGTTATAACTGCTATTGGTAAGAATAAATCACTGAAGCATCTGTACATGGGTAGAAACACAGCGGGCATGAAGAGCAAACACATCTCCGTGGTTATGGACTGTCTCGTTCAGATGATACAAGAAGATGACTGTGTGCTGCAGAGTCTTCACATACCGGACTCGAGATTGAAAGGTGATCTGTACAGTTTGATCAATGCACTGGGAAGTAATACTTGTCTGCAAACTTTGGATATCAGTGGCAATCAGATAGGCGATCCTGGTGCTAGGCTTCTGGCAAAAGCTCTCCAGATCAATAATCACCTCAGGACTATAATCTACGATAAAAACAATATAACTCTTCAGGGTTATGCGGATATTGTTCATGCATTGGAGAAGAACTTCTCGGTTAGGTACATGCCATTTCCCATTTACGACCTGCAGCCCTGCATGAAGACCTCCGCCGAGCGGGCTGAACACCTGGCAAAAAAACTCCAGGATATGCTTCAGAGGAATGTAACACCCTGCAAGTACTCGCACGGTCAGGCGTTCAGGCTTCAGCAGGGATTTTTACTCAGCTCAACGCAACAAGTTGTTGATAGATTAGTTGTTCAAACTCAGGATACTATTAAGACACTGGCAGCTGAGAGTTGTGATGCTAATAATGATATTAATTATGCAACTGGGCTTATTCAAGATGCTGATAATTCCAAACAGCTGTTGCCTAGGCTGCACGAGGTGCTGCAGAAAAGGGACGAGAAGAATCCAATTGAGTTTAAATTGAAGGAAATAGCGGATGATGTGCACAGAGTTGTTAGCGAATATCTCGAGGACTCTTTGGAGTCTATTCTTAAATGTGCTAATGATCATTGCCCAACGGTCATGTCTCAAACGGTTGTCAGGGGGGATGACAGTGAGCCTATATCCATTGATCAGGATCTCAGGAATGCTTGCAAGGAGAAAAACCAGATCAGCAATGAATTTATAAATTCTTGCATTGTTGAGCAAGCTGGCACTGATATCGTTAATAGAGTTAATGAACTCAATTTGGCAGTGGCTGCTCATGTCTCTGATAGGGTGACTGATGAGGTCATTGAGTCTCTATCCAGAAGCTACAAGACACTCATTGGTGATAGTGCTGATAGAACTAGGAGCAGCACACCTGATGTTCTAAGACCAAGCGCTAGTTCCATCAGCAGTGGAAGCGTTATTGGAATTAATCCAAGTATTGGGACGTGTGGCAATAATGAGGAGCATATTTATGCTGTCGTTTCTCAGGCATCTTCCACGACTGATAACTCGGGGACTGTCGGTGGAGATGGAGCATCCAGTACTACTACTCTCGAGGATGGATATCCCTCGGGGATCCTCGGGCCTCAGGGTGGGAAGGACGATCAGTCGCCTGTGGTGAGTTATTTTCAAATATTTTTTTTTTGCCTTTTAGGACGAATTTAATGGTTTTTATTGTTTTTTTATTGCCACTAACGAAGAAACTGGAGTATTTGAATCTCGTGAGTAATTTTTCCAGGCATTGTGTTTGTGGTTTGATTGTTATAGAGTATTGATTTTTAAATACTGCGGTATTTACCACTGATAATAGAATATTCACAGTTTTTTGAATGAATGCACTTGGTCTACACTGTTGGGAAATTAATTGGAATGGCAATTGAAGGTTTAAAATTTTTTACAATAACAAAGTGACATCACATTTCGATAGATTTCTTCTTTGACGATTCAGTTAATTTCTTGAATTCTGGTAATTCCGAATTTTTCATATACCAGTAAAAATGTTGAAAATTTAGGCAATAATTACCTTGAATTTTCAATCTATTAAAAAATAAATTGTCGTTCAACAATTTTTAATTCAAATTGAATTTAAATGGAAATGAAATATTGAATATTTAGTATTTAGCATTTATTTAATGAAATCCTGACGTTAATTTTGAATATTCGTTATCAAAGGCGACTCCGCATTTATCAAACAAACGTAAGAGCCTCCACGGTCGTAAATTGCGTCCAAAATCGGTGGTAGACTCGGTGGAGGGTCTCTCAGCCGATGACATTCCAAATTTACTGCCAAATCTGCCAAAAGACACCACGGAGATGACGTCCGAGAATGAGCATTCCTTAACAGAATCCCTGGATTCGATCTCCGAGCTTCCTAACACGGCGGGTCAACAGCTCCAGCACCTGGTGAAGACCCGTCCAAAGAGGGCGAAAACACGAGCCCCAACGCGCCCAATGTTGCGATCGGATCCCCTCCCGGTGGATTCCCTGGCCCTCGGTGAAGGTCTCGACGTATTTTTTAGACCCACCACCCCAACAACACCCCTAATATCACCGACCAGCGATGACAGCTCTTTGCACACCTTTCCCATTGACGGGAGTCCAAATTTATCATTAACGAGTCACCGAAGTGTTCCACCGGATACTGAGAGAAAGCCCCACGGGTGCAGTTCACCGATGCTCAAGACTCTCCTCGAGCCCGCGCCCAGGTCGCGATCGAGTGATAATTTGGAGAAATTCTCACCACTTACGGGACGTAGATCTCAGGGAGATACACCACTGACTGCATCACCACTGGTGCGAAGGAGTATGGAAAATTCCGATGGGGACAAGAAGAGAATGCCCGTCACGAACAGTGTCATGTCTCCTTCGTCTTCGCCGACATCTGGGAAAGACGAGAACTGTCCGTCCAGTGATGTCAGGGGTCAGTCGAGTTTCGGCAAGGGTGGGGTCAAGGCATTGACTGGCAGTTGCGAACTAAAAGCCAATCCTGGTGGAATCAGGGGCAACAAGCCAGCACCACCTGCCATTGCCCCCAAACCGAGACCTTGGAGTATGAACACTGACAGAAAATCTGGTGAGTCCACTCTAATTACTCGCCCATTTATTCCAGTAGTGAATCAACAGAGGATTCACCAAATAATAATTCTATTAATAATTAATTACTGGTCATTCGTTTTGGAATATTTCTGAAATATAATAATTAATCCTTATGTACTGTCTTGTCCAGGTGAATTCAACAATTTATTGAGCGATGGTTCAAGCCCCAATACCTCAGCTGGAAATACTCCAGATTCGGGTGATGCCCTGGACGAATCAATCGACAGTGGTGTCAGTGGACCAGCCTCATTACCCCCGACTCTATCCGCTAGCAGTACAGTCAGTTCATTAAGCAGCAGTAGTGTGGAAAAAAGATCAGTCAGAGAACTCGCAGCGAGTCTAAATAAAGGGAAAACCGATCGAAAGGAAAACGGTAACTAGATCACTCAACTTTACTCCCGCATAAAAATTGTTTTTTCACCTTTTGTTTTTCATTACTTTTCGCTTCATTCTCTTTTATTTCTCGCTCCAATTACGTTATTTTAGAGCAAGCGCAAGTACCCTGGAGGTCGTTGCTTCATCGTCCCGTTGACCCCAATAAGGTATTACTTTTTTTCTTTTTTTTGTTTTGATTTTATTTATACCAACGAATTCCAATAAATTATTGATATTGTTTGATGAAGCGTGTATAATAGGTAAATTATTCCAGGGACCGCAGCCATTGAAAAAGGATGAGGAAGGACGAATTAATTTCAAACTGCGGAGAACATCATTCTTGCGTGATTCAAATTTCAATTACGACAACGATGTCGTTGATGTTTGACAGATTAATTTCACTTGCATTTTGTTTAACATTCCAGTTTCTAACATGTGCCATTAGCAAACAACCTAGACATTCAGTGAATTCACGTGTTTGCCGAGGCCTAATTACTTCATTTTATCGAATGGATTCGCGTTTCGAGGCTGGTTTTTCACAGTGAGACTAGTCAATTTATCATTGCTCCCATTAATTTGAGGAAAGTGTAAGACGAAGACATGTAGCGCTTGTTCCACCGTCTAATTAGTGACTATAATACGAAAAGGGAAAATGTAGGCTTAAGTGAAATTTTTTTAACTCCGCTCTCTACTCGTATCATCTGGCAACTTTCGAGATTTGTTTTTTCAATTTCATAAATCTCCATTGCGTGAATGCTGTCGCGAACCGATTATTGGTTTGTAATATTTATATGTAAATATTTATACATTTTTTAGATAATGAAATTAGTTTAGTCGTTATGGGCACTATGTACGATCGAGTCAATTGTTTTTCCGATAAATTATGTGGTGTAAGTAATTATTATATAATTAATTATAATTATTGACACAAAAATTCATATCGATTTGTTTTTAATCTGGGGATGTTCTTGTTTAGTTTTTTAGTTAGTATCCATCAAGTATGGGCTCATTGTGCCAAAAGAGAGTTAAGAACGGGAATCAATTCATAGAACATCTGATGTACCTTGTATGATACTGGAGAATTTTTTAAACACCTTTCCATTATGTTTTTTAAGGACTGCGCAAAACGGGTCAAGCAATTGCGACCAAATATTAATATTTATCATTCTGCAATATTTTATTTTTAATTAAATTTATTCGTCTTTCGTTTTTTAATATGAATATATAACACGTGTATGGATTCGATGAGTACGATGATATTTTTATCACGTATTACGATATTATTAGCATAGAAAAGTGATATAATCGGTGAATAAAGAATTATACAAATGAGAGAATTGTTTCTTCATGATTTCCGTTATCAAAGCAGTAAATTATCCATCAATTTATTTAATTATCAATTTGATACAATGGATTTGTCCATCGAATCTGACGTATTGGGAGCTAAAAACTACTCGACGCATTGATAATCATCTGAGAATGCACTCTTAGTAATTGTTGAATTGTTGCTATTCTCCATGATCACCAATCGCCGCCTGCCTAGTGCTCGACCAGTCCTTGTCCTGCCTCATGGGCTGGGACCATCCGTAACTCTCCTGCTGTCTGTATCTCGGATTTCCAGCCTTCTGGGGATCTAGTGGCTCTGAAATATGCTCCTCCAGAGTCTGCAAGTGACAAAACCGTTGAAGAAGGCATGAATATTCCGCAGATACAGAATAATTCATTACGGGATGTTTGCGAAATTTTCTCATATAACTATTTCCAGAGATATTCGTCGAGAATTTATTGAACTTACCTTGTCCTGAATGTATTCCCTGGCTTTTATAATCGCAAACAATTCACATATCTCTGCATTTGGACTGATGTTCCCTCGTTCAATAGCAGCTTCAATTTTTGGAACCTGAATTCCACAGTAAACATGAAAAAAAATGCAATCCATAAGTAAGTTCTTATAAAATAAATTATCTTCAATGGTTAATTTCACGAATTGAGGAATTGAACTCACGATATCAGAGAAGTACTGAGATCTCTGTGGAATCGCTCGTTTCAAGGTCAGCTGGAAGTCGTGTGCGACGTCATCAATTCTGTCCAGATCACAGAGAGCCATAATCCTGACAGTCTTGGTGGATATGTATTCGGATTTCTTACAGAGTGTCAATATCTCCAGGGCAATGTGAGGTGCATTTTGCCGCAATGCCAGTGCTGCCAGCGTAGACACAACCTTTCGGAGTGGTAGAGCCCCACGATCTACCATCTCTTTGCAGATTTTCACTCCAAAATCAAGACTCTCTTTTGTGTTCTATAAAAATCGTTAGATCATTCCACAAACTGTCAAATTTCGCTTCATCATTTTATGATAGAATTAAATAATTGACTGCTCGTCATTAAAATTGGTAAACTCACTTCCTTGTAGCAGGACAAAGCCAGAACACTAACAACGAGCTTTGGATTTTTACTTCCATTGGGGAACCTGGTCCGGATCAGGTCGTAGACCTCTCTGACTTCCTTGTACATGCCATTCTCATGTAGCAAATCAGCTAGAATAGCAAAAGTCGTCTGCTGGTCATAGAAAGACTCGAATTTGGGATCCCTGAAGGTCTCCAAGGCGCTCAGGGGTTCGTTGAGATAGTGGAATGCCCTCATGACTACTGGACCGAACTTGAAGCTCCCAAATCTGATGTCCTTATCCTGATCGTTGAATCTGTGCATGGCAGCTATGAGGAGCTCGACGTCCCCTGGCTGCTTATCCACCACATGGATCAGGGCCTTCAGGTCTTCCGTGAAGATCAAGTTTTGCTCGTTCTCCACACTTGTCTTGATTTTCTGTTTGAACGCATCCAGTGAACTCGTGTATCTTTCACGAAAGTTCTCTCGGGCTGATTTGTACTCTGGCAGTCCTAGACTCGCTTCTGTGTATAATGTCTTGCTTCCTGGAGAAAGGTGATCTATTTAATATTTAATAGCTTATTGTCCTGCGATGTGGAGGAACACGATGATCTCTAATTTTAAATTGATAACTACAATTCTCCCAGTTGAATCAATCCCAAATCCCAATCAATCAATAACTCATATTAATTAATGTTTACATAATGAAGGTTAGACTATCAATATTCACCATTACAAAGCAGCTGGTGATTAACATGGTTATTGAATACCCCCAGGGTGAGCCTGGAGAAGCACCGGATAGTCCTGGCCATCGGAAGTGAGAGAACAATTATTTGAAATCTAAGATTTATCAAAAAATATTCCTCCAACCGGTGTAGATACACTGAGAAAACAAAAAACGTGACAAAAAGAAGTGAATACTCCGCGCAGGCGCCGCCTGCTTCTTTTCCGGATGCACTCGTCACCCACTCAATTAATCTGCAGCGCGCAAAATTCAAACACCAAAAATTGTCAATAAATTATAGACTATTTATTACATCTCAGTATCATTTTTTTTTTATTTAACATTTTGTGAATTTATCATCAGAGAATCGGATAGATGGAAAATACTGAAAGGAAAAACCAGCGGGAACAGATGTCAAGTGACTGGTTGTCACCAAATATTGACACCACCTTCATTCAAAGTTCTAACTGCGGGTGATTCTGTTGCTCTTGACGTTTGGGAAGAGTATAATGAGAAGAATGTGATTATTTTGATGACTACCCGTCGTTACATTCATTCACTGGTGTTTACTCCAGAAGTGTGCGCCATTGTCCTTTTTACTTGTCACCTGTCGTAAAAATTGTTACAATGAATTAACTCTGTAATTCATGACCTCAATTGTCAACTGGGTGTCTTGGTGAAGGGTTGCGAACACCTGGTTTATCCCCACTGACCTGCAGATCCTTGAGATTTCGACGGGCTTTTGAAATATTGCAAGATTAACGGTAGCCTCGTAGTCACTGGGGGTAACTTCTGATCTTTATCTGATACTTCCTGGGGAAGGGAAAGTTATTCCGACGAAGGTACGGGTTATAATCATGTGCTTTTGCTGAGATTTTTGATTTATCGGATTTTTCACGACCTCGAGACTCGGGGGACAGTTGCGGATATGAGAAAGTGTCGTTTCCCCAAAAGCAGCTTTTCATTCGAACGGGTTAACTCTTCGGAGACTAATTTATGGGAAATTTCCCCAGATCTATCGTAATTTCACAATCTCTCAGTGAAAACCCCACAAAAATGACACTATTCTTCAAATTATAAAGTTACGATTCCCAAGATAATTCGCTAAATATCTGTAGAAAATCCCCCTAAAAATTTGGAGTTTTCCTCAATTTTTTTCTTGAAAGAATTTGGAATATTAAATTTGAAAATTCAATAAAAAAACCTAGACCTACAAAACGCGTTGAATAATATCTTCAAAAAATATATAGATATCCCATTTTTCATATGAACGGAAAGAACCCATAATATATTTCCATATAATTTTCTATTCCAAAAATTTCCATGTGGCAATAATTTACTGCACCACTAAAACCTGAATCTTAACCTAAATTTTTTATAATCTTAGCACCTCATTATTTCGTAGTAAAATGCAATATTTCCCGGGGAAAATCCACGCAATTTCCTCTGAAAAGAGATTTCCTCAGCGAATGGCGAGAATTACGAAAACGTCAAAATGTCTCTGGAATACTCTGTCCTCCACTAAGTGAAGCTGAAACGAAAACAGCCACATGACAATAAAAATATAAACACGCATAAACAAAATTCCTACCGTAGACTGAGAGGAGCCTATTGTCGAGGATGTGTTTCCATTCTCTTCGGGCTAATCCGAAAACTAAAAACAGGCCATTGAAAAATTTACATTGTCCTCAGCCGAATACTTGGGGTAAGTAGAACAATAAATGTTTGAAAACGAAATTGTAAACGGGCGGTTCGTGTACCTAGGAGCCACTTCAAAGTATTTCCTTTATGGGTGGAGTTATGGGAACAATAAAACTTCTCAATTCGGTGCGGATGTAAATTATACTTGTCAGTTCTTATTAAATTGTTGAAGGTACTACCTGGAAAACCATTGCGGTGAATTCCAGGCACTCATCGGTAATGAATTCCATTGTACGACAAACGCGTGCTGCAATTTCAAATTGATCACCAATATTATCTCCGCAATCGTCAACCCCAACTTCGAGGCACATCACGTCGTCAGGTGCGTCCTGACGCAGGTAATGTCGTCCGGTCTGAGTGAATTTAAATCCTCGGGTATTTATTCCACTGTTTATTCAATGGGGGGATATTTTTCTTTCCCAGGAGAAAAAAAATCAACAGGAAAAACTGGCGACAGGTGATTTCCCCGGATCCAGCTGCACGTCTTCGTCGCGCCAACGGAAGGAAATCGTCTGGAAAATCGGAGGGGGCGGGGGGTCTAATTATTCCTAAAAAACGTGAATGTAAATTGGAGTTTGAAGAGTGAATAGTGTTAAAATTAATTAACAAAATCGTAAACAATTGATAAAGGAATAATTATAACAATTGGAGGGCAGAAGGGTGAATATTTTTGGATTGTTTAAAAAACTATTCGCCAGATTATTCCGCGAATTTCTTCCGTGTTTTGTATTCGACGAGAATATTCCAATACTCTGGTATCTGTGTCAAGGTATTTTTATTCAATCCACCGCAGACAAACAAAAAATGATAAAAAAATGTCAATGACATGAGGTCAATTGAAGCGGAAATCATTTTTCTTGTTTGCACTGAGAGAAAATCATGATTTTTCGTAAGAAATTTAATTCTCCAGGTGATCTCGATTGAGAAAAAGAAAGAATTCCGTCAATTTCTTTTCCTTCGAAAATTTGCTATTCAAAGAAAATGGATAATAATCAGTGGAGTTTATCCAAGGACGTCTTTCACATAATCATCATCTGGAGCAATATGATGATCATTATCGGAACCAAATCGGACTCATTTGGACATTAGAATATTCCTTAATTGGAGAGATAAATTTTCAAAAATAGAAACGTCTCTCAGGTAAAATGGATCTTCATCAATAATTTTTTGATTTTTATCAGATGAACCCTGACGCCAATAAGTGAGTAATAATGACCAACTAAAGACCCAAAACAACAACTGCGGGGGACTGGAGATCGGATTATATTAATTCCACTTGATCCATCTCAGTTTTGACATCGGGGCGGCGACAATCCTCTCGAGATGAGGTCTGAGTCTATGTAGTGACGTCTACGTCCTACCCGACCAGACGAAAATCCGCAAATTTTGATGTGCATGACCGAATTACCCCAGAGTTACGCCCTGGCGTCTTCGGTAATGCTCTGGGGACAGGGTAAAATAAATTTCCTGGGATTATTTCGACTCCTTCCTGGGGCACGAGTTAAACCCAAAGGCGGGGCTCACAATTTGCCAGTCGAATACCCCAAAAGGTGAAAAAACATTTCGGCTGCTTAACGAATAATGATGGACAATTTTATTTTTAATTGTGACTAGCGCTTCAATTTTTATCGTTGATTTCTTTTCTTTTGTTCAGATTTTGAAGAATTCCGAGCAATTGGCGGATATTTAGTTCACCGATGAATTTATTTAATTGATGTATTCGGTTGTAATTTATTGAGAGGATTTTTAAGAGAATTAGGAAGTTGGAGTGACATAATTAATTATCTAAATGAATTTTAAACTCCTGTTGACTCCAATATTTTTTATGGTTGACAATAAAAATGGTTACGAGTATTATTATTTTCCAAAGTTCCGTGTAATTTAGCGCACATAATAATTCTTCCATTACCCATTGAATTGAGTCAGCACTTCTATTTCCTCAAGGTTCTAGTAATTCCTGAAATTGAGTGATCATCTTCCCGAGTTTTTCATCACAATTTATTTTCCTAAAAAAACGAAAATATCATAAAAATAAATAAAGAACTCACATTATTGACAAAAAATAAATGAATCTATAAAAATCGAAATATCCCGAACGATTTCCAAAGACTTCTGGCTGTTACTTGAGCATAAATATGAGAAATAAAATAAAAATAAAAATAACCCTCTTCTTGAAGTGGTCCGTATTACCGCAGAGATATTGAAATCCCTTCAGGAAGAAAGAAAGGGTGAAATGGGTGGGGATGATGGAATATATTGAGGATTCAGCTGACATCCTCTCCGGATCGATCCAGCAGGTAGTAAAATTTCGTCGGAGAAGGGGAAATTGGGGTTTGCCCTCTGGGGGTGAGGGAAAGGAATAGCTGTAGCGGGCGACAGTTGTGCCGAGGTCGAGACAGTCGTCCAGGGAGTCGTACTACTGAGAAGTACCAACGAGGACCTTTTCCCCACCCTGTGCTTTTAATTTTCAAGACTTTTAACCCACGACACGACCGTTACTCCAGTAGTTCATTTGCATTCACCATTTGTCACTGCCAAATCCCTCATCTGGTTCTTGTTTACGTGCCCTTCATCCTCGGAGGTGTTCATTCGTGTTTGTCAGTTGACTCGTGACACATGTGTGACATCTGATTCTGGATTTTGACAAATTTCTGATGAAAGGTGAGTTTTACAAGGCAAATGTCGGGGTTATTACTCTCAGCGTCGAATATTCGTTCTCTGGCTCGACGCTGCAGTCTTCTTAATTTATTGTTTTTTATTGATTTGAGGGGAGGGGTAATTGACACTTTCAATTTCTGGGACGATGAGTCACTATTGAAGTTAGGAATGGATTCAGGTCTTGGGGTAACCACAAATTGTCAATATTAACGCATTCCAAGATTGTTTCGTGAACTTGGTCATTAATTAGTTACTATTACCACCTGATTCCAAAAAACTGCACCTGAAATTCTCTTTCCCCGATGGCATTTTCGATTTTTAAATAAATTTTTGAATTGTAGATATCAACTCAGTAATTATTCACTAGATTTCTTCTGTCAATACCACAATTAATAAATTCACGATTCGATTTAAAAAGGAATAATTTCACAATAACAAAACCGTTTGTTTTTTCTGTCCAGAAATCGGTGGCAACATGGCAGGTGATTCCGAGCTCTGTGGATTCCTGGACGCTAAGTTGCCAGGAGGTCGTTACATATCCCAGAGAGTGCGAAAACGTCCTCTGGCGCCGTGGAAGGCATGGCGTCGTCACTGGTGTTCAGTTCGCAAATTGGGACCAGGACTGGGTGTGGAGGTGCACCTGGATCGAGGACTGAGCGAGGGGGCGAACGACAGGAATAATTCCATAAAAGTTCCATCAGACTCGCTGATCTGTCGAACTGAGTCTCGTACGAAGCAGTTTGCCTTTGGGATATTTCCAGGAAAAGAAAGAAAGCCATTGCTCTACCTGTGTGGCACCTCAGAGTCAGAGACCCAACGATGGATGGCGAATCTACGTCAACTCCTGAGACCCCGACGACACAGATTTATGGAGGGAACATTTAACATCTCGATGGTCGACAACACTCACTCGAGGGCTGCTGGACTGTCAGGACTCCACGGTGACCTGGTGGCGAGTAAATCTGGATTATTTATCAAGGACGTGCACTCCGGAGATATAATTGAGAACCTGGACTGGAAAGAGATGAGTCAATTCCATTTGGTGACAGCTGGTCGCCCTGAGGATGTCAAGAGAATCTGCGTCATCCACACGACGAAGGAATTCCGTGGGGGTGTTGGGGAGCTCCACGTCTTCTGCATGAATGCCCCAAAGCTCCTCCAGGACCTAGTAACCCAAGGGCGAGGACCAAAGCACAAGCAGACAAGTCGTCCTCTCAGTTTATCCGAAGGGGATCTACGCCTGTCAATTCACGTGGGTGCAGAGGCATCTCCAGCCTTTCCAGTTCTCAAGAATAAAGTTGCATCCACCCTCATCGACGCCGGCCTGGGTATGATCCTCACGACGAGGGCTGGCAGTGAGGCGAAATTACTGCATAAACTGGACGGTGGAATGACCACCAGTAAAATCACTGGACATGTCAGGGCTGTTGACAATGTATACCAGCCTGAGCCTGCAGGCATTCCCAGTGTCAGTGCCAGTCTTGAAGAGCTAGAGGAACCCTCACCCAGGAGGGTATCCACTGTCTCCATAGCTTCAGGGATTTATGAGGAAATCGTTGAGGACTTGGGGGACTTCAGGAGGAGGATTCACTCGAATCTCTACGAGGATCCCAAGGAGATTCTCATTGTTGAGGGGGGAATTCCACCACCTCTTCCTCCTAGGCAGAGGGCATCCAACAGGAATGACAGCATCAGCGATGATGGACTTGATTCTGAGGGTGGCACCAGGTCTACCACACCAACTCCTGAGGAGAGGGTTGGGGCCATTGCTATTGAAGACTCGGATTATGTTCCCATGAGTCCCAGGGTCAAGGACATTGCACTGCAGCTTCAGGGGGAGAAGAGGAGTCCTCAGGAGGATGTTTATATGGTCATGCGGTAGGGAGCTGATGAGGAATTCATCCATTTGTTCTTCATTTCATCAAGGACTGGAGGAGACACCGATTGCGGGTTCTGAGAGGGTCTGATAATTATCATTGATTGTATATACGCAGTCCCTGGGGCGAGATGTTTAGTGGATATTTGGTGGAATCAGTCGTACCAGTCAATTATCAATGCGTCCGGAATGCTCAATTTACCTGAACTTTTTGAAAGTCAAGGCTATCACACTCTTGACCCAATTTTTGATAAGACACGTTGAATTTATCGTAGATAATATGGAGTACAAATTTTGAAGATTGGGGACTGAGTTCCGGGGCTTAGGATTAGAGAATATTTATCATATCACCGCATTGAGGACTGGCGTTACCTGCAGGGAGCAAAATGTGTTTCCAATTTTGATTATCTGGGGGAGTCTTTTGAATTTTTTTAATCAACAGGGCAGGAGTGATATTTCGATTTTTCCGATTCGAGTTTTTCGCGATTATTTTGAGATAATTGTTTTTTATCGAGTTGGCGGAGAGTTACAAAAAATGATCTCTCGAAAACGTATGAAATAATTGAATCGACTTGTTTTCTCTTCGTCACTGAACTCATGACGATTCTTTGACTAGTTGCTGCAATGGGATATTTTTCTCTGAAAAATAAACTCTTCCCTTTTGCAGAATTTTGATTGAACTCAATAAGAAAATCACGTCCTGCAGTGTAGATTTTTTTTTATTCCAAAAATTCGAAATTTCAAAATTTGACAGTATTATTAATTAAATTGAGAGTGTCGATCTCCCCCGGTAATTATTTTCGAATGAATTATTCTCTGGCATTTTGTTATCACTGCCTTCTTGCTGTGTGCCTACTCTAAGTTTCGAAGGAAATAATCCGGACTAAAAACTAAATGATTAAATTATGCAAAAATTGCTTGTTGAGACTTTGTAAATTTTGGTTGATTAATCACGTAATTGATTATTTAATTACAAATGAGTACGCTTGTTGCCATGAATGAAATCGCTTAGGTCAATCATTTACTGTTTGTCACGCGTGCTAATTAGCTTTACGACAGAATCCGGGGTACTGGGGAATTTGGATGGATAAACGATAATGTGATAGACTATTGTTATGTCGATGTAGTAGTCTTAAGGACTAGATTAAGAGTATTCATTTTCATGTATCACGCTTATCTCGAATTGAGAAGATATACTTGTGTTATCACTTCGTTGCTTATTGTAAGGAGAAATTTAATAAAATTAATGGAACGTATATTACCTACACGAGACTAATTAATCAGGAACATCTGTGTATTCCTTTGGTAAAAAAATATTTTATAATAATATTGAGAGCAGAAGTGAAACAAAACAGAACAGAATTCCCAAATCTTCGACTTTTTCCTTGGAAATTCAACTAAATTCAATGAAATTCGATTGAATTCAGCGAGAATGGAATTCAGTGGAAGTTGTAAAGTAAAATTTCAGTTGTATGAACAATCGATTCATCAAAAACGATGTCAGGCAAAAATGTTATTAGTCACTGGTTATTCCTGGCGTGAGTAGCAGTGAATCTTCTGGCTTTTTCCTCGAATACGAGTTTGTTGAGTCGATATTCATTGGCGATGTCAGGCATGAGGGGATCGTCAGGGTTGGGATTCTCCAGAAGCAGCTGCACAGCCACGAAAAGGCTCTCCAGGGTGATGGTGGGATTCCAGCCCCCACTGTCGTCTTTGGGGATCTTCAGGAGGTCCATGCAAATCCTCCCACCAGTGTCGATGTTCGGATGATACACAGACGTAATGAATTTCATCTTTGGGGGGTGAAAGGGGTAGTGGGCGTCGACTTCCACCTCCAGGTTGAAGAGGCCTCCCTCGTAGGGGCTCCCTCGGGGCCCAGAGATCGTGGCGATGAGAACATTCATGCGTTCATCTTTCTGATAACAAGATATACCCTCGGGAGGCTTCGCCATCAGCTTCGATAGCTCTCGTTTCAGTCTTCTCTCGGCTACCTGCATCTAAAAAATAACAGAAAACACATAAATTATCATGAAATTCGGAAATATTAAATGAACCCATTTCTCAAAAATTCAATTGAATAAACAATAACAAAAATGGAAACTAACAATTCAACAATTAAATCGTATGGTTATTTATAAGATCAATTTAATAATACTAATGCAGTAATATCAACGTCTAGTGATTTTTTCCAATGAGTCCAATAAATAAATTCAAATATATAGAGGTTAATGTCATCATTAATTCCCTGATCAATTGAGAATATTTTTTTTTTGGTCATTAAACATTAAAACGTACCTATTTCGTGGTGAATGGGCCGTGACGATAAAATTGATAATGTAATTGTGATAACACAGGGCAAGAGGCATTTGTTTTAAAAAGGGAGATACAGGAAAATACCTGCAAGGTAAAAGAGTCTTTGACAAGTGCCATCTTTCGGGACTTCAATAAATTTTTCATGACACCTTGGAAGTGGTGGTGGTGCTCAACAAATGCTGAAAGTGCACTCCACTCGGCGTTTGGTTATGAAATGAACCAGTTGAAATCGAATTTCTGTAAATAAAATAACGCGCTCTAGGTTTTATGAATAACTCGTGCAATCGGTGGATAAAAGTGTGAGAAAATAGACAGGTGAATCGAGGGGTCGACGACGCCAATCGATCGACAGGTGAGGCGATTATGTGTTCAGGTATTTTTTGGGCGTCAACCTTCTGCTGGAATCTGGGGACTTGGGTGCTTGAGTCATACGTTATTATTGTTTTTTAATCCGTGATAATAATTCTATTGACCGGGTGATGCTGTGAGGTGAGGGTGTGTCAGGTGAATCACCAGGAGTCAGCGGTCATTTCAATTTTCACAGGGAAATGCGCAAGTGCTATCGATCTTTTTGATTTTTCGGTGGGAAAATTAGTCGCTCAATAATTGGTCATCATAATGAATTAATTAATTTAATTGTGGGGATGAGCTCTGGACTGATTTCACGATTTTTACGTAAATGATTGAATTTTTAATATTTAGTGTGTAATAAATTAGTGTGTATTTAGTTTTAATTGTAATTTTGGAGTAGTTTTTTGTTTATTTTATTAAAATCTAGATTTTTTGTGGGGAGTGTTCGGTTGGGAATGACAACGATTTTATTAATTGAAGTTATCAATTTTGGCAAATTTTTGTGAGTGAGTTGGGATTGTAAAGGTGCTTTTTACGGTGGTAAATTCCGGCTATTGACAGTCATGACTCGTGAATAGTATTGAAAGCGTGGGTGTATGTAGTAATGAATGACAGTGGGCGCGTCACTGACACTCATTAGACCGAGGAAAAACTGACTAATCCAGAAAGAAATTTTATTACTCAATAATGACCACTGAAATCTATAGGATAATCTTTCATTAAGAAAAGTCATTAACAAATTTCGCAAAAACCAATTAGCGTAAACTGATTTGTCGCATTTGACGTTCATGTAATTCCATAAATTTTTAGAACTGAAAATGTGGCGACTTGCTGTGTTCCTGGTGTTGAGCGGTGCCTGGGGTCAGGTTCCGGATGATCCTTACACGTCGACGAGGGCCCCCTGGGGCCGATACGACCAGAACGATCCCCAGGGAGTATTCGGTTATAGAAACCCATACGATAGGCAGGATCCGTCCTACGATCGGGATCAGTCTCCAGGGCTTCGTGGCCCAGGCTTCACCGACAACATCATCTTCAAGGAGGCGACGTATTTCGTGGTGGCCTCCAAGATGTGTCGACCCGGTCAGATCTACCGATTGGCTGTGGATGTCCTGAGGAGTTCTCTCCCCATGACAGTTAGGGCGACGATTCAGAGGAACGGTGTGGAGATTGCAGCCGATCACAAGGAGGTGAAGGAGGGCATCCCCGAGAACCTGATGCTGCGAATGCCCCCCACATCGATTCCAGGTGACTACAAACTCCGGGTGGAGGGCCTCTACAACGGCCTCACAGGGGGTCAGGCTTTCCTCAACGAAACTCGATTGACATTTACCCAGAGGTCCATGACAATTTTCATCCAGCTGGACAAACCCGTCTACATGCAGGGCCAGACCGTTCGCTTCAGGGCAATACCCATAAACACGGAATTAAAAGCCTTCAACGATCCCGTTGACGTCTACATGTTGGATCCCCACAGGAGAATCATGAGGCGTTGGCTCAGCAGACAGAGTAATCTCGGAACTGTCTCTCTGTCGTACCAATTGTCCGATCAACCTGTCTTCGGGGACTGGATCATTCAAATTATTGCTCAGGGACAGGTCGAGGAGAAGATGTTCGTCGTGGAGGAGTACTATCAGACGAGATTCGAGGTCAATGTCACTATGCCAGCATTTTTCTTCGATACAGATCCATTTATCCATGGAATCATTCAGGCGAATTACACGTCTGGTGCTCCTGTCAGGGGGAATCTCACTCTCAAAGCCAGTTACAGACCTATCGATAGGTACAGGGCACAGAATACCGTTTTTCAGGAGCAGTACTTTAATTTTAATGAATATTATCCTGCCTGGTTCAAGACTGTCGATCGGTATGGGTCATCCCCTGTTATGAGGTTTTTCAATGGAACTTATAGGTTTGAATATCCAATGGCCGAACTTCTGGCGTATTCCCCCACCCTGGACGGCATGGAGGTGACGATAACGGCGACAGTTGGGGAGAGATTCCTGGATGAAGTGATTGTGGGCTACTCCACTGCGAGAATTTACAATTCAAGTGTTCGAGTCCATTTCTTCGGGGGTTCTCCCCAAGTATTCAAGCCCGCGATGGCCTTCGACCTGCACATTCTATCGTCCTTCCACGATGGTTCGATCCTGAGGGACTCACAGCTGCGAGGAGCCCAGATGGAGGTGAAGGCAGACATCGAGACAAGAAATGGCCGTAGACAGCTCGACACCCAGTACTTGAGAGCTTCGGATGAAAATCCTTCCATCTGGCATGTGAAGATCGACCTCAGGAAGCAACTGAATCTCCTTGATGATCCCAGACGCGCCCAGCAAGAGCTCAATGGAATCACAGGGATGAGGGTTTATGCGTATTTGATCGACGGCGAGGGCCACAGGGCACAGGCTGAGCTCAAACTCCTGGCACACGAGTCCCCTGACCAGAAGCACATCAAGGTCTCCACTTCCACGAAGAATGCGAAAGTCGGAGAGTACCTGGTACTACATGTCCAGACAAATTTCTACATTGAAACGTTCAATTACCTGATTATGTCCAAAGGGACGATTATTCTCAGTGGACAGGATATAATGGAGCACAACATCAGGACCTTCTCCATTCCGCTGGGTCCGGAAATGGCACCAGTGGTGACAGCAGTGGTGTATCACACGGGAAGATACGGTGAGGTAGTTGCCGACTCCTTGACAATCCCAGTGAATGGCATCTCCCGAAACAATTTCACGGTCTTCATAAATAATAAAAAAGCCCGAACGGGTGAACGCGTGGAGGTGGCGATCTACGGTGAGCCCGGGGCATACGTTGCTCTCTCAGGAATCGATCGGGCTTTTTATTCAATGCAAGCTGGAAACGAGCTGACATATGCCAACGTGATATCGAAGATGGCGTACTTCGGGGAAGAAACCAATGGTACTCACTCTCACTCCTGGGTGTTCCACGGTGGTGACCCAGACGAAGTGGTGCACTTTCCCTCTTCGACCTTCGGCGTCGACGTCAACAGAACGTTCGAGTACATCGGCCTGTTGGTCTTCACAGACGCCTCCATCTACAGAAAACCAGACACGTGCAACAGAACCCAGGGTTACGTCGAGTGCATATCAGGTGCAATCAGGTGCTATCGCTTCGATAAAAAGTGCGACGGCATCCTGGACTGCGAGGATGGGACAGACGAAGCGAGGTGCATCCTGGGGAACGCCACAGACCTCTCCCTTTTCAGGAAGAATCGTTTCAACAGGATTCAGAGGCAGTACGAGAACGTCTGGCTCTGGAAAGACATTAATATCGGTCCTCATGGCCGCCACATCTTCAACATCGACGTCCCCAGGCGTCCAGTTCACTGGATGGTCACAGCCTTCAGTATGAGCCCCAGCAGAGGCTTCGGGATGCTCCCAAAAGCACTGGAGTACACAGGCGTTCTTCCCTTCTTCATCAACGTGGAAATGCCTGAAAAAAGTCGTCAGGGTGAGCAGATCGGCGTCAGGGTATCAGTGTTCAATTATATGAAGTACAATATCGAAGCAACTGTCGTCCTTGAGGGATCCAAGGACTACAAATTCGTTCACGTCGAGGAGGATGGCATCGTCCAGTCGTACAACCCCAAGACCTCTTTTGGGGATCATCAGTTCTTCATATGGATTCCTTCACAGGACGCCTCTATTGTTTATTTACCTATTGTTCCTGTCAGGCTGGGGGACATTAAAGTCAGGATTTATGCCACCACTATCATCGGGAGGGACGTGGTGGAAAAAAATCTGCATGTGGAGGCTGATGGATTGCCTCAGTACAGACATCAATCCATTCTACTTGATCTCAGTAACAGGGGATATCTTTTCCAGTATATGCATGTCAATATCACTGAGACGCCAATTATTCCTTACTCCGAGCAAAGGTATTACATTTTTGGCTCCAACAAGGCTACTATCAGTGTTGTGGGAGACGTTGTGGGGCCCATTTTTCCCACGATGCCTGTCAATGCTACAAGTTTAATGGGATTACCCATGGATTGCGCTGAACAGAACATGTTCAGTTTCGCTGCTAATATGTACACAACTCTACACATGAGGCTGATTAATCAGAGAAACAGACACACAGAGAAGGACAGTTTTTATCACATGAACATCGGATACCAGAGGCAATTGTCTTTCATGAATCCTGATGGCTCGTTCAGTCTGTTCAGGAGTGATTGGAATAATTCATCACCCAGTGTTTGGTTGACTGCCTTCTGCGCTAGAGTTTTCCAGGAGGCGAGCTTCTATGAGTGGGAGAATTATCTCTACATCGATCCAGAGGTGATAGCCCAGGCAGTGGCGTGGGTACTGCGACACCAGACAGAGTACGGTTCCTTCTACGAGGTGATGTGGTTCCCAGACAGAAAGGTGAACAGCACACTGCAGGACGACGAGGGTATAATCAGGAATCGCAACATAAGTCTGACAGCTCACGTGTTGATAACTCTGGAGACAGTGAAGGATTTAACCGGGGGTCTCGGTTCCCAGGTGGCTTTGAGTGCGGCGAAGGCCTCCAAATGGCTGGAGCAAAATTTGAATCTCCTGGAGACGAGGGGAACGCCTTACGAGATTGCCATCACAGCCTACGCCCTACTCCTGTCAAAATCAGCGTCAGCAGAGCAAGCATTCAATCTCCTCTCGATTCACGCCAGAAGAGAGGGAGATTTGACGTACTGGGGTAGAATTCAGGTGCCCCTGCCCCCGAATAAAATCGAGAACAACAAGCCATTCCTTCTGCCACGATTACCTTACGTCTACGACTCCGAGAACATCGAGACCACAGCCTACGCCCTCCTGGTACACGTGGCAAGGCAGGAGGTGGACATTGAGCCCATCGTCAAGTGGCTCAACTCCCAGAGACTCACAGATGGCGGATGGGCGTCCACTCAGGACACAGCCTGGGCCATGAAAGCGTTGATGGATTATACCGTCAGATCCAGAATAAGGGAAGTCAGTGCTCTCACAATAACTGTCGAGGCAACTTCCCTTCCTGGACAGACGAAAATCCTCACGATTAACCAGAAGAACTTGGCGAAGAGGCAGGCAATCGAGATACCAGAGGCTTGGGGAACTGTCAAGGTCCAGGCCAAAGGTGCTGGTTATGCCATCCTCCAGATGACTGTCCAGTACAATGTCGATCAGAAAAGATTCCAGACTGATCCACCTGTCAGGGCTTTTGATCTCGTCGTTAAACCTGACTTCGTAGGGAGAAATAAATCTCATATCGTTTACAAGAGCTGTCAGAGATGGACTAATGTCGAGGAGTCTGCCAGGTCGGGGATGGCAGTGCTGGACGTTACCATTCCTACTGGGTATATGATACAGCAGCAGACCCTCGACAGGTACACCAGGTCCAGGATGGTGAGGAACTTGCAGAGGGCTCGGTTCCAGTGGAGTGAGAAAAAAGTTCTCTTCTATTTCGATTACCTGGACAGTGAGGAAACTTGTGTTAATTTTACCGTTGAGAGGTGGCATCCTGTTGCCAATATGTCCATGTTTTTGCCTGTCAGGGTTTATGATTATTATTCACCCGAGAGGTTTAACGAGACTATGTTCGATGCTCTGCCGACGTATATTTTGAATATTTGTGAGGTTTGTGGGAGCTCGCAGTGTCCATATTGCTCCATTTACAATGCCGGGAGAGTTTTGAGAGCTTCTGGAGTTCTTCTAATCATCTCCAGTGTTCTTGCCGGGATCAGGTACTTCAGGATGATCGAGTGGAATTTGGGATAATTTTTCACCCAGAGACATTTAGGAATTCAGGATAAAGTAGGAGAGAACTGAATGTTAATTTTAATTGAGACAAATCGAACTGCAAAGATTGGAAGAATTGACAAAGGATTGAGTTAATGAGGTCTACATTAAATTCCTCTCTTCATGAGCTTTTAATTGTTTTTGAATCGGTGGGAGATAAATTTGTAGATATACGGGAAAAAACCAGAATTAATTTATGGTGATCCCCTGATATCGTCTCTTTATTGAGTAATTGTGTTCGATAAGACACGAGATTATTCTCGTTTTATTTTTCAGAGTTATCTCTAGTGCGTTGAGGTTTCTATTAACGTCGCACGATGAATCTCGATTTTGTATAGCTCTTTATATTTTTTTTTTACACCAATAGCTTAATTAATAACCGAACGTACAGTTTGATAATCCCTCGATAACAGATCACGAGAGATATTTAACAGTCTGTACATAATAGGGAATAGTGAACCAGTACAATCGTCCAAATCCAGCATCAGAGTTATATTTTTAGTAAATAATTGTAGCCTACTGAGCTCCGCTCTCGTATCAAAGTTTATTTGATAAGTTTTTGGTAACTGCAACACTCGCCAAAGAATTGAATGTTCATTCTGTGGCGGGCATTTACCCTCGATTCTCTAATTGTTAATTAAACAAACTGGTAATACTTCTTAAATTATCCGTCCATAATTCCGTCGATGATCGACTTTGTACTTTTACATTAGTTTTATTTTAAAAAATATAAGATTCATGTATAAGTTTGAGAATTTTATCACATGGATATCGATTATTATTATAATAAATGAAAGATCATTTAACAAATCACTGAGATCCGTCCACTGCGTAACAAAATAATTATAAATGAATTATTAATTTTGTAATGTTTATACGAACGAATAAAGATTTGTCGATTTTTTCCTTCTGACTTTATCTCATTCCCTCTTCACAACGACTTTTCAATCCATGAGAGATAACGAACGCAATGAAGACGGATTATGTAATTATCTAATACTTTTGTAATTAATACTTTTAAGATTATTCGTATCAAGGACTGAGGAGTCATCCCACAGATACGAATTATCGTTTAGTGATATACCAATCATAACACGAGAAAGAAAAAAAATAATTGAACAAATCTAAACATCAACTGAATTATAGATAATATAAAATAGCTTCTACAATATCTCCACAAACAATTACCCTATACTTCAATAAACTCTCTGACTCACTCCTCAATACTATAGCTATTGAGAAAACTATTTCCTGAGTACAAAACACGAAATTAACTGGAGGAACCGTATCAAAACTTTGGACGTTTGTTTTTGTTTTGTAATGATGACGCTTTAATAATAATCAACGATCAAGAGACTGGCAACGACTACCTGTCTGCAGCCAGATGTGCTCGAGAGCCCTGATGATCTCTTCAATCTCTCTGCAGGGTTGCTGCACATATTTGTAAAGTACCCTGAGGTTTTGAATGAGAGTGGTAATATATAGTGGATTGACGGAATCATTTCCCATGACAGAGTAGGTATTCATGAAGACATTTTGGGAGCACATTGTCTTATCGAGAGTGTTGATGACCGCCTGGGGGAGGCTCTTCTCCGAGAAGGAGGGTAGATCGTTGTAGAGGGGCCAATCTTCCTCGCAGGCCTGGCAGTTGCAGATAAAATAGAATCGCTGTCTCCTCTGGGCCTTTCGTTCCAACCTGGGTATCCTCGCAAAGGACACACCTCGATGATCGAATATCTGCTCGCCCTGTTTAATTGGACGAATCGTGTGCAGTGCCATGTATCTCCCATGGGATGTGTAATTAACGGAATTATCACAGCTGTGATTGATCAGTCCATAGAGGGGAATCAGGGCCATTGCACGTGTCCACGAGGTACTCTCCTTAGGATCCCATTCGCAAAACATTTGAGAGTTCACTGAGTGAATCTGCGTGTGCTTCAGAATCATTGCGCCAGCGAAGATGACCCACGGATGGCCTAGGAGTATGTCCCGCTCTCCGGGCAATTTATCACCAAAAATATTCGTCATCGTGGCTAAAATGTATGTCAGAGTGGCTGCACCTACTGACAGCCTGAAGAGATCCTCCATTGATCGTTTCTCTGCGCAAGTCGACAGGGTAATAACACTGGAGTATTTTGAGCTGTCGAGAATGTTCGAGGTGAATCCCTTGGTCCTCAAGTCTGAAAACAATAATAATCATTTATTATTAATTAATTATCATCATCTGTTGATTGATCATAATAATTATGATTGCAATGATCTGCGAAAAACATAATTGAATTGGAGAGTTGATGATTATAATCACCTGAGTTGGATTCAATCTCCTCCATCATCTGTCTGAGGTTCTCCCATCCACCAGCCTCCCTCCAACCCTTGATGAGGAGCCTGGTGCTTATGACAGCAGTAACATCCATCTTCTCAGCGATGATGAGTCCCAGAACGTGGCACTCGACGTCGTGAAACTCCTCCCAGGCTCTGGATTTGCACTTTTCCGAGCAGAAGAGGACATTGACACATTTATCACAGGGAACACCGGACCAAGTCTGAGACAAGCAGTACCAGCAATTGGATCTTCTCCGACTGAGCTCGAGAACAGCAATGTAGGGGGTCTGGACAGCCAGCACCTCGCCAACGTCGATGTCCCTGGTGGCCACGATGTGCCTCCCGTACTTCCCGGAGTACCTAATGGCGATGGCATCGGAGGCGTCTGGAATTTCCAAATTGTTCATTCGTCCTGCGGATAATTTGGGCAGATGTCCCTCGTCATTCCACAAAGGGAAAGGTTCGAGTCGTTTTGTGACACTGATTTGATTAAGGGCGTGAGTGATGGGTGCTCTTCTGTACCCAGGCAAGTCCTTGGTAATTTCTTTGGTCTCCTCGATGGCCTTCTCCACGATGATGCTGTCGGGGCCATAGAGACCGACGAGAGCCCTCGTCTTGACGAGGAAAAGCTTCGGGGTGAGGTCTGGGGGGTACGCCAGGGCGATGGCTCTGTCGACGTCTTTTACGCAGTCCTCGAAGAGGCGAAACCTCAGGAGTGCCTCAGCCCTACGTCCGTATGCCATCGACAGCTCCTTCGAGTCCACCGGGGCGTATATTATCGCCAAGGTGCACAACTCCATCACCATGTTCCTCTGGTTCGATTTGTTTCGTCTCATCAGCTCCTCGGCTCCTGTACCCTGCACCTGGGCGAATCCCAAGTCCTTCGTTAGGCCGTAGGAGGATTCCTCATTCGATGTATTCAGCCCCAGGAGACCGTGATCCGCCAGGATTGCAATCGTCAGGCTTATTCGCTCCTCGTCGCCGCACAAGGGCGAGTACACGTCTGTGTAATTGAAGTCTCTGCGCGCGTTCAACCATTCCCGGATCTTTGTGAAGTACTCTTCCACTGATTCTTGGGCTGAAGAGGAACCATTCGTCAGGGTAAGGGTTTCCCATTTTCCAGGGTTTTTTAAACGGTTAAAATTTATAGGAAATTTCCTGGTTTTTCGTATTCCAAATTCTGTTGAAATTCCGAATAAACTTCAAATTCGAAATAAATTCACGGAAAAAATGGCGAAGTATTGGATTTCAATAAAAAATTTCATGCTTCAAATTATTGACTGTAAATAGTTATTGCTACTAGATTAGATAATTGATAATTTTATCAGTAATGACTTTTCACATTCGAGTAATGACTTTCGGAGCGCTGGAAAGTTAGAGCGTTTTTTCAGGGGCTCTCTCGAAAATACTTGAAGAAACCCTGAGAATAATTCCTTGTGAGGATTTCGGCGTTAATCCATCTATTTGAGATGACGAAAAAATGGACAATGTTATGTGTTCATCTCCTTGGCTCCCAAACAATGACCACAACCTGTTGAATTTCCATTGGACTCTTACCTGCGGGCTCCATTCTGTGTTCATAAATGTCGATGGGTAATTCCGATCAATTAATTATGAAATGACTGATGATTTTTTACGTCTTGAGGTAACTGGACGCTAGCATTATTGAATTTTCAAAACTTTACGAGTCGCAACGTGTTCGGAATACTGGGATTCTTTGTTTATCACCGGTGTCCAGTTACATTGACCAATGGACTGCCAACCGTGGGGATTCCCCACGTCGAACCAGACACGCGGGAGTTTTTGACGATTTTTGAAAATCCGAAACCCCTAACAATATTTACTCAAATTCTTACTAATTTAATCTTTACTATTTTTACTTGCCTGATCTCAATTAATTCGGGAGAAATAAACGAGAGATTAAAATGTATTGACTTATGAGAAACGCTCAGTAATAAACTTTTGTTGAAACGTCAATCCATTTACCCATTGGCCCACTCGTCTCTGATAAACAACCAATTTTCGTTTTTTAATTGTAAATAAAAATAAAGAAATGAGTGGATAAACGATAAGATTAATCCCAGACATTTTACTGATATCGAGAAATCACGAAAACCGGTTTGGAATTCGGAAACCATTCCGAAAGATGCTAAGAACGGCGTATTAAATTACCCAATCTCTATGTAAATCTCTTTCTGAATTTTACGATACTGATAAAGACATTGAAAAATAAATTCTAACAGAAAAATTGAAAAGTTCCTGTCGTGCACCTATAAAAATACCCATGACGCGTGCGAAGATAACGAGACTAATTATTGAAGAGCCTGTTGAGGGAGGGGCCAAGTGTATATATATAAGACCCGAAATTATTTTATCATCAATTTGAAAAAACCGTGAGAATACATCAGAATGAGGGCTGTCTTCATTGTTTGTTTTGTTGTGACCATTTGGGCCCAGTTCGACGGGGTTTCAGCATCCGTTTCACAAGGGTGTAAGTGCATTTTCGCAATAAAAAAAAAGATTTTAGTTCCTCCAGTACAATTTTTGCGGATAATTTTTTTTTCTCTAATTTTGAATTATGAATTTTTTTATCTTAATAATGGGTGAAAAAGAGAAATTGATTATTTCATTCATCAGTAATAACTATTCGTTGACAAGTCAATCGATTTACATTTTTATCCACTTCTGCCCAGAAATATAATTGAAAAAAATAATTTTCTCTCGTCTGCTGTTCAGATACTGGGGCGAAATGTAAAGCTGGTGATGTCTGGACAGACGAGGAGTGCGTGCGTCACACGTGTTTGGAGGATGGATGGGAGTCCCTCGACAGGTGAGTTATCAATTATTTAATAAAAATCGTCTAAACCTAAAACGCTCAAGTCTAAATTCAAATTTTATTCTAAAAACCTCTCGATCTCCAGAACTAATAATTTTAGAGGAAAACACCAAGGGCCCTTTTCTCCCGGAGCTTCACTCAGTTACAAAAAAGTTTTCAAACATTTCCCCGTAAAACGGACACTTTTCGAAATAAATAAGAAATAATAATAAAATAAAAATGTCAAATTCAACTTAACACTCACAGCAGAATATTTTCCATTCCAGTTGTGGCATAATGGAGTGCGACGGTGTTTCAGCAACGAAGCAAGACCTATCAAAACCGTATCCAGACTGCTGTCAAAAGTGCTGACCTGGAGTTCACCTCCTGGAGCTCCAATAATCTCAAAGGAATTCTCCAAAAAAGTAGAGGATTCCCGAATAAATAGAGCACCAGAATTTCCATAAATTGATTTATTAACGACTTTTCTTATCATAGCTTGGTGTCCTGATAACTCCTAATTACACTCATTACTCCTACATCGATAGAACCAAAGTACAATTCGATAGCTAGAACTGCTAAAAACAGAGAAAATAGTCGAGTGCTTACGTTCCAAATGGCTGGAAGGTAAATAAATCAGGGGTGAGCTTGGTGATTGTTCGAATGAGGTAGATGCATGAAATTGATTGAACGTAAAGCTCCCATCATCAACAGTGAAAAAACCCATCGCTCGGATGAACACTGGAAGAATACGATGGAAGAAATGAAAGTTGCTCTCTCATTTCGCTCACACTTTAAAACTACTTAGAATACCTGAATATTTCTCCTCACTGGTAGGAAGATCAATATACAATATATATACTGAAATATAAAAATACAAAAGAAAAATTAGGACTCGTGGTGAATGAAATCCTAGATCTATGGCACGTGAGATACCAGTTATACCATTTTTCAGGGCATCCAACTGGAAATCTCTCACCTTCGGGCTTTTTCTTTTATGCAAAAGACAGTGAAATTCCAGTAGAATTGCATCCGTAAGTCTTAAAAATCCTCAATTTATTCCCTCAGCCACGGCGAAGAGGCAATACGCAGAGTATTTACTATTCCGCAGACCCAATTCAATAACGAAACCTTAAACTGAGAAAATTCGAATCCATTTTTCGTAATGATCGATTCACCTCTAAAACAGCTGATTAAATTTCCAGTGAAGATTTTTCGGAATTTTTTGAGAATCAGTAGTAAGGGATAAATCGATATTTAAGGACTATCATTTGAATTATCTCGTTTTATCACTTGGATGAAATCCCCCTGGCTGAACCCTTCGGCAGATCCTCGTCAGACGACTCGATTCACCTCCAGGACCTCAGTAACACGTTGCCTGGCATTGCTGAACACAAGCATCTCCTGCTCCTCCATCATCTTATGAAAATTGAAATAGCTGATGAGTTTATCGAGATATTCCTTGGCCTCTTCAGCAGAGATTGGGTCGAGATCGATTTCACTCTTGATGATGACGCTGGGCAGCTCTTTTTTCTCGATAATTTCAGGCTGGCACCTCCTGAACCATCGCTCGATGGTCTCGAGACTGAGGATTTTCCCTCCAGGGAGAGATCTCACCAGCTGAGTATCAGTGAGCTCGGAGATTCCGTCGGGTCCTCGTTTCCAATGCATTTTCACCCACGCCAGGAAGTGGCCGTTATTTATATTATCCAGATGCTGAATCAAGGGGAGACTGGTATTCTCCTGGATCATGGTGTTTACCTTTTTCAGGAAAGAGCGCTTGCAGTTCTTCATGAGAGTGACGAGTTCAGAGTCAAAGGGTCTGACGAGAAAACTCGACGTTTTGGACACGACAATTGTCCTCAGTCCACTGAAATCAATGGTCGGATTTGGTGTTTCGAAAATATCCTTATCCAGAATCAGCAACACCTTCTGGGGGACATTTCTCTCGGTGAAAAATTTGTTGACGTGTTGGAAGAACTCCTGGTTCAGCCAGTGAGCAAAAACCGTTGAGTCCAGTTTCTCGGCGTCTGATTCCGTCGAGTACAGGGGCAAATTGAACTCGTTCTTCCAGTATTTTTTTTTTCCAGAGTTCAGAGTGCAGATTAGGGGTATCTTCAGGCTCAAGTCGGCATTGGAGAAGGAGAATACTCGCATGTAGTCATCTTGTGGGTGCTCTCTCTCCGCTTGGTAACCCAGGGAGAAAGGCAGCGACTTGTAGCTCCAGGAAAGAACCGAGCAGTTAAATACCTGGCACTTCTGGTAGTCTGTACACCCGAGAGTGTTTTTCAGCTCTCGCTGAAAATCACCGTCAGTTATCTGGGTTATCGGAATGCTCTCGAGGGTCTCAGGGAGCACTCGGAAACCGTGCTGTTTGCACCACTTGATCAACCACTCGTTCGTCATGTAGAAATTTTCGATTCCGTGCTTTTTGAAGTACGAATCCGTTTTTTCTGTGAATTAAAGGGATAAATTGAAGAAAACAATTGTTCACCGTGTTATAAAATCATTAATAAATCATAAAAGCCGAACTATTATTATTCGGAATTAATGTCATTCAAGGACTCCGATTTTCAGTAGAATATTTATTTCCACAATATCTCAATTTTATAAAAATTTTTTTTCTTAAAATAAATTCTTAATTTATTATTTCTCACCCTCGAAATTAGCTCGGCTCACAGCGATTCCCCTCTGCTGACAGTACTCGTACCACTTGAGCAAGGAATTATTGACAAGCTGAGGAATATCGGGCTCTCTGGGTCCTACGATTTTCGGTTTCGGTTTTGGTCTGGGTTTTGGCCTTGGTTTGACACCCAGAGGAATGGAATTTCCACTGATGTCGTGGACTGTCCCATTCTCGAGCTCTGAAACCCCTGGCTCCTGCTTTATCGTAAGCTCACCCTCGGGTTTGTTGATCCTCATAACTTTAGGCACTAGAAGGGTCTCCTTGTTCTTCACCCATGAACGAATCGTACATCTAGCCACCCCCACCTCTTCGGAGAGGGACTTCATTGTTTCTCCATTCTCTATACGTTTTATGCAGTCCAACTTCATTTCCACCGAGTGCCTGTGCCGGGGATATTTTTTCATGGACTCCAGGTTGTCGTCCCTTTCGCGGATCGGCGACACCTCCTGGTTTTCCATTTTCTGCGGATAATTCGTTAAACTCCTTCACTTGTTCTCGAGATAAATGACGAGCGTTTCCACTTTTTACTCATTTTTTTTTCATTATTGATATAGGATTGATATGGAATGGAATTCAGTTAAATTTGATTAAAAGATAATTCAACGTGTTAAGTTGTCATTAACCGAGTTATTGTGAATAATTATTCTTGAGATATTTAATACATCTCGAAATTTGACGGTTTTATATCGACGAATAATGGAAAATTTCGCCAGATCAGAATAAATTTATAGGGAAGTTGTAAATTAGGGATGAGTGTCAGAATGGCCCTTTTTATTGGGGCAAAAAACATTGAATTATAGTAAGACTGAAAATGAAAAATATTTTGGAAAAATGCACTTGTCGTATTTATCACGTGGCCACAGAAATTGGAGGAATTAATATCTGCAATTGATGAGGAGTGAAGGCAATTGTTTTTCACAGAATTGGGAATTATCTGGAATGAGTTATGAGGATGTAAACATTCGGTCAGGTTATGTGGAACCTTGAGGACGATAAAAACTGGGAGAATAGCGGATTTTTTCCATGGGAAAGATTGTCCTGCTGGTAATTACCTTCGGTGGATTTTTTTAATTGTCCATTGACGATCGTCGTGAGCAATTATCAAGACAAATACGATCTACGAAAAACGCTGTTATTGTTTAGTTACCATTTTCAGCCGGCTATCTTCAAACTGCTTCAAACTGTGCGAAGTTGCTGTCAAACGAGGGAAACCGGAAGTTGAGGACTCATGGAAGAGATTAGACTTATTTAAATTTATTTGCAAATTAATGAACAGAATCCCACTTTTCAATTTTCCGGACAAGTCAATTTCGATTTCAAGACAGGAAAATTAAAATTTTTCTTGTCTACAACGATCTCGCAAAAAGTCGGACTCAACATTTTTTTTCATTACCATTTATCTCGAAAGCTATGGACTTAAAGAGGAAGTGGTAAAAGACTTTTTCGTAGCTAATTAAATTCTTCACAAAAAATGTCTTTTGGTATTTCCTTCTAAAATTAATAATTCTCTAGATAAATAAATATTAAAAAACCTACAAAATTTGAAAGAATTCGCTAAATCGATTTCATTGTATTTTCTTTGTCGGAATTCAGTTGAAAAATTGAGGATTAATAATAAATGCTGAGGGTAATGCTCTCAACGTATAGTTGATATATTTATTCCATTCTGTACAACATAAATAAGTATGCTCTCCATATCTAAAATTTTCTTACAATAATCCTCATACTTTCATTATGGTGTCATTAAATACTCCATTATTCAATAAAAATCACAAAAATTCGGGATTGATGAATCTGCATGATCGGGATCAATCGAAATCCAATAGGTTTCAGAATGTGGGCCACGAGTAGGTAACAGGGAGGGCAGTTTTGTAATTTGTGTCGTAGAGTTGGGCTTTTATGAAGTCCTCATAATTCGATGGCTCTGGATGGACAGTGGCGAGAGCTGAAAATATAAATAAATTCAAAATTTTTATTTCCATCAAAATGTTGACGATTTTTTCACCAATCCGTTGTGATTCCAGTCGCAAACCGAGAAAAATCGAATTACCTATTTTTTAATACCGAGTGATTACCGAACTAAATTTTTTGCATAAATTATTATTCCAGTTTCTCCCTTTGAATTGAAACCAATTTTACTCACATTCTCTGTACGCATATTCCATGACTGCAACCGCGATTTTCATTGAACACTTTTGGATATCTTGTAGTGGAGGATAGAGATTTCCAGATAATAAATCGGCATCAGTGACGATATCGGCAAGGGCGTTGGCGGAGATGAGGAAAGTCTCCTCTGGAATGGTTTTCATGCCAGCGCAGATGACTCCCAGGGCAATTCCCGGGAAGATGTAGCTGTTGTTGCCCTGTCCAGGATGATAGGTCTTGCCGTCGATGGTGACGGGATCGAAGGGTGATCCACTGGCGAAAATAGCGCGTCCTTGAGTGGCGGTGTATGCCTCCTCTGCAGTGCACTCTGCTTTGCTAGTAGGATTGCTGAGAGCGAAGATGATGGGTCTGTCATTGAATGAACCCATGTCCTGGAGGATTTCCTTGGTGAAGGCCCCTCCGATGGCTGCAGCGCCAATCAGTACTGTGGGCATCGCACCCTTCACCACCTGGGCCAGAGTATCTATAGGCTCCTGGTCCCTGGCAAAACGGGCCTTGTGCTCTGTCACACCTCCTGATGGTCGGTTTTTCACGATCAGCCCCTTTGAGTCCACCATCCAGATCTTGTTGATTGCCTCCGCCTCTGATACCCCTTCCTTCATCATCGCCATCACGCACAGCCCAGCGATCCCCAGTGCAGCCTTTGGAAATAATTATTTGCCATAAATTGCAATCATTATGTCATAAATTTATTAGTTTTCAAAATAAAAATGCATTTCTGGAAGAAGTGAGAGTTCTTCTATTTATTTTAATTACCTCTCCAGCTCCTTGGAACACAATAGTATTATCTGACAATTTGGTTTTTGTAATTCTCAGAGATGCGAGTAGTCCAGCGACAGCCACAGCTGCAGTTCCCTGGATATCATCATTAAAAGTGCAATAACTATCCCTGTACTTCTGCAAGAGCCTGAATGCATTGGAGTTGCCAAAGTCCTCGAACTGTATCAAAGTATTCTGTCCATATCTCTTGATGATGGCCTTCATGAATTCATCCAGGAACTCGTCGTATTCCTCCCCAGTGACTCGTTGGTGCTTGTGGCCGATGTAAAGAGGATCTTCCAAAAATGCCCTATTATTGGTCCCAACGTCGAGGGTGACAGGGAGACACTGGTGGGGCTTGATCCCAGCTAGGGCAGTGTACAGGGATAATTTTCCTATGGGGATACCCATGCCGTGGGCACCCAAATCCCCAAGCCCAAGAATTCTCTCGCCATCGGTAACCACAACAGCCCTGACATCGTGCTCTGGCCAGTTCTTCACCACATCGTACACGTGCCCCTTGTCGTGGATGCTGATGAACAAACCTCTAGGTCTTCTATAAATCAGCCCGAACTTCTGACAGGCCAGACCCACCGTCGGGGTGTACACCAAAGGCATCATCTTCTCCACGTTCTCCCCCAGGAGACGATAAAAAAGTCGTTCGTTTCTGTCCTGTTTGCAATTAATTAATTAATTGCTGATTAATTAATTGCCGATTGAGAGAGTAAGTACTCAATGCAGACAGGAATAATGTAGAAAGTCATTAAAAATTATTGATTGAGGTAAAAATTAATTAATTGAGATTGATGTAATAAAATAAAGTGATGAAATAAAAATTGAATAATTAAATAATTCTCGAGACGTTTAGTGGAATTATATTGTATTGAAGTAATTATTTTAAAGTCATAGCATCCGGTTGAGATTCCCTCACCAGTAGACCCGTGAGATAAATATATTTTGAGAGATCATCAGTGTATCTGTCGAGATTGAGTCTACAAAGCTCCAGCTGTTCCTCCTGGGTCTTCACCGCAGCCGGAAGTAGCCCATGGATCCCCAGTGTCTGTCTCTCCTCGATAGTGAAGGCCATGCCCTGAAAAAACACGAATTATTGATCTAATTGATAATGTCTAGCACGCGATCAATGCAGACGATTTTTTTTCCTCGTCGAGAGACGTCGAGACGCTCATCTCGACTTTAAATTCCTCGAGGTCGCTTTTATTGCTCTCGGGATCAATAATGGAAGACGATTACGTAAATCTCGGGCTGATCGTTGAATTTGAAAGACCCTTTTGTCTTTCCCATGTGGCCCAAGGCCCCCGGATTTTCATCAAAACCGAGCCTCCGGGCTTTTCGAAAGGACTAACAAGCAGCACAAGGTGACGATTAATTGGAGTTTAATAATGAAATATTATGACATCGGCGATTTTTATTCTCTGAAGTTCATCCCTCGTATCTTCTGATGAATTCCATAAATTTCCCTTTTTATTATCTCGGTGACCTCTTTGTGGAAAATTAAATCGGCAGATAAGGAAGTGTCTTGATGACTCAAGCAAAAAGGCATCATTGGCTTGTCTGCGCTCATGACCGTCACCTGAGGTCTGCCTTCGATGTAATCGTGAATAGGAATCGGTGACGTTGACAAGCCCCCGGTGCCTGGACAACATTTTTTCACGGAATTTCTATTTTTCCGAATTTTCATTAATTTTCCCGCCGTTTGACGTTCTTAATGCATTGAAATATTCAATTAATCAACTGAGTATGGAATTAATTCGGAAATAATAAAACGGATTTAAACAGAATTGCATTTCATTCAGAATTTTCTCTGGAACTTGAAATTGTCGGATCTTTTCGGTCTAAATGAGAATCACGAAATTTTAATTAGTTCCTGAACAAGAAATTAGAGGTTGCATTGAGGATTGGGAAATTCACCTGTTACTCAAGTTTACGCCTTTCTCTAGGTCCGAATGTACCTCACGCCTGCGTATCTCTCTCGTGACCTACATTCTAGGATCAGCTGACTAATTTGGAGAATTCGTTGGACTAAATGCCGCGAGATTTAATTAAATTCGCCAGCGAAATGAAAATTTTCAAAATATTCCGCTACATCAATTAAACAGACCATTTGAAATATATTAATTGGAGTTCCGTGAGGCCAGTCAGAATTGTTCGTGTTATTCATGAAAGAATAAATGGTCAAGACCTCATTTTGGTCATAACCACTTCCTCCAAAACAGGAAGTGAACTGGACTTTAGATCGTATTTGTGAACTATCGAACTCTTCACCGGTTTTCGTAAATGATGGGCCCAGACTTTTTCCAGGGGCCTAACTCTCGAAAATACGTGGGACATGACGCACTCGTTAAAATATTTGTTCTGACGTTGAGTCAATTGAGAGAAGGGGAAGGGAATTTGTACTTTTCCATTCAGTCATTTAACGACTTTATCGATTGAATCCCCTCTTTCTGTACTGTCGAGCCCTATTTAACAGACTATAACATTCACCATGTTTTCCAATTATTTAAAGGAATTCACAGATTTTTCCAACGAAATTTATCGAGAAAATTCATTGACTTTATCATTCATTGCCGATCAAATTAACAGAAATAAAAAAATCTATGAATTTTTATTTGAAAAGAAATTTTCTCGTGGATCTTAATTGGATTCAAGGTTCCTCACTGGGTTAATCAACCACTGATTAATTATCAATTTCATAATTTCATGATTAATTGATATTTTCAGTCAATTCGTTGATGAAGAATATCAATTGATTACAGAAATTATTGTGAAATTATTAATTAATGATTGAATAATCATAATAATTAATAATCATTATGAGTTATTCTTCTTTTTAGATTCAATCAATAATTCAAATTTAATGCACTGTTCCTAACTGTCAACAAAAAAGGAATTCCAATGCTGGAATTTTCCTCTAAATTCCTAAAAATCCCTGAATGACGTAAAAGACCTCCAACTTTCCACCGATTACGACTAATTTTTTTTTTCTGAGAACGAAAGTTCCGACGATTTAAACAGCTGAAGAATAAATGAGAGACTGAGAGACTGAGAGCCTTGATTCACCTAGTTTACATGAGAGGTCCTTCGCTGATTGTAGTAATTAGTCACGAGTGGGTGATCGCCAAGGATAATTGCGCATGAGAATTATGTATTGAGTGTTGGGTCGGTACCCTGGGGCTGGTGGAAGACACCAGCGGAGATTGTTGTGTCATCCAGAAGAGCAAAACTCCACGAGAGAATTGCCACAGGAATTTCCGCATGAAATAAATGCAGCAGACGAATTCCCAATTATCTGTTTCATCTCCATCATCGATGTTCGAAAATCATTTGCAATTAACTCCTTGCCGAGCAACAATTTGAAGAACGAAAATGATAAAAATTGAGGAAATAATAATGTGAAAATCCACTAGCTGGAAGTAGCAATTGACTCGATGGAATAAATAACAGAAATTAAAAAATGATTGACATGATTATGAATTCAGAACGAATTGATAAATCAAGATATTCGAATCGTTAATGTTCGTTGGATCGATTGATCGATTACCCAACGAACTATTGATTTTACGAAGAAACTTCTAGAGAGCTTTTCTGTCGGGACTTGAATGAGCCACAAAAAAGTCCTCTGAAGTTTTTACTGTAGATCGATAGACTTCGAGATAAATCAATGACGATAAAATGAAACGATAAAAATGGTGAATTCGAGTTTTGATGAATTAGAGTAATGAGTGATGATGTAAATGAACGATACCCTTCCATCAACTGCCAAAAGAGACTCGGGGATGATCATCCAGGTACTCTCTTTGGGCACAAATGTCCACCAATCCTTCTCCATGGCCTCGGCTTTATCAACTCAGGATCCATGAGTTTCGATGCATATAATCCACCCACTTTCATTTGGCATTTTACAGTACCACCCCCATGACAACAGACACCCTGGATACCGTTGCCGAGGGTCTCAGTTCCTTCAACATCGGGTTCCAAACCTCAGCGATCGATAGACCAAGGAAACCCCTGCGATGTTTGTCTCTCTGGGCATGAATTATGGATCAGGTCTCCCATGCACATGAATCCACGTCTTCAGGGAATTGTCAAGTCTTTTATAAAAATACGCTAATAAAAAATTCTAACTTCACCTTAAAATACATAAATATATTTTATCAATCGTGTATTACTGGAGTTAATTAGTGATCATGATTATTTTTATTTTACTGATTATAATAATCAGAAAGTTGTCGGTTTCTAGTGATTAGGAAAGATTTCCGAATATTCCGTTTCGTAAGGAATTTATTTTCATTGATTTCTAGTTTCTAATTACTCACCTTTCAAATATTTTGAAAGTGAGGATTTGTGAGAAATAGAGAAACTCATAAATCTCATGTGAATTTTGATGAAATGGAATATTGAAATTGTAAAAACACGATTTTTCAATTACAAAGCGGCTCATTAGGATTTAATTAAGAGCGAAGTCCATAGGCATAACTCGATGTGATAATGAATTGCATCGAACGCATCGGGAGGTGGCATTGTTTATGTTTATTTCGTTTCGATGGCTAGACGATGAATATAACATGAGGGGCTCGTCAGTACTCGTCATTTTTGAATATTCTGGGGAAATTAAACTTCCCCTTGGGGACGATCCAGTCCACTCAATCGTAGAGTAATTTACAATTCATACAAGGGAAATTTTAAATTTCATGGCAAAATCGAAGGAAATCGGAAATTTCGATTTTTTCACTATCCCATGAAAAATAGTTGACAGAAATTAATATCAAATTCCATTACATATTTCGGTCACAATTTATTTTTTATTTGAATAAAAATTGACTGTTGCCATTTTTGATTCGTTAAATAAACTGATGAAAATTCAATTTAATCATTTTTTTGAATTCTTGGTTTTAAATGCAGAAATTTCCTGGAATTCAATGAAAATTTATCACAAATTTCCGCAAAAAATTGGAATATTCCCGAATACAAAAAATGTTTCTGCAGCGAAAAATTTTCGAAAAAATTCTGCTACAGCAGCAAAAAGATGTAAAGTGATCGTTGGAAAAAAATTGATTGCCTTCCGACAACTTTTTCTCTATTTTATAATATTTCCATCGAAACACTGACGAAACTGCTCACGTCAGTCCTAGATTTTTATATTTAATAAAAATACATTTTCGAGTGGAAAAGATAATCGCCTGAAAAACAATCCCTCGACATTTCTCCAGTCTCACATTTTATATCCCCATCCAAGCGTCAAGTATCACTCGTAAAAATATGATGGATGTGGTGCGTCTGAACCGACGAATAAAAAGCACTCACAAATTTGAATAAAACGAAATTCAAAGATTCACAGATTTGAGTGATGCAATTGCAAAGGCCAAGTGCAACTCGACGTGAAAGTTATTCTGAGATTATTCAAAAGCCTGAGGCAACTTGTTGCATCCGGAGGCAACTGTAGACAGTTATCAAGCAGATAATTATAAAAAAATGATAAAAAAATGGAAATAAGTGAGATATTATCGTGAGGCTTACCTTGTTGAGCTGGGGATTCCGGATGTGATCGAGTCCTTTGACGAGATTTGGGGTGATGGCATCACCTGGACCAGGTTGTCCTAATCTATCTCTCTCGAGACTCGACATGTTTCTCACTTGTTTCCTTCCGGTGTCACTCGTTCTTCCGGTGTCCTCGCCACGACTGTCACCTTTTACCCTGGAGCAATAAGTGAGTTGGAGTCACGTCGACGCTCTATAAACCGTCAATTCCGACCGCATCCCACACCCGGAGTGGGGTATTGTGCACTAGGAAACGCAATAGGAAATCATTCTGGTGGGGATGGGCGCACGCGCGACTCATTCGACAAGTCATCATCGAAAAAAAAAAATAACTCATTCAAGTGGTCAATAACTTTTACCAACAAAAAAGTATTCGGAAAAAAATCCTTTTTTTTTAGCTAGAAAAATTTGAATTACGAATTACGAAATTTGAAATTAGAAATTAGAATTAAATTTGAATTTTTATTGCAAATTATATAATTTTTATTATATAATTACATTTTAATTGTTGTGCTGTGACGGAAGTATTTTCGGGGATTAATATCATATAGTTTTATTTTTTTTCGGAGCGCGTATTTTTATCGCAAGAATAATAATTCAAACAGTGAAAAATTCGTCTAGGAATTATCGAAGATCGAGAATTTTTGGATTAACGAGAAATTTTTCATTTTAATTCGACTATTGCAGGAATTTTCTTTATGAATTTGAAATCGAGATGAGTTGTGGTCAGAGATTAATGAGCTTTCATTAATTAATGCCACATCGGGTTTTTGATATGATGGGTTCATCGTCTGAGCAACAGAGTCAATTCATTGTGCGTAGAAAGCAAATATTTTTCGTTATTGATGACGAAATCATCGATTACATCGATCTATACCTTCGATCACTGAAAATGGAGTAGACTTTGTGCTCAAGGCCAAACCTCGGTGTTATTTTCCGTGGTAACACCTCACCGCATTGAATGCTGAATAACAAAAACTTCCTCGAGCACATCCTCTGTTATCGAATGAACTTCGGGTGTTAATCAGTCATATCTCGGTTAATTGCGGGCTAATTATCACGTATCTTAATTGCACAGTTTTAAGGCTCTGACTCGAACAGTGATTCACTGATAACTGGCGATTCTACAACGATCAACCGATCTTTCAGGCGTCACCACTGGCCGATGGTCGGCTGACCCCCGGCTTTTCGATCGTCAGCACAAAAAAAAAAGATACTATTATCTTGCGAGTGAAATCAACGTCTCTCCATAAAACACCGATTTTTGAAAATATATACGCGATTTTGTAATAAAAATTAGAATTTTTTTCATTTAAATTTTGTTGTGGAGTTTTGACAAAAATTGTCATTTTTATTTCAATCTATATTTGAACGTCCCGCTGGCAGCATCAGCTGTTCAACAGCTGATTACTGGCTTCATCACGTGACTTCGAGATCGATGACAGTCAGCGAATGTGAGAACGGGTGACGATTTTTTATGAATTTTCCTTGTTAAAAAACCGATTATCAATTGAAGAAGTGAAATTTCCCGATTGTTCAATTTTTTACGAGAACAAAATTACGATAAAATGGAATATTTGAACTTCTATATGACATGAATAATGGTTAATTCATAATTCCATTATCCCTAGAACTCTGGATTAATGCGAAAAAAGAATAATACTATTAAGTCCGTCATTTGATAAATTTAATGTTCAATTTTCATGTATTAGCCATGAAAATGAAATTATCAAAATTTTCCAAGTCTTCAATTCAAATTCTAATACTCAGATCATCTGTAATTCAAAATAAAAAAGAATTGATCCGGCTGGGACAATTTTTTATTTCTCATTCGCATTTTTTCATTTCTTATTCGGAAAATAAAGTGTTATAAAGCACTAGCCATTTATACCTAACGGGTAATTACACAATAACAATTATTTTATAAAATGTTTTTGTTATCATTCTCATCATATTTCCAGCGATCGGTTCAGTTTATTGATAGCGAAGCGTTAATCACCGTGAAGCTTCAAAGTTCGAATTTCATCGTCGAGGTGACATTATCAGACGCATCCAACAATTTTCAGACTATTTCTTCCACAATTTTATTAAAAATTCCGAATTAACTTCACTAATTCGAAAAACGACCCGAAAACTGGGGAAAAAAAACAATCGAATGACAACCGAAACTAATTTCTACCTCAGCATTGGAATTCCCCAATATTTTTCGTGTCCTCGAGATTAGGAAATTAATTACATTTTCCCGAAGTCACGATTTTAATCAGCCGTCAAGAACTGTCAGTTAAACGGCGGACTTTACCCCGAATAAATTTTTCCTCAATTCTTCGGCTGATGTCACGATAATGACTTCACACCTATAAGTTCCCCCATCACCTGAAATTATCACTATTTTTCTTGATTAAATAAAAACAATTAAAAAACTTACGTGGAAAATGTTCCAGCAGGTGGTGTCTGGGACAGAATCTTTGAATTTTTCCCCTGATTTCCGCCCATTTTTATTGAAAATTATTTATCCGATTTAAAAATACAAGTTGAAAATGTATTCAGGTGATTTAGAGGTCATTAAAATTAAAAATTCAAATTTAATCAACGATAACTCGAGAAATTAATTCGCGGCGTTAGTCTGGAAGATAAATCGAGAGGAAAATCGACGAGGAGTTCGCGACGGTGGAAAACAAATAGATCCCGGGGATTTGAGGCGCGATATATAAATCCTGAGATATCCGGAACTTTCACGGCTGTTGAGGTGATGGCAGCAGTTACCGTCCTCTTCCACGGGATTAATTAATATTTACGTCGAGCAGCGCCGCGGCGGTTCAAAAATATATCAATAATTATAAAGATATAAATAAATTAGTATTGTTGGTAAACATCAAACTCAAAATCGTTCCCCATCGTTCCAAAATTTTTCGACAATTTTACTCTCAGTAGCGCAAGGTATTTAAATTTGAAGTCTCTCCGACGAAAATACAGAAAAGATTTATATATTTATATTTATATATTCTAATACTCGATTTAAACTCGTCTCGATATGATACACACGAGTTTATATTCTAAAACTACGAATTATGATTGTCGTAATTTTTTTATGGATATTTAATTATTTCAAAAATTGAATAATAATTCAATATAATTATTTTACATAATGAAATTCAGGGGAAGTTTTTAATTTTTGGATTGAAGGGATTTCGATCGTTTTCATTTGACAGGCTTGATCATAGAACTCTGATCTCCAGAAGATCTCTATAAAAGATTTAATTTTTCCAAAGACTTACCAAGTCCTGACGATCCCTGAAATAGTCGTACTCGTCCTGAAAACGAAAAAACCATTAATCACATGAGTAAAATGATTTATTATGGAATTAATCAATAACCTAACATTCAATGAAATGAATAATTTCGAATAACTGATTTTTTTTACCAATGCATCCTGAATTTCTATGGATTTGAAAACGACTCACTCCTTAATCCTGTTCTCCCTGAACCCGACGTGCTCCAGAGTCCGCGATACCCTCGTCATCCCCCGATCCCCTCGTCATCCCCCGATCCCCTCAAGACCTGTCATCCCCCGCCTCTCAACTGTCACAATTAATTAATTTAAAAAAAAAAGAATTTTACTTTTTTTTTAAAGCGAATTTTAATTAGTGCGAAGCACTAAAAATTCGGGGTTTTATTTTCGCGCTCCGACGCATAGGAAACGAGATAATTATAAATTGAAAAAAAATCGCTCAAATTAATTTCCCTATTTATGGAATCGATGCGTTTCGCCGAGATATGAACGAAAATACCATTATTTTCGCGCTAGGACTCATAGGAAGCGAGATGATCGCATTTTTATAAATTGAAAAAAAATCGCTTAAATTATAGAAGTAATATTACATGAAGAAAATAGTTGGAATAAAAAAAAATTGATGATGACTTACGCAATTTCTCATTCCCGAAGCTGAAGGGCAGCACACGACTCTTCGCAGCCCAAAAAAATTGATGGAGTTTCCTTTCTAAGAATGTCGCAGTTCCCAGGGATCCTCGTGACCGTATCCACCAGAGAGGATTGATTCCAGTAGAGGCTCAATTCTGCGGGTTTAAGTGACCCCACCGTCCTCGTAGTAGTGCACCCCAAGAGAGGGAGGGCGCCACACTCAATGGGGAGCATGAAAATCGAGGAGGTATTTACGGAGATTTAAAAATTCAAAATTCTTGAAAAAGTATCAGGGGAGCATGAAAATCGAGGAGGTATTCTCTGAAAATTGAAAATTCTAAATTTTTTGAAAAAGTATCAGGGAAGCATGAACATCAAGGAGCAATTCACTGAAATTTGAAAATTCTAAATTTTCAAAAAAGTATCAGGGGAAGATGATAATCGAGGAGTTATTCACTGAAATTTGAAAATTCTAAATTTTTGAAAAAGTATCAAGGGAGCATGAAAATTGAGGAGGTATTCACTGGAATTGAAAAATTCGAAATTTTCAAAAATGTATCAGGGGAGCATGAAAATCGAAGAGGTATTCACTGAAATTTGAAAATTCAAAATTTGTGTAAAAGTATCAGGGGAGCATGACAATTGAAAAGGTATTCAGTAAAATCAAAAAATTCAAAATTTTCAAAAAAGTATCAGGGGAGCATGAAAATCGAGGAGGTATTTACGGACATTTGAAAATTCAAAATTTTTGAAAAAGTATCAGGGGAGCATGAAAATCGAGAAGGTATTCACTGAAATAGAAAAATTTTAAATTTTCAGAAAATAAAACTCCTCGGGTCGATTGGTCCCTCTGACAAGCGGGACTGCTACTGAGGCAGTTACGGAGTCGGCCGACGGGCAGACACCCCACCATGGGGTGCGACCCCCTCTTTCTCTTGGGGTGAAGTACTGCAATGCCGGTTGGGCCGCTCAAACCCCCACTTCTGCGGCCCAGTTCTGCGCGAGTCACCCCACCCAATGGTGGGGATTATACCCGTCAGCCGACTCGGTAACTGCCACAGTAGTAGTCTGGCTGTCAGAGGGCCCAGTCGAGATGGTGAATGTCATTTTCTGCGTTATGCAATAGGTATTCACTGAAATTTTAAAATTTTATGCAGTTTCACTGAATACCTCCTCAATTGTAATGCTCTCCTGATACTTTTTCAAATATTTCGAATTTTCAAATTTCAGTGAATACCTATTTCGTAAAGCAGAAAAAAACATTCACCCCATCAACTGGCCCCTCCGACAGCGGCACTGCTCTTGAGGCAGGTACCGAGTCGGTTGACGGGCAGACACTTCCATTGCTTGTGGCGCCCTCCCCCTCTTGGGGTGCAGTACTAGAATGCCACTGGGGTCACTCCAACCCCCAGAACTGAGCCTCTACTTTAGTCAATCCTCTTTGTATCCACCTATCGATTATTTCCTCGTTAGTGTGATGACCGTGTGATCCGTCAGTGAATAATCCTCACAAGTCCAGATCTCACCCAAAAGGCCGAAGCCATACGCTTCGATTCCATTTTTGTCCTGAGGATTTTCAAAAAATTCGCAGATTGCTTTCGTTTTACCAAAAGCATCGCGACTACCACTGTTCGAGGAACGAGTGATCTTTCGACTACTGGGTGTGCAAATTAGAGAGCAAAATGGGCTCATTTTTTCGGAGCGAAGAGATGACCTTGTGTCAGCTCTTTCTGCAAAGCGAAGCAGCTTATGCCTGCGTTTCCGAACTCGGGGAACTCGGTCTCGTGCAGTTTCGTGACGTAAGTATCAAAAATCCCAACTAAACATATTAAATATTATCAAAAAAATTATTCACTTGAGCCACTCCAATCCTTCACCTCTAGTCTCAAGCCTTCACTCATTCTGTCACATGACTGGACTCCACTGTCCATTATGTGTAAATGAATATTAATAATAAATTGCAAATTAAGCCACACAATTATTTGTTCGGGAAATTTCTGAATGCCTTGTAAATTTTCCTCGGTGCCATCATTTGATTTTCCAATCGCCAAAAGTTTTGAGTCACTTGAAAAATAGAAATTCCTGTGGGTGTAGGCCACTGGGCGATGGCCAATTACCAGCTGTCTGTGACAAATTCATCTGAAAATAAAAAAATAATTAAAAATTGTAGTTGAATCCCGACGTCAATGCCTTCCAACGTAAATTCGTCAACGAGGTTCGTCGATGTGACGAGATGGAGCGGAAGCTTCGGTACCTGGAAAAGGAAATCAAGAAAGACGGGATCCCGATGCTGGACACGGGGGAGAACCCAGAGGCACCCCAACCTCGGGAGATGATCGACCTCGAGGCGACATTCGAGAAATTGGAAAACGAGCTGCGAGAGGTCAATCAGAACGCCGAGGCTCTCAAGCGTAATTTTTTAGAGTTGACTGAGTTGAAACATATTCTGAGAAAGACTCAGGTTTTCTTCGACGAGGTAAGTCCCCAAATATTCCCAATAAATAGTGTTTTAATGATTTGAGAGCTGATACCGACGAAACAAGTATGAAAAATCCATGGCTTTATTAATAAATCGTGTTCTAAAAATTAATAAAAAAATCGACTGATCGAATCTGCGGCGCCAATAACATTTGTTAAAAATTATAATACCAATAGAAAATTCATGTCGACTGTCGCTGGAGCTGTGAATGAAAATAGATTTTTTCAATCTGAAAATATGATTGGATGTAAAGATTGCATGTACATCATGAATTTAGATAAATGCCTGATTTAATCGATTATCATTGCTGAGGATTTGCCACGCGATCGATTATATTGAATCTGCACTTACGAATTGGCTTGAGATATTATGTTTACCACTTATCAAATGCCCTGTACAGAGCATTGACGCAGGATGTAAATACTCGAGAGCTGTCCAGTTTCGTCACGTGTTAATAATTCATGATTGAGTGATTTTAGGGATTAAAATGTGTTAGTGTTGCCAACTAACAATAAAGTTGCAGAATTAATGCAACGAACACAAATCACTCGCTGTGCCCTGTCTCCCCTTTTCTAATTCTTTTTATTTATCTGAGAATGTTTCAACGGTGAGATGTAAGTAAGGTACTTGACAGCTTCAATGACTATTTCTATTAACGAGAATGATAATTTTGCTTTCTCAAATGCATGCAGCCCTTCTCTCTTTCCTCCTACTTTTTTTTGTTACTCGTGTGTTTTTTTCTGATTATTTAGTAGATAAGAAATTCATGGAAAAATTATTATATCATCGTCCTTTTATAGGTTTTTCCATGGTATTTTGTTTACCCTCAATGCGTCGATGATAAGGCGCACGTCACTAACTGAGAAAGATCTCTGATTACTGGATTTACCACTTAACTCTGCTTGCGTCACATTCCAGATAATCGATCGGTTCATCCCTATAAATAAAAATCGAAATTATCAAGATTTTTTTCATTGGGGGAACACTGCACAATTTTCATTCAATTCCGCTGTCTTTCTCGACTTTCTATTTCATCCAGAGAAAATTGCAGATTCATTAAAAAACTCTCAAAGTTTCATCAAACTTCAGATAAAAGAAAATAATTTATTAATTTACTATATTTATTTAAAAATAAATGCAATTTTGGAACACACATTTGTTTAATAGAAAAATTCCTACAGATATTGAATTCTCTGTATGAATTATATTGCATTTTTTCTCTGGTTTTCTTCGGGCGCACTTCAATTGATTCCCGAAAATTTCCTAGCATGCCATTGATCTTTCGACCCCACCAGTGGCACTTACACTCATCAATCAATTGATTCTTCATCAACGTAATTAATACTTTCAGCCTGTAGTAGCTAATTCCACCCTCTGTAGCCCTGTCAACCATTGGGCTGTTGCATGAAATTTTTTTATTGAAATAAAATAAATAAAATCAAGTAATTAAAACTAATTAGAGGAAGCCCTGACTTATGGTGTCACAAGTTAGATTTTTACTGTCAAGTCAATATAATATTTTCTTGCAAAATGATCATGCAAGGGCCCAATTTTGTACTGTAATTCTTCTGATGTGAAGCTGACGAGTCTGAGTTTTCCTGACTGTTAAAGAAGGGAAATTAAATGATTCGGGGGAGGCAGGGCGAACCGAGAGGGTGACATGTGTTTGTTGCCAGGCTGAGCATGGAGGTGTCGTGTCGCAGATGGCAGATCCAAGCCGCGAGGAAGAGCAAGTCACTCTTTTGGGTGAAGAGGGCCTCCGCGCTGGCGGCCAGGCTCTCAAACTCGGGTAATTAATTGTGGCGTTCATCATCACGTTCTGCAGAGTCCAATGACCCCAGGATGAATTTAATAAATCAGGAGAATTTTTAAAAATCCCACAACCGCTGTTAATTGATTGGATTCAATGATCTGAATCTGATCTAGACTTCAGATTCTGATCATAGACCTGTTACTAATAAATCGATAATTTTCTTCACCCCTTGAGGTCAATGTACTCTGCAGAACATGAAAAATCAATCAGACCGAGTACCACATGCACTGCAAGCATGTAGAGCCGTTTAATTATTCGTTTTCCAATTCTGCACACTTTAATTAAACGCACAGAATGTCCTCAGCACTGTCAGGTCTCCCAGTTAATTGATCGAATTAATCGATCGAGAGAGACGTTCTGGTCGATTTGCTACGCTGCAAGCAGCTCCATTAGATGTAGATTTTTTAACGTGGATACGGCTCCTGTGGTGTTTGGGTATATTATCAGGTTTTTTTTTTGAGTTCTGGTTTTCAATAGTTCTAAAAAAATGATCTCTTTGAGTCTTATTTCCGAAAATTTAATTACTTTGAAATGAACTATCTTTTGGTTTTGTCAAAAATTCGAGGAAATTCTGCGATTCAAAAACCGACAGTTGCAGATATTTTGCAGATTTTTTGTTTTAATTCTGTAAGTAACAAAAAATATAAATATTAATAGACATTTCAAGTTAGTAAAAAATTCAAGGATTTTTTGTCATAAAATTTAGAGTTTTCCCCGATAAATACCAGGAACGTATCCACGTAGAAGAACGGGCGTATCAAAGTTTTTTTTTCTCAATTATTAATTGTGAAAAGCAAAAAAGCAGAGGCTAGCTTACGTAGGTAATGTCCACTTTGGAGCCACCAGTGTGTTTAATGGTTGCAGCACCTGTACACAGCAGCAGCAGATCTAGGAGCTCACTATAGGAATCCCTTGAGGCAAGCTGTTATCAACCGTTATTTGAGTTTGCCAATTTGTTTTTACACGTTTTCACTCATTTTTTTTGCTCTCAGTGTTCGCCTGTGCTCAGATTACGAATGTCAAATCAAGAGCCGAAATTGAATCAAACACAAACAAGACTGTTGGCTTTGAATATTTAAACCGAATAACATTTCTTGAAATCAGTGATAATTCATTTAACTTTAATCTTGCAATTTTTAATTTAATCAGAGTGCGTTTAAAGAAAGGAAAATTCAATTTTATGGTTCACTGTACATAACAGTTGATACAGTTTGACGTCGCGATGAAAGAGATGAGGAATAAATTTCAAGCTGTATCGAAAAAAAATATCCCTATCAGGGGACATCCAATTGGCTAATTGGTGAAAATGATAATGAGAATATGAATAGCTGCTTCTTTAGATGCATTTGATTTATGTAACGCGTAACAACGACAAGTCTCTGTATTACGAAGAATACGATTTTTCGTTTGAGTTCATTTATATAACCGTGTCGTGTGAATAACAAATAAATGATGATGGTGTGGCCATGGGTATGTATATCAAGTCAATTTTTGATTAACAATTAATTCCTGCAGTACCTGTGCCTCTTCTCTATGTTCATTCCTCAGTGATTCACGAAGACTGTCAGAAACCCCTGAAATTTCAAGCAGAAATAATTGCAGTATTGGAAACGACTAATTAATTAAATTAATCAATTAATCAACTGCGTAAAAAATTCTAGTTACAGTTATTGATTCTCATTTTATCGAATTTTATAATTATTCAAATTTATTTATTATTTTATTCATTTTTGACATGTGAAATTTGAGTGATAATTTTTTTGATGTTCTATTGGATTAGAATTTTTATTTAAATGAAACGTGAATTGCTGATGAATTACTGTCATGCCGAGCATCTGCACCCATGCCTGTACCTAGCTGCTTATCTTGAAAATATATATCGTCTGCATCATCTGTTCATCGGCATTTCGTCATTTCGAACGGTTAGAGAGAATACGTTGGAATCGTTGAGACTGAATGTAATTACGGGCCCGTTTAATTAAGAGCGTCGAGATCAGGTGTAGCCAATGGATTTTTAGTCAAGTTACCTTGTTAAATTTTTCATTTCAGATCGGTTGGTCTTGAGAATTGCCAGTTTTACCGCAATTCGTTTTTAGAGTAAGCTGTGTGGTGATGATTATTTTATAATTAAACATCCACATCCTCAGAGCTGTTACGGAGAAAAATTTTCTTGATAGAAAATTTTTTCCTATTTCTAGAAACAATTTGGGATTATTTTAGAAATTTTCTCGTATTTCTTTGTAATTCCTCTCAAAATCCGAGGATTATTTGAACTTTTTCTTTTAGTATTCAATTTATTTGAATTCCCCGCCAGAAAATTAAATTGATAATTTTTTCTTCAAGTTCGATTTCATGGAATTATTTTTTAATTATTAAAAAAATCATCTGGAAAATGAAATTCGATTTAAAAGATTATTTCTACTTTTTCTGGAGTAAAACAAATTTCGTAGAATTGAAAAAACTTTTTTTAACACAAGGATATTTTTCTCTGTATTGACGATTATCTACATAATTAGGGGATGAATAAAATAATCATGCACGAATAACAAACGCCAGACACCCACACTGGGGAAAAAAGATTTTTGCCATCCATTTACTTGAGAGACGTACGTATTTTTTAGATGGTCATTTTCCCAAGCGAGTAATTTCCAGACGATTCCGATTAGCTTCCGATAATAATCGTCATATTGTTCTAGAGGAGGATTATGTGGGAAATATCCTTGGAGAAACTCCGTGATTATTAGTCATTTTCTTTAAATATTTAATTTCGTTCGGAGAAGTAATTGAAGGAATTTTTTAATATTGATAATTATTGGTCCAATTTTTTTAAGATGATAAAGAACATAATTATCTTCTCGAGAAGTATGATTATTATTGTTAACAATTGATCGGCATCACCTGGAACTAGTTCCTCTGGAGAAATGACGTTTTAATGGAAATACACCGTTTAAAAATTGCACTTGAAATTTTTAACAAATAAGTGACACGAAATTTCTTTGACAAATCAGTCAATTTCAAAATCCCCAAGTCCGAATTTTCTACAGAACATGTGGCCCTAAAAAATCGTAAAAATATTGAAAATTCAAGCAATAATTCCCCTCAATTCCCAATCTTGAAAAATCAATTATACAATTTAACAAGAAACACCCAATTTTCTTGAAGTTTCAAGAGAAACGGTAAATTGAGTGACAGTTTCCAATTGGAATTCAGGTAGAAATCAATCAATCAGTTGACGATTCGGATTTGGGACCGAAATTTCACAAAATTTAAAACAGTGCACTTTCTCAATTGAATTTTTGGCAAAGATAATTTTGAAACTGAAGCATCGTTCTAATTGGCAGTTTTTTTTTTGTCAACATTTATCTAATGAGAGACTGTCCTTAAACTGTTTTTTGAGCATTGTGGTCCCGTGTCTAGTGTGCTAATGTGGTTGTGTCTTGTCTGTTGTGTCGTCAGCAAGAGCACGCAGGCTTGAACCCCACCGAGTCCATGACACGCGCGTTGATTAGTGACGATAATATCGCCCGCCAGTCCGCCCTTGGTCCTGTCCAGTTGGGGTACGTACCTAGAGTCACCATCCTTGACTAGATAACGCCTTAACCCCATTCATTAATTTAATTATTACTCTACCGATTATTGATCCGGCTAATAACTCCCGCCGACTAATCAGCTGAATTTTTTATTTGAAAATCGGTATCAAACATTTCACCGTTTCAGCATATTTTTTTTTCAGGGCCTATCCACTCTACAGCTCGATATTGCTTGGTAAAACTCACACTTTTCCCCTCTTGATAATTATTTTACAGTAGAATTGTGTTGTTAATGGGTCTAGGCAAACTGTCGTAGTTCTGGTAATAACAGGTCAATTTCTCCTACCCCTTTTGGTGGAATCTTTGGAATGCGTTGAGTAGAGATTATAAATCGCACGGTTATTTGAATATACTCCACTGTTTTTAATTTTACACTGAATTTTCGACATTTTTTTGCATTGAAAATGCAGATTTTATGAATAACTTTTACGAAATTTCAGGTGAATTGACTTTATTTTAAATTAGTAGAGCTCAGGGTTTGATCTGAAAATTCCGTTAACTTTCCCTTGGGATTCCATTTCTACTATTTTTTTTTAAAGAGGAAAAAAGTGAATAGAAAATTTGGAAAATCGATAATTAAATTCTCGATTTTCAGAGTTTTTAGGGAATTTGACAGGAGATCCTTAAGTGAAGGTTTCTCTCGCTAAAAAATTCAGTAAAAATTTTTGAACAGTGTGCTCTCCCTGTTTCTGTCTAATTGTCCATGTAAACCGAAACAAAAACCTGAGCTTTTATCACTCCGGGGACACTTTATCCCTAAACTTCACACTATCTCACTCACACGTCTGACGAATGAAAAACAGTACACGAAGATAAATATTGTAACGTCTAATGCATTGAGTCCCCGTTTGCATCCTTTTGACGTAGTGTAATAATTACTCCTAGCCCAGAGTTGAAGTATTAATTATCGAAAGAGCCTTATTAGGGAGCCTTTTCAATGGTCACAGACTCCCAGTAAGTGTTTCCAATTGATTATATTTTTTTTGATTTGCTGTTTGATTGTCGGTGATCCTCTGCTGTCTTTTCGAAGCATCTATTCACCCTGGGGTTTTTATTTTTTGCTCAATCAACCCTCTAGGTCTATAAAGGTATGTAACGACCATGGCTGCAAGAATCATCATTCACGAGAGCTATATTTTTTTTTTTCAAATTTTGTTCATCGATACAGATTGAAAAGCGAGGATTTGAGAGGTAGTGTAGGAATAATGGAGTGTGTACGAATAATTTAGATGTGCAGGTTTTTGTCCGATTAACAACCGTCCGAGTGGAAATTCAAGTCCTAGATTTACCGATTACCTCCCATCTGGTTGCGGAATTTGAATTTAATAATTTTTAATTGCTCTAGGAGGTTGTGGGATTTTTTGGGACTCGTTGGGATTTGAATTTCAGCGCGGGTCACGTTAAATGCGATTAGGGCATCCCCGAATTAGGCGGTCGGACTCTCGTTCTGTGAAACCGAGCCGATTTACTCGTGACGCATCTGCGCACTCGTCCGCACAGCGTGTCACGCGCGAAACGGTTCGGTCCCCGTCCACTTTGGAAGGGGAGTTCGACTGTAAGCAAGCGAGGATAAAAATAATTTTTAAACTATTTTTCCAAAAAATTAGCTTCGTTGCCGGCGTGATTCTTCGCGAGCGAATCCCAGCGTTCGAGCGCATGTTATGGCGCGCCTGCAGGGGCAACGTATTCCTCCGACAGGCGGAGATCGAGTCCGCCCTGGAGGACCCGTCGACCTCCGACCAGGTCTTCAAATCCGTCTTCATAATCTTCTTCCAAGGGGACCAGCTGAAAACGCGAGTCAAAAAAATCTGCGAGGGATTTCGAGCGACTTTATACCCATGCCCTGAGGCCCCTGCTGACCGCCGGGAGATGGCCATGGGAGTGATGACGAGGATCGAAGATCTTAACACAGTCCTGGGCCAGACTCAGGATCACCGTCATCGAGTCCTGGTGGCCGCCGCGAAGAACATCAAGAACTGGTTCATTAAAGTCCGAAAAATCAAAGCGATTTATCACACCCTGAACCTCTTCAATCTCGACGTGACCCAGAAGTGCCTGATCGCCGAGTGCTGGGTGCCAGTCCTGGACATCGAGGGCATACAGCTTGCCCTGAGGAGGGGCACAGAGCGCAGCGGTAGCTCAGTTCCACCAATTCTCAATAGAATGGAGACTTTCGAGGACCCACCGACGTACAACCGTACAAACAAATTCACGAAGGGCTTCCAAGCCCTCATCGACGCATACGGGATAGCCTCCTACAGGGAAATGAACCCTGCCCCCTACACCATCATTACTTTTCCATTCCTCTTCGCTGTCATGTTCGGTGACACTGGACACGGTGCCATCATGTTTTTGTTCGCTGCCTGGATGATTTTCAAGGAGAAACCACTAGCTGCTCAAAAATCAGACAACGAGATCTGGAACATCTTCTTCGGAGGGCGATACATTATCTTCCTCATGGGGATGTTCTCCATGTACACCGGCCTCATCTACAACGATGTATTTTCCAAATCCCTGAACATATTCGGATCGTACTGGAAAGTCAATCACACCTGGGCCGACATACACAGCATGCAGTGGATCATGCTGGACCCGAACTCGACGGCCTTTGCAGAGACACCTTATCCCATTGGTGTAGATCCTGTCTGGCAACTCGCCCAGAACAAGATTATCTTTTTGAATTCGTACAAGATGAAGATATCCATCATCTTTGGTGTAGTACATATGTTGTTCGGTGTTCTAGTTGGGCTGTGGAATCACATGTATTTCAAGAGGAGAATGAACATCATCTGCGAGTTCATCCCACAGGTGATTTTCCTGGTGTTCCTCTTCATGTACATGTCACTGCTGATGTTCATCAAGTGGGTGAAATACGGACCTACAAACGTCGAGGAACTCGGGCCTTTCTGCGCACCCTCTGTCCTCATCACCTTCATCAATATGGTTCTGTTCAAGAACGGGGATCCACCTGCTGTCTGCAAGACTGAGTATATGTATGCTGGCCAGGGTGGCTTCCAGAAATTCCTACTCGTTATTGCCCTTCTCTGCATACCCTGGATGCTACTCGCTAAACCTCTGATGATGATGCAGGAGAGGAAGAGGCACCACTACCAGCTGAGTAATCATGGAACCGAGAATGGGGATGTCGAGGGGGGCGTTGGGGCTCTTCAGCAAAACCAGGGGCCTCAGCCCAAGGAGGAGGAGGAGGAGGAGATGAGTGAGATCTTCATTCATCAAGGAATTCACACTATCGAGTATGTCCTTGGATCTGTCTCTCATACTGCGTCGTACTTGAGACTCTGGGCTCTCTCGCTTGCCCATGCTCGTAAGTCACTCGTTACTGCCATTCAATGCATTTATTTTAAGACATATTTTGTTAACAATTATCATAACAAAATTTTATATCTTGTGGAACAGTCAGATCACCGTATGGAGGAGATATTTTTGCTTGAAATTATATTTTTTCATTGGATAATCGTTGAGTTTGTTTGACAGAATTGAGTGAAGTCTTGTGGTCGATGGTCATGAGAAATGGTCTAGCCCAGGAGAACTGGTACGGTGGAATTATGCTGTGGGCTGTCTTCGCCATGTGGGCAGTTCTCACTGTTGGAATCCTCGTCCTCATGGAGGGGCTCTCTGCCTTCCTGCACACCCTTCGTCTCCACTGGTAAGAATTGAGGAGTTGAGGGATTGTATGGAGGAAATATTAATCAACTCCTACGATTTTAATTGTAGGGTGGAGTTCCAGAGTAAATTCTATTCTGGTCTGGGCTACGGTTTCACTCCGTTTTCATTCGAGATCATCCTGGAAACTGCGCAGAATACTGTTGAAGTAGACTAATCACTCCAATAATAAGAGCACTTTAATCCAATGTTTAATGGGTAGAATTTTGTGACGAGTGTTTCGAAATCACTAGTATTGTTTCTTGATTCTTCTCTTGAGGAAATACTCTGGCTTTAGTAATTTACCATTGAAGTATCAGCGATTAAAAAAAAAACGTGATTCTGTAACGATGTATCAACATTAAATCCCTTGAGAGCTGATTTCTGTAGATCTGATGTTTCTTATCGTGTTAAGTGATGTATTTATGCATGTGTTGGACAAAAATTAATGGCAACATGTACATTATCGCGCTAAATAAATACTGAGAGCAATACAATGCGCATCGAGTTGTTTAGTCTATTGTCCATTTATTCAGTTTACTGGGGATTTTCAATTCGATTGTTTAATCAGATGTTTTTAATGTTCAGTTTTATATTCTTCAGTTCTTTTCTCAGGTAATAGTCGTTGAAGTATTTCGACGGTTCAAGTACCAATGAATAATTAATTCCATAATTTATTTGAGGTTTTTGAAGTGTCATTAATTGAATAGACTAGCTTGTATGAGAGAATTTCCGGAATTTCGAATTAATGAGAGCCGAAATAACAGGAAATGCTGATGATAATTATGATGGCTAATTGTAATTAATTCTAAGTACCATTAGTACTTTCTGAGTCTCTGGACTGTGGCTGGTTTTCAGTATCGAAATATTCGTGAAAGCAACTTGTGAGTCGAATTTTAGAAAACATTCATCTCAAAATGAGAATAAATTATTGGAGAGGGTTTATATCGGAAAATATCATGAGCCTGTGGAGAAATCTCCAGAACACGAAGAACGAGGAGATACACCCAGAAAATGGTTTTGATGTGGAAGTCAAATATCTCAGAGTACCCATGAAAATCCTCGGAGTGTGGCCCCCCGATTATCGCGGAAAACGTATCATGTTTTCCATTTCGTCATTTATTTTAACTGCTATAGTACTCTTGACAATGAAAACGTTTTTTATAGAGTGGAAAATTGAGGCAATATTTGAATATTCAAAAACGTTAATCCACATGTTTATACTTGCGAAAGTTTTTCTCTTCAAATTTTATCAGCGGGAATTCGGGGAAATGTACGAATCGATGGAGAACAATTGGAGACAGGCGAAATATTTGAACAGCGAGAAGAAGAGAATCATGTCTGATGATCTCCAGCAATCCCAAAAGTTAGTGAAATATTGGGCACTCCACTTCTCCGCCTTTTTAGTCCGTGAGTATTGTAACCGCTCTAAATTTTATTTAATAATTGTACAGATATTACTCCCGCGAAAATATTAGCCGGAAAAATTTTACCGATCTAGATATTACGATATCATTATATTATTGCCAAAAAAATATTAAAAAATGATTGGTATACTGAGGAATAGTTGTAGCGAGTAAAAATTGGGGGGTAATTAACAATCATATAACGAATGTGAGAATTTATTATATTTTTTTTCCTTGTTACTGTAATGTTTCGAAATAATGTGCGTCTTCACCAAATATTTTCATCTATTCGTCTAGTCGTCCTAGTTCTACCTCTGCTGCGAATCCTGATTTTGCACGAGCCTCTAAAGCTTAATATCGATGTCTGGGACTCTTTCCATACATCGCCAGGATTTGAACTAGCAATGGTACTTCAAACTGTAGTAGAGCTGTACAATTGTCTGGCTTTGATCTCCCTAGAATGCTCTTTCCTAATAACCACCAGCCACTGCAGTGCGCAATTGAAAATACTTTGTCACAGCATCGAGCAATACGACGGTCTCATTACACACGATAATTGTGAAGAGCAATTAAATTGCGCGTGCATTCGATGCGTCGTCAGAAGACACGAGGAAATAATGAAGTATGTTTTTTTCTGATTGACTGTTTTGGCTTTCATTCCGATTTCATTGAGATTTCCTCGGTTGCAGATTTTTTGGATTACTGCGAAAGTGTTTCAACTCTGCGATATCTCTCAATTTAATACTCGCAGAATCTTACTTGTGTGTTTTTATAGCGATGGGCTCCAAGGTAACGCCGATATGACGATTTTAAATGAATTAATAAATTTGAAGTAGGAAACTATGAATTTGGAAAATCCTGACGTTTTTATAAAATAATAAGATAAATATTCCAGCAAGCTGAGCATCAGAGTGGTCTATACCCCGCCATTTGTTGGTCATTTACAATGATCATGATTGTAGTGGGATTTATTTATTGTCACATCGGCGAGAAAATAACCCAGGAGGTATGATTTATGAATTGTCTCAGGGCTGGATTAGAAAATTGATACAAATTTTCGTTGACAGAGTCTAAACGTCAGCAATGCTTTTTTCAACTGTCACTGGTACGAATCTGAAGCATCGAAGGCTAAATACTATGTCACACCCATGATCATTTCCAGAAGCATACCGATGGAAATAACCGTCGGGATATTTTACAAACTATCTCATGAGCTATTTAAAAATGTAAGTAATCTAACAGCGAAGATGTTCGCTAATGAAGACTTTTCATTATTATATTTCTAATATTCCAGTGCATATTTTTGGCGTATTCAGTATTTTCACTTTTTCGAACGATCAGCGAAAAGCAGAATGCCATTGTAAAATAATTTGAATGTACGTACATTTAATTGTAATTTCCATTGCACTTGATGCGTCTAACTTACACTGTCTTCTAAATATTAAAACGATAAAACCACAATACGTGGACTAACCTCTGAAATATAATTGATTTGAATCGAATACATTTTTTTATTTGAAATAATTGTTTTTCCAAAAAAAATTAATCGTCACCCAAAGTGAAATATTCCATAAAAACAACTGGGCTCGCCATTTATTAAATAGTATTCTCTAAAATAAATGAATAAAGCTAAGAACCTCCTTTTCAATGGATCCCCATGAGTTACTAAAAAAAATTGATATGATTTTCCCGCAAACTGAATTGAAAGAGTATTAAAATGAACAAATAATCTCCAGCAATTATCATAAACGTAATCCAACCGTCAGTAATTCTGAATTCCATTACCCTGGATCTAAGCTCAAAGAGATAACTTACCAACAGTCAACAATTTACGAACCCGAGAAAACGAAGGAATTCCATATCGAATCTCACCCTTGTATTTAGTACCCAGAATAAATTGAAGATGAAATTTAAACGCCCCATAAAACGATTCGAATAAATCGTGACACATGGGTGTCTCGGTGATTATGAAAATTACAGTTACTCTCGATCGTTAAACTGAACGATGATCTCGCTTTAGAGCCCCATAATCCCCCGAGCATGTGTACTTTACCAGCAAAACCAGCATTAAGTGGATCATAAACTTGGCTCAGGTATAACAGCAAAAATAAATGACAGATAAATACTGAAAGGAGAAATAGAAGCAATTAGAGCAGCCAATGAAATAATATTAAATGTTTTTTCGTCTTTATTACATTCCAGACAGCGATATGTTTTCGATATTTACACAAAGAAAAAATCGATATTAATTATCCTAGTAATATTAATTACAGTGTAGTTTAGTACGAATTAAACTGTACGCGTTATGTACAGCTCGAGGTACATAGAAAAAGAGCAGTCTCCTTTTTCAGAATGTTCTTCTCATCTTTGCAGTTTATTTTTTTTTTCTCTCTCATCCTGGAAATCGTAGAAATGTGAACGATCAGGATATGACGCACTTCTCGGCGTCTTTTTGTGATTGCGATGTGGATGCGGTGGGTCCACGTCGTCTGGCACATGCAACAGCATCGTTGGGTACGTAGGATATCCTAACACCACCGTAGGCTCGTCGTGGTGGCAGTGAATAGGCAGCTGCTTCGTCTGAACTACTGGAGGAGCTGCAGGTCGAACAACAACTCTCCTCGTCCTCATTCCGTGTTCTAGAACCCACACTCCCTGAAAAAGGATAAATTCTTGAATTATTGGATGAAAGAGATAGCAAAGTGGTAAAACGATACGCCTCAACGTTTTTCCTTAATCAAACGCAGTTCTCGCTGGATATCTGCAAATCTGGTGGTACAAAGGTTTTTATGAGTTTCTTATACAGCAAGAACTACCAGAAGATTTATCGGAAAAAATTAACATTTCTCTATATATCGGTACTATTTCAGATTTATCAGATGTATTCGTTATTTATTTTTATCATTTTGTCCGTTCATGATTAAAATATCAGAATTTCCCCTGCACGTGCTGGTAGTAGAACTTTGAATTCATGCTTTTGTGGAAAAAAATCTTTTTGTTATCGAATGATCCAATGAAAAATGCACCAACGTACCCCAAGATGTACTGGCAACTTCGTCAGGCTGCAAACTCCTGGACCTCGGTACTTGTGATCTGGAAGGTGATGGAGGTGTTCCTGGACTTGCAGGCAGTGGTGCAACAGACGCCGATATTCCATGATGATCATCACCCTGAAATCTCACACGTCTCGATGTGGGAGTCGGGGGATCTATCATTGTGGGATTGCCACAGAGGTCTATTGTGTCCGTTGGCACATCAGTTACGTTTGAAGGGTGAGGGGGAGTTGGAGAATGACCGGCTAAATGAGCTGGTGGTGGTAACTCCGGCATACTCGATGCATGGGTCGGCGGACAATTTGGAACACAACGGAGGGGCTCTCTATCTCTGGCTTGCATCAGTCTGCAACCAAAAATCAGGTAATCAAAATCACCAGTAATTAAAATAAAAACATTTCACAACAAAAATTATTCAAATTATCCAAATAATTTCCCTGGAACACATGACTGAACACATTTCAATTCATAAAATGTTTTTAATGCACGCCAACATATGCTGAGAGCGGAAGATTTTTCGTGGACTCCAGAGACTGATAATTTCCAAATCGATAAATTTTCCTGGAGAAGACGTTTTCTTTTGTGACAGCCAGAAGCTTTATTTATTCATTCGTAAACACCCGAGTTAACTCACTGTCATGGAACATAAATTGCTGTAGAAAATAAAGCATTAAAACAGCAATCAAGTGGACACAACAATGGAGACGTGAAGTGTTCTAAAATGCAGCGTTCAGTCATAATGTTTTAAATAGTCAGCTCCTGACGGAAAAGAACGCTGGGAAATAGGTATTTACGATGGATATGCGTGAAACCTCTTATAACTGTATTGTAAGTGCCTCCTCTCTAGTGTCTTCTGAAATTTGTTGTCTTATGTACTGGTTATGGGTATTTTTCGTACTGACAGCTGTGACTTATGCGCTTCGCAACACACGTATTGCAAAATATCACGTTGAGTCCAAGGTGAAGAATTTTCGTTGACTGCATTCATTGAAATAGTATATTTCCGGGCTGTTGGGATGGGATTTTCACTCACGTAGTGTTCACTCTCGAGCCAAAGGCCCTGGGCAACCACACGAGTGGAATAAATCCCAGGGCAAGAATAATATTCCTCCAGTGTTCTCGAAATGTGTCATTTGTACTGTTTTATTTTCAATGAAAATTATATATTGGAAATTGAAATTTAATACTAGATATTACGAGTTTCCATTACGTAGAAGAATAAATTATTTTCAGACGAGAATAAATGGATATCTGGATTTCCACTGATCGTGAAAATTTCACAGAATTTTTTTGTATTGTACCTTCCAAGCTCCGATGGCGTTTCCTCGGAGTGGGGGGTGCGTTCCTGGAGTAGTCTCTCGAGATTTCTCTCGAGGATGACTCGGTCCAGACCACCAGGTCGAGACCCAGCTGAAGGCAGACCCTCGCTACCAAAATCTCCAACGTTCACTTGAGTTGGTGTTGTCGCCAGAGAAACGGAGGCTTGATAATGCTTTCGTGTCAGTCTTGGGGAGTTTCTCGCTGATCCTGGTGCATGGAGGGTGTGATGCCTCGTCGAAGGCGGTGGGGGGCTCGAAGAGCCCTCACTCGTCGGCGGAGCTTTTCGCGTTTGTCTAAAAATGAAAAACCGAAATTGGAAAACTGGTGGCAAAGGTAATGCGAGAAATCCAAAATCATTAATTAATAATCCATAAATCACTTGCTACGACTAATTTGATATTTAACTTTTCTAAATCAGTGATTGATTTATGATTTTTCATGGATCATTCCTCGAGAAAGCTAAATTAGGAAAAGTTAAAAGTATGCATTGAGGATGTGCTTCGGGGTGAGCGTGTTGTTAATGTGAGCAGACTCGACCTGAACAAAGCTAATTGCCGTTTAGTGCGGTTACTAAGTGACTGGAGGTCCGTGAAGAAAGTACCCCTGAGACAAAAAAAAAAAACGAGGCGTGAAGTCATACGTTATAATGATTAAATGCTTCTCCATCCGCATTACGTATGGCTACTCTAAATATGGTTGCAAATAGTCATCAAGTATGACCAATACAATTTCCTGAAAGTCTCAAGCCTTAAAAAACACCACCCTAATTACGACCTGAACCTATTAAACCTGTATAAAAAAAAAAATGAATAGCAGAGGTCTACAATTATTCTCGAAATTCGCCAAGAAACTTTTGTTGATTCTTCCTTCATCTCCTCCCACCCATTTCCTGATTCCCTCCCCCCTAATTACCCATCATTCCATTTTTTCTCTCCTCGTCACGTTTCAATAGCGTGTTCCAAACCCGTGACGAACTTTAATCCCTTGCCGAGAACTTCTAAGGAAGTCCGGTCAATTTACCTTGGAAAGGCAGGAGGCGGTGGTGGTGGTCCAGCGGAGGAGTCACTTGGTGTTGTGGGCGGTTCGCCTTTGCTGCAGGCGATGCTGCAGTATATCGCTCCTCTTCGTGGTAAGAAAGGCCTTCCCAATAATGATGTACGGCATGTGGCACAGGCAAAGCAAGCCTCAGTAGCGTGCCAGTGCTGACCCTCGTGAGACATCTGACCCTGATCAACACCGATGGGCTCACCACAGCTGTCACAGTACTCGGCAAATGAGGCATCGAAACAGTGGAGACAGTAGGGACGACCTTCACGCATCACATACCTCTGACCGCCGAGCTGATTGTCCAAGATAAAATCATTCATCATCAGTCAATTCAACGTGAGTCCAATGAACTTGGGACAAGCGCGATGAGAGATATTACTCAATCTTTAATGTATCACACTACAGCTACATGACTTTTTTTATCAAGATTTTTACTCCGCTCAATCAACTTGAAAAACTTGTTAGAAAAGCGCGGGGTAATGGACAGCTTTTTATCTTAATTGGTGCAGTAGCAATTAACACTGTTAAATGCCTCGTTGAAAATCATGTCATTAATGTCTGATTCAACGCTAAATTGATGTCTTCGAAAAAAATCACTTTTTGCATTATTTACGTGTTTCTCATTTTTTGAGAATATAAAAAACTTTTAAAAAGTGAGGATGGAACAATTTTTAACAGGAGTGAATCCCCGATGACGAAACATCGACGAGAACTAATTTTCTCCAGCCAAATAGCAATTGTGCGATTGGAATTTTTTTTTGTTCCCCAAAAAAATTGTATAACAAAATGAATTAAGGTACCTGTCTGTCACACTCGAGGCACGCGAAATGCCTCATGTGCCAAGCCCTTCCTTCTGCCTCTGTGCACTCATCAGCAAGAATAATCTCATCGCAAGCGCAGCATCTTGGTTTGAGGGTCTCTGCATGATGCCTTCCACAGTACAATCTACCCTCCCTCCAAAAGTAGATGAGATCAACCAATAGTTGCCGACAAACGCAGCAAACAAAACACGCTGGATGCCAAAGTGCTGTTGGTCCAGCTCTACTGGCACCAACAGCCATTTCACCAGCTGAAATTGGCCTACCGCATTCTCGACAACCAGTACCATGGGGTCTCTCAAGTTGACTCGCGTGTCCTCTACCAAGTGCTTCACGTTTTCTCTGCGCAGCAAATACACGAAGCTCACGCTTCTCCTCTTCAGCAAGACCACTGCAATATCTTGCCTCATTGTCATGCGGTGGTAACTGCTGGAGCAGCTGTTTCACTCGTTCACGTTCACCCGCACTACCAACGTACGGTATCTTGTCCTCGGGTAGAGAGCTGAAGTACAGGTGAACCTGTACGATTAAACCGAGAAAGACAGACAATGTGAATTAAGGAAATGGTATGACCGTTTTGGGGGGAATCCTGAGGTGAAGGTGTTTTCCCCTTCCTCTGCATGCCCTCACCAACGCACCTGTCTTCAACGGCGTCTCGAGGAGAAGAGACTCAAGTTAAATGAAAGAGAGTTGATGGAAGAGTGAATCTTCACTTCCAGCATATTAATGCACTCGAAATTCTGATCATCACTCGGTTGAATTTATTAATTTGAATAACTTTCCTTTTCTCCCTTGTCCATAGCTTCAGGAATTTTTATTTGATTTTAACGGAACGTTTAATAATTGATTAGATTTCGAATTAAAATAGGCTCTGAAGAACACTCAAGTCTTTTCTAAATTAATTACCGGAATGTTAATGGTATTGATAGTAGGAGTAAAAAATAAAAAGTCAGATCCGATGTCATTGTTGCGAATGCATTCATGCCGGAAATGCCTGATTGCGATAAGGAATGTAGAAAGACTTTCATAGAAGTTGCGGCAACAAAAAGTGTCTCTATCACTAGTCATTCTCCATCGACAAAATCTCGACAATTAGATGAGTCAGCTCAGCCGAGTTAACTACTTCAGTAGAGAATGAATTAGAAATGAATTATGAAGTGGATTGTCCTCCGGGGCGTGCACCTCGGTGGCGTCGGGTATACGAGCTGAGAATAGTTCCAGTGGGGAATGCAATCACCAAGTGGTGAAGGGAATTTAAAGAAACCATTGGAAAAACCGCTGAAGTACAAGGTGAAAACAAAGTCCAGCAATATTTCATATCCTCAAGTTTCAGATAGAATTAGAGGAAAAGAATTCTAAGAGGAAATTGAACAACAATGATTTACAGCACACAATCTTGCGAGGAAGTGGTAGCACGAATAAATCATTTGCGAACCACACGATCATCTTGAAAACAGAGCACAATTCTATAGAAAAATGTCACCACGTACGTTGCCCTGCAATTTCATCCCACCGAGATGATTTATGATAATCAAAATGCTGAAACATGATAAATCGACTCAACATGTTTTGCCACTTCGCTGGAGAATAGCAACTCCTCTTTAGAATTAAAAAAATTCCACATGCAATACATTTTCCACCGTAAACCGCTCTTCTCCCAATTACTCTCCAAGTCCCTTAAAAACCCGACAAACAACGTTCCGAACATTAAAACAGAGCCGTATAAAGAAAAAAAAAACCGGAAAAAACCCCTTTAAAAAATTTAACGAATTTAATCAGCCACCGAATCTCCACTATCCCCATAAATACTCCTCTCCGGGAGTGGCAGATAAAAAACCACTGAATCCCTCACCTGATCAGGCCTCAATCCAGGAGGTACCCAGGTATATTCCTCAAGTGCACATCCACTGTCATCATCGCTTTGGGAGAGTCTCTGATGATGAACAAGTGGTTCCTGAAGCTGAGGCGGTTGAACAGGACTCTTGAATGCCTCCTGATGTTGACCCCCAGGTCCAGGTGCAGAGGGGCCCTGAAATGCCATTGCCATAGCCATCGGTGATGCCGGTGATAGGCCGAGGGCCGATGGTGCCTCGATATTCGGCCGATGATGATCCTCCCTGGGACACCTGCAGCTCCTGCACACCTTCCTGCAACGGATAAGTAAAGAAAAAATGACAATGGGATCAGTGATATCACGTTGAAGATGGAATTGATGAAGTCTTTTCCTACAATCCCAATGACTCATCGTTATTTTTTGTTGTAATGGTAATGGAAGGAAAGGGTATAAAGCAGATCCCAAGGATTCCAATTAGGCTTCTTGGGATATAGCCTTTGGCTTGAGGCGAAAAGGAGAAGACCAAGTTGTCCGGTAAATCAGAGGGGGGCTATCGTACACGAGTTGGCAATGGAGCAAATGGAGACGCTCGTGCGGATCGAAAATTTAATGAAATATCAGGCATCATAGGTATGAGATTCCCTAGGGTAAAGAGACGGTATAATACACGTAGTTCAAAGAGAGGAGAAAAATAAAGAGGCGATCGGTGTGGAAGAAGTATAGTGGCCCGTCATAAAATTAAATCATGGAACCCCCGATGAGGCCATTGAGGCCCCACGGGTGTCTCGATGATTATGGAATGAGCATGGACTCGTTAACTATATTCGATTTTCGTGACTCTCAAGATTAATGGATTTTCGGAAACTGAACCTACGGCGATTACCGAAGACTCACTTCAGCTTCTTTGCATCTTTTATTTCTTTTATTTCTTTTATTTCTTTTATTTCTTTTATTTCTTTCATTTCTTTCATTTCTTTCATTTCTTTCACTTCTTTCACCTCTTTCACTTCTTTCACCTCTTTCACTTCTTTCACTTCTTTCACTTCTTTCACTCCTCTCACTCCTCTCGCTTCTCTCACTTCTTCTATTCTCTCAATTTTTTTTTTTGCCTCTGTTCTCTTTTTCGTGACCGCTGTTTTTGTTTATTTATTCGCAATTATTTGGCATCAATTTCACTATATTGCTTTATGGGGATCGGTTTTATGATTCTGAAAGCAAGTGTGGGAAATATTCCCTCAGGGCATTTCCGTCGTGAAAATCACCTGTACATTGATAACGTCTATGGGTAATAAAGTGTACTGGTATTTGAATTCTATTTTTCAAATGTCTCTTGGACTACGAGGGTTAATGGAAGATGTCAAAACACCATTTTTATTGGTCGTAAAATTAGCTGCAAGGAGACCGCTAGATATTTTTTTTTTAATCCCTTTCGTTCACAGATCTGATGATTTTTTTATTTTCAAGGGACAGAATGCAGATTCCGTGAAATTGATGTTCTTGATATTTTCGTGGAGCTCTTTTTAGTTTTACTCCTTAACAACATCGCTTTATAATTTATATGATAATTTATTTCTCGCGTACTTAAAACCTGCGTTCTCTCGTTTTTCGATAGTGATGGGAGAAAAATCGGGTGCAGGTACGCGCCTGGGAATTAAAAATAAGAATAACTGTGAACGCTGATTTTTTTTTTGTCTAATGAATCCTGAAAGCTTCTACGAAAACGATTTCATTTTTTATGCTCAATTTTTTTATTTCTCCCGTTGGAATATCTCATGTTTTTGCCTGAAAAGGGACGGAATGCGTGAAATTGATGTTATGCCTATTTTCTTGTAGTCGTCGTGGAGATTTACTTAATGCCTTCACTATCGTGTATTATCGCGTAATTTATACAAGTAACGAGAGTGAAAATTAAAAAAAAAAAATAAAGAGATTGTAATTCAATGAGATTCAATTTGATCCTGAATCAATGAAATTTCTGAATATCAGAACTAATTCATAATTTGATGAATAAATAATAATTAATGCATAGCTAGTATCAACAACTTGTTTAAATTACAAAATTAGATATTTTATTCTATTTTTAAATTGATCTTATTCAAAATATCAATTTCAATGATTTCTCGTAGAATTATTGCAGTTAGAATCATAAAATCGGTTTACAACAGATTGTTGTATTTTTTAAATGTTTATATAGTTTTCTCTTAAGTCCCATAATTTTTTTTTATTCCCAGAGTCGACTTACAAAATCCGTGAAATTGATGTTCCGGATGTTTTCTTATAGTTCTCGGTGGAGATTGATTCTCCGTCATGAACATCATCACTCAAAATCTTCGCAGCCATTATTTACAGAGTGATTAATTTTATTGAGATTTGAAAATAAACGCCTTTCTCTTATTTTTCATCAAGAGTCTATAAAATTTGGAATTCCATCCTAAATCAGTGGAATTGATTGGAAAATTCTGTCCATGAATGGGAAAACTGGTTTCTTGTCATATCTCAAAGTTTTCTCCATTATTTTTCAAAACCTCTTTGACCCTCTCCCCCTGAGAGCGTGAAATTCAATCGGAATCCGTGAAATCAATGTTCTGGATATATCCCCATAGGTCCCAAGAAATTTTCCTCAAATCCATAATTTCTATAACGGTGTATCCGTTATAATTAATCAAATTAAAAAACTCATTCCCGTTAGAAAAAAACCTCCCAAAATTCCTAATAGACTCAAAAAGCTGGACTCATTTGCATTAGAAAATGAGTCTGTTATTGTCAATGAGGAAAAATATCCGGAATAAAATAAACGAGAAAATAAATAAAATAGCCTTGAGTGTTCCAGAAGTTCTCACGACGTGGGAAAAATGAAGAAGGGCGTCACGGTTCCGTTCCTTTAAATTCGTTCACCATTCCTTCAACCGTTCCTCATCCCATTATTCTTTATTCCCCCATCAACCACACCAAACGAGACTTACTCATCCCGATAGTTTGAATGCAGGAGACTATCCAGATTATGTTCAGTGATCTCAATGCAGCGTTGAGACTTGCCATGATCATCATCGAATCCACCACTGAAGTCGCCACAAGCCCTAGCCCCAGTGAGAAACTCCACACACTTCTCCGTCGGACTGGGACTTGGAAGACAAGGTCTTCCCTTGGCTTCCTCGACTCTCCTGCCCTTGAGGAAGTCATCGAGATAGTGTCCAGCATCAACAGGAGGCTCATAAATAGCCGGACTCAAATTCTTCTGCCAGCCACTCTCACCGATATCAAGAGCCGCATTGAAATTCCCCTCAGTATTCTTCCTCCCATATAGCTTCCTGAGATACGCCTCCTGATGTCCCCTAGTCGCCCAACATCCAGGTGTCCACCACCTCTTGGAGCCAAACAATGAGCTCGTCTGTCTCCTTCTAGCCAAACTCGACATTTCGACGTCCAGGACTCCACTATCATCTTCTCATCTCATCTGATCTCATTATCACCGATCCTATCACCTATCTCCAAAATTCCTCCACAATCAGCTCCACCACCCGTTCAACGGACAACTGATAACAAACCGCCGAATCGTCGAGTAAAAAAAAAACAAAAAAATTCACTAACAACTAAACATTCGTGCACATTCACTATAACCGGTAGTGACTCTCCCCTCGAGGAAGGAGAATTAACGTTTTAATACACCGTGTATCTCTGTTCTGTACCAAGAGACAAGCAACACACTCGACATTTTCGTAGCCTCCTTGGCATGGAGACCACTTCACATCCTCAATACTCCTCTCACGTCGCGTATACCATCTCCGTTATTGCTCTCTTACCACTGACCAAGTCGTTTCTCATCATTTATTTTCACCATCGTATCTTCCTTTCTTCATTCTTTGTCTCTTTTCTCCGATATAACTCGTTCTCGCACTTTCGCCTGAGCTATTTGCAATTTTTCTCTTCAAATCAAATAATCGACGTTTATTTTCCCCAGCCGCTGATTGGATCCAGGTCTCCAGCAGGATCAGGAGTGGAAGCGTTTGGATATTTGCAGTTGGATTTCTTGGGGAAGTAATGGGGGTATTGGATACTGAGCACTGAGTACTGTCACGTAATCCTGGAATACTTTTTTGACACTTGATTTTAGTGGGAAACCAGTGGTGGAGTGGTACCAGAGTGGTGAACGGTCGCGCCGACACTGGAAGTGAGCGTGTGCCGTAGTCGTTGGCAGTACCATGAGGCTCATGAGGTGGGTAGTGGGGCCCAGGTTGGGGCCCTGCGGTAGAGTTACAAAGGGGTAGGGGTAGGATAACCCATTGGGAAGGGAAATACGTTCTGGCACCTCTGGAATGACAGAGAGGCCTGTGTTTGTGAATTTTTTAATGTTGGTGTGATATTTCTTCAACGTTACACGCAACGCGTTCAAACGCCCACCCCATTTGGATCGCGTTCGCAATCTCTGGCCAATACGATTTCCCTTTAAATCCGCTATTTATTTTCCGGGAAATGCTGAAAAGATTTGCCTTCTCATGCACGATGCGACGAGTGATCGCGTAATTAATTAATGATTGATGATGAATCAGTGGGATATCTCTGGAGATTCTCCGCGTGGACGGTTTTTAGTGAGTGATCAGTTCTTTTTATTGGAAATTTGATGATTTATGCGGGAAAAAATAGTTTCGGCCGCAAATTCATCGGCCGGTGGTAATTGCTTGTTCATCCGGTTTACAGCTTTTCAAATATTTATGGAAAGGCGCGAGGAATTAATGAATGAGGCCATTAACTGTCTCGAAATTTGAGTTTTAATGTCATGCGGTGTTAGAGTTGTTAGGAGCAATAGTGATTTAATGATATTATCGCGATTATTGAAATATCCGTGGCTCAAAGTGGTTGTTCATTCGTATTGGATTTCAAATTCAAATTGACGAATTTTATTCAGGAGAGAAAGCTTATTCCATTATCTTGTAAAAATCCGATGAATCCCATTATCCAAGAAATAATGAAGATTCCACACCCAGAAACAGCGATTAGCGGAATTTATCAAGAATTAGTGGTACTCTTTTCAATTCTAAATTTCCCCATACCAAAACCCGAAATTCGAAAATTCTGAAATAACTGGCGAATAAAAAAAATAAACTTAAAAATGAACACGAATAAATTGCCGAATGCACATAAACTCGTTAAGATGAATAAATAAATAAAAAAAAGCCGCAATGGCCCTGAAAGAGAGCCCATAAATTTCCGAGCCGTTGGTGTGGAAATTTCCCGTGTTGTTGGAAAAATCGCGATACGAGCTGTGACAAGAGCTTTCGCTGAGAAATTATAATATCGATATTAAACCGACTGAATTGTCCAACAGATAAAAAAAAATTCCAATAAAACCTCGATACTAGCCAGTCAAGAGCTCAACCTGATAAATGATAATTTCGATATTAGACCGACTGAATTTTCTAATAGACATAAATCGGTGATGACCCTGAAAGGGAGCCCTCAACATTCCTGAGTGCAGGAGTCGGTGTCTGCAGTACCTAGTGCAGGGATATCCACAGGGATAAGAGGGGCAAAAAGGAATCGAAGGTTACGGATGAAGGAAGAGATGCTGAGTGTACATGGTATGTGTCGGTGGATGCTTATCGCACGCCGTTACCATCCACCAGGGTTCCAAGATCACGACCCTGAGGAGGTCGATGTCACGCCAAAGGATTTAAGATCGAAACAGGTGCCGCTTCAGTATTATATATTGAAAATAAAATCACCAGCATGAAGTCCAGGTGGAAAATACGACTAAGTACATCGAGCTGTGAGCCCCTGGTAATCGTTTTATCCGTGTTAAAAAAATTTTTCCAACCGATTCCATCGGCTTCACGCACGCGTTTATATTTATTTTCTGAGCAGCTGAGTTGGGTATGAACGGTAGCACCCGAAGGGAAAACCTGGTTTTCATTCCCACACATGAACGACTCATTACGTACTTCCTGGGCATTGCACGTGAGTTCATCAAAATGATTTAAATTGATGGTTCTTTTCTGTTGCCGTGAGGAGCATTCCGGGGCGAACCGGAAATCAGGTGGTATTTTGCAGCATTTTGTGGCGCTTCCATGATGAATCAGCTGGCTAATGTTATTTATACGATTTTAATAAACGGCTTTGGTGGTAATGTGTGTAATACAGCATTAGTTATTCAATCTTTTCCGTGGCTGAGGCCTTTTTTTTTCTCAGATGATCATTTCATTGGAATTTATTTGAATGCTATAAATTCGTTCGTTGGGATGAATAAATTTATTTTTTCAATTTTCAGAGATGATCAATTTAGTTGACATGGTTAAATGGATATGTTCGTTCCGTGGGATGTATTCATTTCTTTGCGGTGTGATTTAATCGCGGTTTGCATTCATTTGAATTTTTTATTTCAGAATCCTGGATATTTTATGATTCAGTAGCCAAGTGGTTTAACGAGGTGAATTAACTCAGCTGAGATATTGATTAATGTCCTTCAATATTCTGTTGTAAAACTCGAAATATTAGACGTGACGGTGTCAAAGGTCTGGGACTCCCCGCACGAGTTCCCCGAACATATTACATTTAATTTTCAAAAATTCAATTAAAAAAAATGAAAACTCATACAAACGACCTCCATTAACAAATTGAATTTCGCAATAAAATCAAAATTCTCTCCATTTGCCAATTGTTCTGCTTCACTAGATGAACTGAATGATTTCAAGAGCCCTTGAAATCAAAACGAAAAACACGAAAAAAAATGTATATTTCCTCAGGGACTGAATTTTCTGGGAAAATAGTTGCACCAATATTTGTCACCGTCTCCCCCGGGTATTCTTAACGGCTTGGCAAACACACCGTCTGGCAGAATCCCGAGTTTACTGTTGACTCACTCGTTGCAAAAATTTTTCATCCCAAGTGGATACTATTGAGGTATCCCATAGTGTCGGCGAAGTCATCATCGTGTGTTATTCCTGAGGATGTTAAAGTGGTATATACTCTACGTCCAGGAGCAGCAAGGTGAAATGAAAGGCGCTGAAGAAGGCCTCTTACGAAGGCCGCCCGAGGCCCACTGCCATGAAAACTCGGTGGGGCCCGTGCACCAATATTAAAATAAAAACACCCAACGAAAGATCGGACGTAGCCATCATGCTTTACGAATGGGTGGAAGAAGCGCAGAGCAAATGGATGAGGGATTCAGAAGGGAATTATGCAGATTGCTATGAGGCCCCGTCTCTGATGGGCCTTGATGGCTCTGGCGGGGCCCTACGTGATCCTACTGGAGACGTGCCGGGCATATTCCATCCAGAGTACAGCCACAACCTTCATACTGTCCCCTTTCTACTGAAAATATTCACAGCGCAAACATGCTATGTTTACTTCATATTTTCCATGTCGCAATATATCTTTGATCTGTATTTAATGGGATGACCAGTTTGTCTCTGGATCCTCAACAACTCCCTGGCCTTCGGGGATCCTATCTGCTAATTCCAAGATTTTTCACTTATAATACCATGAGATCTTTGAAATTATCACAGATTTTTCCATGTACTCGTTGCACACAACGTGTCAACTTTTCCAATTTAGATAATTACACGCGCACAGCGCGAGTGATTTTTCTCGAAAACTTGACAAGCCCGTTTGTTTGCTGGGAACCTATAGAGGCAAATATTCTATTCATTTCGAAGCTCGAGTCGTATTCGAGGGATTATTTTTATCGTTCAAATTTCAGCAGATAGAATTGCACCATCGGGTGAAGAAATAAAGAAGAGAAAAATCGAGAAAAGATGGGAAAAGTTGAAAAAACATAAGAAAAGATATTTCACTTTATGAATAACACAATTAAATTCAATCCGTCGATGTCAATGAGCCTTTAACACGATCCAACATTTTTTTGTGCCATATCCATCGGAAAGAGAAAATATTTGGAAAATATTCAATATAATACCGAAGAGCCTCGTCGAATCGTGCAATTCTATTGGCTGAAATTTGAACGAAAAAAAATAATCAGGATTATCCACGCACTTCGGGGGGATTGTAAATACCACTGCAGAACGAGAACTATTTCTTGATTGTGAATTGAAGGTATTTGCCTTTGTGATTAATGAGTTCATTAGCATATCCCCTTGGGACTAATGATGTTTTCAGAATACCGTTGTTGATGGGTTGAGTCTGTGGCTGGTCTCATGTCAATTGTTGGCTATTCATATTCATAATGGAAGATAGACAATAGCTTGAGGCTGACTATAGAACCGATAGATCAATCTGTTTAAATAAATTCCATTTTTCGAAATAAAATACCGATCTTCTTCATTCTTATTAGATCAGAGTTGATCGGTAAAAAGTATCGGAATGGATCAGAAGTGTTCTGCAAGCCTGACCTGTTTCCTCGGAGTATCTTCACGAAAAGCGAAAATTCTCTGAACTAGCAGAGGGAATTTATCCGCTGATCGTACATTCGATTTGAGTCTCACCTGAAAACCAGTTACGAAGAAAATGAAAAGCTCCGAGAATAAATGGTTGTCAACGCAGAGTACGTGAACACTTGTTCGGATGGAGTGTTGTGAAGGAACATAATGAGTTTAATATGACATTTATATTAAGACTCAGAGATAAAGGATTGATAACCGCTCCTCAGGTGACATATCACGCTGAAAAATGTACAAGCACTTCCAAATCGTCACCAACACTCACAATGTCTCACAACACCAGCAATACCTCAATTTTCGGTTTGATCTTGAACACCTCTCCTCCACCCATAATAAATGCATCCATTAGCATATCTCCTGATTGCTCGTAACCACATCGCGAGGATTGCACTTGTTAATTGTGACAGTGGGATGAAAAAAATGGGATACTCCAGGGAAGAGAAGAATGCCCTGACAGCATCCCCCCAAGACGAAAAAATGCCCTCTCATTGATTAAATATTCACGGTTGGATAAACTCGTCTTATTGCAGCGAACTGTAATTTAAAAATAATCAACTACAAAGTACTCGGTTGCTGCTTCCATTAAAATAAGGAAAAATACGTGGACAGATACGTATTATGTATCTAACCATCTCTCTCACAGGTGCTCTCTCTCATTCCTCAAGTGAGTGGCCACGATCCGGTTTACCTATCTCGTCCAATAAACATGGGTACAAAGATCCGGAGTTGTACACTTCCTTCCAGACATATCCACCAGGCCAAC